CGGCATAGTGATCAGGTTCCGGAACGACTCATGGTTCTCGGGACGAATCAGTGGAATAGAAATTCTATTTCTAGCATCGTCAACAACATACATCTTATCTTGGGAAAAGAGAATATCAGCGTTGTGAGTCCGAAGAACATCACTCCCTATGAAAATGGAAATAGCTTTTTGGTCTTCCTGGTCTATATCACGGACGAAGAATCGAACAGTTAAAGCTGGAAGATGAGGCTCAGGGCTAGAGCTGCGCGACGAGGACTGGCAGACACTAGCCTCCGGGAAATATACAGGTAGTTTGATGGTGCGCGCACCATCTTCCACCGTGATATCACCCTCGAGGCCAAGTTTTTGAATCAGCGGAAATGCCACTGCAGACGAGTAAGCACCAGTGCAAATCGCAGCATAGAGTAGGGAATCGTTAGAAAAGCTGGTTGTGAGCCAGCATCTAATAATGCAAGGAACAGGACCGAGGATGAAGAGACCTGGAGGAGGTCCGAGAGGTGGATGCTGGCTGGCAGGAGTCGTTGTTGTGGAGGAGCTGTCAACCCTAGAGGTCTCTAGACTATACGTGCGCGCCGAGTGATGTGAATGGCCAGACGAGCTTAGTCTCCCGTCCGACCGATGGGAGTAGGACCGTTCCGTGAGTGGGTGGGCTCCCATTCCACTCCCGGTACGTGCCGGTGCGAGCTCGGCTGCAGTACGGTTTCCATGGTTGTTATATGCATGGATTGCACTCTCATCGAAACGCACGCTATTCGCCCTGGAAGCGCCACGCCTCGGCTCATCTTCATGGTCAATCTGGATATGGGTTCCTAGCCCATGGTGAGCCTGATCAAACCCTTTGAAAGGTTCGGCAGTGGCATTAAACACGGCATCTATATACAGCCCACGTCAGCAATGCTCAAAAGCGACTAAATCATACATTTGTATAGCAGTAGTAGGAACTCACCATGATTCCCGTGGCCAGCACTTGAAGGAATAGGTGAAAACGGGCTCCAGAGACTTTTCATCTTAGCATCATCTTCCTTCCTACGCTCGAGCTTGGCCAGCCGTTCCGCGTGCTCGGCCTGCGTGGCACACAGATCCTTCACTTCCTCGTGTACACGCCAGATATCTTCTCTTGTAGCAAAGGGATATTGTGCGTCCATTTCCTGCCAAAGACACCACCTCCTTCTCTCGCCGCCGTCACGTCCGGGCCCGAAGTTCTTACACGAGCAGTGTGGCGTCAAAGGTCAAGGAATGAATAGGGGCTGCCCACCCTACAGCAACCATCCGGGATGCGCGTACGACGCGCAATATCAGGAGGCGGAATGACACGGAGTTCTCTCTTCTTAGGGAGCCGCGGGTATAGCAACTACGCTGCACGATTCCAGCACCGGCAGCAGACCATAGACCTCAGTATATCGTACTAAAGACAACGAAGCCTTTAGACGTTCCCCCTCTCGCTATTTCACCAAACAAGTGGGATATGTGTATACTTTCAGGGCCTCCAGACGCCGGTAATGTGACAGCCGAGGCTTCCTTCGTTCAATATATTCACTTGGGGGCCGCAGCCTGATGGCGGGACAGCCCACCGGGGCCAATATGCGTCTTCTCCAAGTTGTGTAGCCTCAAGCCTTCTGCCTGCCGTCTGGAGGGCCTTTTTTCGTTTTTGTACGAAGCGGAGAAGTCAACGGCCGCCGGAGGTGGTCAGAGCCGCAGAATATGGCACCAAAGTAGATAAAGGTCGCAGTTGAAGGCGTATACCAGCCCTTAGAGTCTTAATGCGATGTTTTCTTGCGCTGATTGTTCGGTCAGACAGGCTGACGTTGGTCGAGTAAAAACCCCTCGGCGAGAGCTATGCTGTGGCGATGGTGACAGGTAAACCGCGAACTCGACGATCTATGACAGCTAGAGGGCGGCTGGACAGAGACAAGGCGGTCGTGATAATCGCAGACGGGCGCAAAGATCGGACGGAAGAAGCTGATCTGGCAGTTCGAGGGCGTTTGGAAGCGGGTGGTTGTCGGTCGTTGGATGCGGCCTCAGGGCACCCTTTTGGCCGAGTAGTTTAGATAACTCGCTAGTTAGTTAATCGGTTTAGCGACCAGAGCTCAGTGTAACAGGCGAGTGACTAATAAATAGGCAGTGCAAGGCCGGGCTTCGTCGTAGGCTGTTGATTCAACGGGGATCTTTTCGTCTGTAGGAGAGCAGTGTTGGTTGCGATGTCTAGTGGAAGCAGAAGATGGAGATGAAGTTGGTGAATCTTGAGTCTTGATGGTTAAAGCCAACTTTTATCCTAGTTAAGAACTGCCAACTAACTCGCTGGATGTTCATGTGAATGGCCCCGGCGTATAGCTATGGCATTAAACAGGTTGTCTGATATTATGATGAAGGCATTCACTGTTACACGTCCCATCCGGACCTTTCAATGGGGATTTACGTGGTTTTTCGGCAGGTTCACTGGCCAGGGGGGGGAGGGAGGTACAGACAGACGACCAAACCGCTGCAGGCAGGCATATTTACATCTACTTGAAACCGAAACAAACAGGCTCAGCATTTCATTAAATGTTTCAGGGCAGGGGCCCTGCTTGCGGACGGTCCGCAGACTCCTAAACGCCAAAGAAAGAGATATGTTGCATATGTATATACTCCGCATGTATGCATGTATAGGAGCAGACGGACACAGCTATGCGTCTTCGGCAAACTGGTACGGCGGGAAATGGACAGGCTGCTTCTCAGGAGCTTCTTTATTTGAAAAATTCATGACTGACCAAGTATTCTAAGCTGATTGCCTATTGCTGTGACGGCGGCGGTCCGGGCGTATATAGGGGGTTCATGTTAGCATAGGATATACCAGCATACTTGACTTGGACTGACCATCTATGAGCAAGGAGGCCAGCCTGGGGTTCTCAGGAATGCCCCTTGATCCGGCTATCGGCTGGCCTTCGACCCAGCCGGCCTCTTTCATAAAGGCAGACCATATATCTGCAATAGCTACGTGAAGAGATTTGCCGACTTCGCGACAGGCATCGGCGTACAGCTTGGTGTTGTTGGCTGTGCGAGACAAGGGGGTGACTCCCTTGGACAGGTCAAAGGCTGTGAGCTGATACTCGTTGACTGGCGGCGGAGTGAGAAGGACCATCTTGGTGCCTCCGTATCTGACTACGGGGTGCTGGATAATCGCCCTGAGGTTTTCTGCGTATTTGTCCACAGGCACGTACTGGTCTCCTGGTGGCAGGACAGCATCATTGGCACCAAAGAACACGGTCTATCTTGACATTAGCCCAGCTCAAGCAATAGCATAGCAATAGAAAACAACAAAGTGAGATACGTACCATCATACGGACTTTGGCTACGTGAGACGGTGGGAAGAACTGTGGCAGCACATTCAGCCCCTGAGAGGACGTATATCCGCTACACCCAAGGCACATAAGCTGAACGAACGGAGTAAGACACTATACTTATATTGTCCTTTCATACCTGAAGCCACGGTTAAGGACATCCAGCTTTCGCACATAGTCTGTTCAACGTCAGAGCTGGACATGTACGGTATAGTTCGGTGCGAAGACAACCAGACTGACCATCTTGCATCTGCGGCGAAAAAGCAAAGCCACGGCCCTGGTATGCTGAGAACTGGGTGATCGAGTCTCCAAAGAGGAGGATTTGGTCGTATGGAATATACGACTTTGCCTGGACGTAGCCCTGAGCGAGGGACATTTCTGTAGTCATGACGAGGCCCAGTATCAGGACGAGGCGCAGAAGGGCCGTCGATGTCGGCTATCAGCAGTTATAGACTTAGATGCTCTGGTATACTGGGTGTATCCTTAATTGATCAAGACAGGACAAAGCAATCCGAACATGACAGAGAGAGAGAGAGAGAGAGAGAGAGTAAGTGGTATTATCACTTATATGCTTGGTGAGTGAGTTCGGGATGGAAAAAGGGAAAAGGGGCTGACTGGGCTCGCATCACTCGACTGCAACCCGTGGATGTTGAACCAAGTTTGAACATGGACAACATGTACACGAACATAAGACAGGCTGAAAAAGGAACAAACGAGGCTTTGGCCAGACTAGGTTGGCGGGTTAAATAAAGTCCGCCAGGGACGGTTTGGATGGGCTTTACTATAGAGTTGTGGCGAAAAGGTACAAGACGAGAGCAGGCCTACCTTGATACTAGAGCTATAGAGCATCGTTGGCGGATAGGTAGAGGGTAGAGAAGAAGAATAAGTAGGAGATATGTTCAAAGGTAAAGACAATATGCTATAGATTTGAAATATGCATTCTTGAGGCAATAGAGGCAAAGATCCAAGTACATCCTCGAGGGGAAACCTCAGGGAAATGGACAATATATACACCATCTCATGGGAAGATGAAGAGCCGATTCTGTTTCCATACCATGAGGTAGTATATCGAAACGACCAAGGGCCAGGCTACACTGCCGTGTAACCCGACACAACCTTTCCCCCCAGGAGAGTGGTAGACTTGACACATATCACAGTTGGGTTGTGTCCCCTTGACCTCCAACCGAAGCAGAGTGCCGTCCCTTCTGGCCCAGTCGACCGTTAGCCCGGAGTACACTTCCATGCCTCGGCCAGCGAAGAGCAAGAGTGTGACCAGATGTCTTTGTTCGAGTGCAGCTGCTCAACGCAACGTCGTATCGAGCAATATGGAAAAAAAGTCTGCAAACTTCCAACGGTTAAAATTGAATATTCATTTACCCTCATGCATCGTCAAAACCGGTGGGTAGGGCCCGTTGGCCGTTGCCGAGGAGCCGGCTGGAACTAGATAAGGTAGATTAACACAGGTGCTACCCGTCGTTGGCGTCTAGAGCTCTAGACCAGCCCGTGCCCATCAAGCCATATGACGGACAGCATGGTAAACAAGCTATCGAAAGGGAGCATCACCCATCACCTCCGGAGAATCCAAGAAAGAAAAAATGCTTGTTAGGCTGGCCCTGCCAACAAGACATCAGATCCGAGCATATCAGCAGGGCCACCCGCATGGTGATCGACACGGCTCCTGGTTCCATCGCGGGGTATTTCGACGGCCATGTATTAGTAGTAACTCCGTATTAGTATGTCGAAGTTATATGCTAGGACTATGCGGGTTTGCTTCCTTTCCCCGGATTCCCATCTGGCATGCTGCATGACATCCATCCCTTGCGTCTGATCGACTCGACACGCTTCTGCCGTAGATCCAAAGACATCACCGAGGACAGCTCAGGCTTTTTCTGTCCTGGTTGCACGAGATCAAAGCAGCATCCTGGTCCATGGGAACAGAGAACTTGACTTATCCATCCTGTGGCTGCTTGTGCCTCTTATAGACGTGATACTCCGTGCTCTATATCTGTGATGAGTTACCGTCCTGGTCAGCTTCAAAGACGGGGTCCCCTGCTGCCTCAAACACAGCGGAAACCGCGCAAGATATATATCATATCCTCGTCCATGGAGCTGCCTCGATAAAACCCAGCCAGCCAGTTGCCTTCTCAACGCCCGCGGGTCTAATATGCAGCCTTTCGCTAGTTAATTAGCTGCTGCACTAGTTAGGGACCTTGCCTGCCTTTCCCGCCCGGCTCGCGCCCGCCACGTCCCGCGGTCCAGCCTGCGCCCTGTCCATATCCGTCTTCTCACTGTGTATACTCCGCATGTCTAGGCCATGTCTTCTGTGTATATGTCTTTGGATAGTTGTCTATCTTCTGTCTGTCTTCTGGATAGTTGTCTGTCTTCTGTAGTTTGTGTGTAAAGAAAAAGAAACGCCCCACGTGACCGGGGATCTTCGCATAACGTCTCCGTCTTCTCTTGCTTCGTCGTTCGCCTTAATTTGCTCCATCTCGTTTAAACTGTCTTGCCGCTGCTGGGCCAAAGGGGTTCGATGCCGGTCAGATGATGCTGTTGCCGCCCATGCAACCCCGGCTGATCCCTTTTTTGCGCTCTCTGTCGTCACTCGCTGGATGATTATTGCTGTGGTGCCGCGAGGTCTTGTAAGTACCGCTACCAAGCATAACACACACCTCATAGCGAAAGCTTTGCATAGACTACCCCCGTATTTCGAGCATCATTGGGTGGCTGCAGACCGTCGGTCATGTCATATCCCCAAATACTGTCGGGGAAAAGGGGGTTTCAGGCCCTATTTTCGAGTTGTTTCTGTTTGTTGATCGCCTGATGGAGACGCTCAACTCATCTGACTGAGCCGCCTGTGGTCTTATGAGCATCTCATTTCTCTGCGCCTTGATATACCGGATTCCTCCCCATACTGATCCCGTTTTATAGGACCCTAAATCCTCCAGTCGTACGCACGTGTATACGGTTTTTCTTTTTCTTTTTCTTTTGTGCTAGTTATTCGTGCAACCAACCTCCTGGGGAGAGCGTCCCGATATATCTGAGTTTACTATGGCTCGAGCCGTGTCATCACGCTCGATGACAGACGAAGGCCGGCGCGCTGGTGGTGACGGTGATAATAATCCTGGCTCGCGAGCGAGGACGATGCCTGTAACATCTCCCCCCTCGCCGACGGCCTCTCGGAGCGATAGCACCCCTCGTCTCCCCGAGATCCGATTCAGCATCCAACGAAGGCCTGGAGCAGCAGCAGGAGGAGCAGATATGGACGAAAGGACGAGCTTGCTTGACGCAGGCAGCCAGCACCACCACCAGCGAGGTTACAGCACAAATCCTGCCTCTCCTCGCCCGGATGCCTTCTTCAGACACAACAGCACCGCAGGCAGTCTGCGTATGTCCAAAAGCCATAGCCGTGCAAACTCGCAGGCTGTCAGGTTTGCTCCTTCGACCAGAGCGGCAGAGTTTGTACCTGCAGAGGCAAACGACGAGCCAACGAAACCTCCGAATGCCTCTCCTTACTCTGATGACAGGGTCTGGTACGACCAGTTTACGTCTACGGACTGGGTGCACGACACCATTGCCGACGGTATACGGCTGAGAGAGCTACGGAGCCGACGTGATATCCGTGGAAAGCTGCTGGCCTGGGTTGATGGCGCTCAGGGATGGGTTCTGGTTGCAATAATCGGCCTTCTTACTGCTTGCGTCGCATACTTTGTCGACGTTACCGAGATCGTCATATATGACCTGAAGGAAGGGTTCTGCAGCAACAACTGGTTCATGAGCAAGAAGCACTGCTGTCCGTCGGAAAAGGAGGCCTGTCTAGCATGGCGTTCGTGGTCCGAAATACTCGAATCGTCGTCCATCGACAGCATGTGGATCGACTTTGGAGCATTTGTCTTCTGGGCCGTCTTGCTAGCGGCCGGCTCCTGCACCCTTACGCTGCTCACCAAGACCGTCGTCCCGTCCTCCATCTCTCTCACAACCCTGGATGAAGATTTCGGTGCCGTGGGTAGTTCCTATCCCGATGAGACGCCCCAACCTACCAAGACCAACCTCGATGTCAGAGCCGTCCAAGATGCAGTCCCGCCGCCTATGGTATACTACTCTGCCGCTGGAAGTGGTGTTGCAGAGGTCAAGGTCATCCTCTCTGGCTTCATCCTGCACGGATACCTTGGAGTCCAGACGCTCGTCGTCAAGACTTTGGCCTTGGTCCTGAGTGTTGCGTCCGGTTTGAGCGTTGGAAAGGAAGGCCCCTACGTCCACATAGCCACATGTATCGGTAACATCTGTTGCCGACTCTTCTCCAAATACCACTACAATGATGGTAAAAGGAGAGAGGTGCTAAGTGCCAGTGCTGCCAGCGGCGTTGCTGTTGCCTTTGGAGCTCCCATCGGAGGTGTTCTCTTCAGTCTGGAGGAAGTCAGGTATGGTTCCCCTGCACCTACTACATATTTATTGGCTGTATAAGCCTAACATATTTCTTCTAGCTACTATTTCCCGCCAAAGACCCTCTTTAGGACATTCTTTTGCTGTATTGTAAGGCTCCACTCCTGCCCTTATGGTTTAGAAACTACATTCTAACTTTTATGACTAGGCCGCTGCCCTTTCGTTGAAGTTCCTTAACCCCTACCAGACGGGCAAAATCGTTCTCTTCCAGGTCCGCTATGTATCCGACTGGGAAATGTTCGAGCTCGCCATTTTCATGCTTCTCGGAGTCCTCGGCGGCGCCTTTGGTGCTCTCTTTATCAAAGCCTCAAAGATGTGGGCTCAGACATTCCGTCGTATCCCCGTCATCAAGAAGTGGCCAATGCTCGAAGTTGTCCTGGTTGCCCTGATCACCGGTCTCATCAGCTTCTGGAACCGTTATACCAAGCTTGCCGTTTCTGAGCTGCTCTTCGAGCTCGCAAGTCCCTGTGATTACGGTGGGAAAACGGAGACTGGAAATGGCCTGTGCCCGAAAAGAGAAGACATCCCCGACGTCATCAAGTACCTAGTAGTTGCGTTCATCATCAAATCTTTCCTCACCACTATAACCTTTGGTATCAAGGTCCCAGCTGGTATCTACGTTCCCTCTATGGTTGTCGGTGGTCTCATGGGTAGAATTGTCGGTCATGTCGCCCAGTACTTCGTCGTTCATTATCCGAATTTCTTCCTCTTCGGACAATGCCCAAGTACCAAGCTTGCGGAGTCATGCGTTAACCCTGGTGTTTACGCCCTCATTGCTGCCGGCTCAACCATGTGTGGCGTCACTAGGCTAAGCCTGACGCTTGTCGTCATCCTGTTCGAACTCACAGGCAGTTTGGATCATGTTCTTCCTTTCTCCCTTGCCATTCTATGCGCCAAATGGGTTTCCAACGCAGTCGAGCCTCTCAGCATTTACGACCTGCTTACAGACATGAACTCCTACCCATTCCTCGACAACAAACTACATCCCATAGCCAACATCGAGCTCGGAGACATCGTTCCTCGTGTCCGAAGGAACAGAGTCATCGATATCTCAAACTCCCCACTGGTCCGTGCGACTGAACTGCGCGAAAAACTGGACAAGCTCCTGATGGCCGGCGAGCTCGATGGTGGCCTGCCAATATTAAACAAGAATATCCTTGTTGGCTTAATCCCAGCTCCCGAGCTGGAATATGCGCTTGATAAATTGGACTCGGAGGAGGATACGATGTGTTTGATGTCTATGCAGTCGTCGTATCTAGGCGATGGAGAAAATGACATGGACGTCACTGATTTCACGCCATTTATTGACCCAGTACGTTATCACTTTACGCTCTTTTTAGCTATATACTTCGTGCTAACCCGTCCATCTATTGCAGTCACCTGTTTCACTAGATATCCATTCGCCTATCAACCTGGTTTACCAATGTTTCGTTAAGTTAGGGCTTCGATACATGTGCGTCCTTCGAGATGGACAGTATGCAGGCCTGGTACATAAAAAATCTTTCGTCAAATTCATGAAGGAGACTGAAAAGGCTTCGGCCGCGATCCACTAAGCCCGAAGCCTACTCCTTAAAATAAAAATAGAGACCGCTCACTGTATGAGCACCATTCTGGAGGTGTGGCTGCTGTCGATTGATTGACTTTGCGTGCGCTATTCCTTTATCCGCCTTTTTTGCTTTGGATTGTTATTTTTATTACATCCTTTGCTCATTTACCCGGTATTGTACCGGGACCAGGGGACACTTTATATCCTCTAATACTTCATTCTCTAACAGTTCTTCGTTACTTCGAGACTGTTCATTTTGACTTAGAACTGCGCATTTCTAAGGCGTTTTTCTCCTTCCAATGTTGACGTTGTGTTTATTTAACTTTGCCATTTGATCATTTAGCCGATATTTTTTCCTACCTCATGTTTCCATGTATCCTTATTATTTCTACTATTGCTGCATATACATATAGATGAGACTATCAGAGAATGTTTTTTCACTTTCAATTATTCCAAATATATCAAAGGTATAAGTACCCATACCATGAACTCACCCGGCTTTCAGTAGTCTTCATAGCCTCTCATATCCCAATACTTTCATGGCAACATCACCTTCCCAGATCCAATCCGAAGATACATCTTCACCAACCCATTCTCCAAGCTGCTGGGATGAGACTTGGTTCCATCCTTCCTTGACATCCGTCTCATCAATCGGAAAGCAGGTATCACATTCAAACCCATCGACTAGATTCTCAACATCACCCTGCGTATTCCCTTCTGCCCGGCGTCGAACATCAGTCCTCACGATTCGAAGCGGGTTCTTCTCCCCAAGCACGTCAGCAGTCAGCCGTAAACTAGACGCGTATATCTCACTGCCTCCCATGATATATATATTTCCCAGCTGTCTCTTTCCCGCCTGGACATCAGACGATGAACATGACACAAAGCCTCTCTGTAAGGTAGATAAAGCGTCCTCCAGACTGCTTGAGACGATCATCTCCGGCTCGTCCGTAGACGTAGGAGTAGTTGCGGCGTTATTAGCATCCTGGCCCGCCGCCTTCTCCAGCTCTCGTTTCTTCGACGCGTGCCAGTCCGCAACTGCACGCTCCTTGACAGACCCGGATTCATCTCGTGTTATAATGACGTTAAGTCTCTTGGGTAGCGGTCGAAATCTCGTTGGTATCGAGTCATATGTCTTTCGGCCCATGATCACCGCGTTGATGGCTGGTGAAGCTGAAGCTGGTCCAGAGCCTGAGGCTGTAGGTGTAGCTGGAGGACGCGTCGTTATGCGAGCAAAGAAGCTCATGTCTGTCTTTATCCTGGGCCATGGCAGTGTTCCTCCTTTGCCAATCCCGAGCTTGCGGATGCTGGGGTTTGTAGTAGATGTTAAGGGTGTGGTCGCGACAACGAGAGTGAGGGGTGGGAGTTTTGCGGGCATATTTGAATTCTCGGTGCTAGTGGTCATTTCGAAGATGCGAGTAGCGTTTCAATGGTATCAGTAGTAGATTTAATGAGAATGGTATAGGTATCTATGCTGATAGGCAAAGTGGTTTGGATGTTTCTTCGCGAGCGCGTAGTTAAAGTGGTGGGGTGTTGCTAACGGCTGCACTAGGGATTCTATCACTTGCGTACAAGAACTACTAGGCGCATTCGGAGGGTACAGTAAGTGATAATGACGAAATGAAATTGGGATATCTTCTAAATAGTGTATATGCTGCATTCCAAGTCAACTCCTTGCACGTTAAACCAGACTCTGCCATCCAGCCAGAAAAAAAAAAACAGGACATTATGAAAGCACTGGCGTATCTCATTGCTTCTCCGACTCTGCTTGTGTTCTCTGCTGGATCATGTCTCTGACAGCTTCAACGTCCTTCTCCAGCTGTTCCCGCCGCTGAACATCTCTCTCATCTTCTCCAAGAGTCTCCAGCTTCCCAAACAGCCATGTCTCTTTCAATGTACGGGTAAGTGACAAGATATCTTCGGCAGCGCGGATCTAACAGTAGAAGGACATAAATTAGTCCTACAAAGCTCATGCCAGAACAACAAGCATGGCCGCATTGACCAGAAGGCTACTCACAAGAGCTGTTGATTCAACATCTAGTTGATACGACTCAATGGCCGAAGATGTGCGACTGGGATTGTCCACCTAGGTAAGTTCCATTTAGCACTCTGCCTCTACCAGCTGCTGGATCGATGAGCATGGATTTATCGTACTGTTGCAGCGGCCATGATGTTCTCGAACCTCTGGAGAAGCTGTGTTATATCCGCATTGATTCGTGCTGCAGGACTCCATTAGACTAAGAATTCCAGCAAAAACCAAGGGATTGCTGCATACCATGGAGGGCACGGGAGTTCGGCTGCTGCGTAGCCATTGCACGCTCTTACAGCAAGGCTCTCTTCTCTAGCTCTTCACTGTTGATGTCTTTCGAGAATCAACTGTCGAGTGTTGAAAGCCGAATCACTTAGGGTATCAGCCAAAATAAAATTAAGGTTTAAATCTAATCTTATCCTTATCACGAGTATAAAACCCTCCAGCTCCTACCTGGTAGTTATCAACGGTCAACAGAATCGTGCGGAAAATCAGATGAGCTCTTTGTCTTTTAGAATCAAATAAAGGGTTGATGCATCGTTCATCTCCCGGTAGGCGAATGCCAGTTCGATTACTCATCAATGGCAGGACTTTGGCGCAAAAGAATGAGAGATAATTGTTAAATGGGCTTACAGCCTCTGGAAGATGTAGTTAGATTCATCTAGGTATCTCTTACTCCCACACGATGCTCCCACGTCGATATGATCTCAGCGCAGAGGTCGCTCTATTTTTTGAGGGCCATGTCCCTGCCACACCTCAACAGTGCGATGCCTTTGCGATTAGTCTTTTTGGCGAGCCAGTCAATCGTGTACCGATCCAGGGACAGTTTAGCTATACACTGCTTGTGGGCCTGGAGCCCATGGTTGTACAATTTCGCTCTCCCAGGTCGCAGCTTGATCCCAAGATAACGTCTCTTGCGAAGAGTGTACATGGTAGATTGGCAGCAAAGACCCAGCCATACGGGGGGATAGCAAATGATTCTCTATTCGTCTATGTTATTGAAAGACTACCCGGTGTTGCTTACATTACTGTCAACTTTGGCATCGAGAAGCAGATGAAGACGGTAGTAGGGCTGGCAAGGTACAGTATGTTTTGCCCTTGAGATTACGGCCATTTAGCTCATATAAAGCACTAGGTTTTTCGCTACATCATGGATCAACGCGCAACCGCGGCCAGAGACTCTGTTACAGAGTAATTATGACAAAATGCTCGAGCAACTCTCTAAGTTAATGCCGCCTTACCTTACTCCAGCAATCGTATCTGCCCGAGCAGGGTTGAATCTACTCTTTGGTAGCGACTTTCGCTGCGCACTGTGCCATGGTGATCTAAATGATATGAACCTCCTAGTAGATGAAGAGACAGGGGATTTAACTGGAGTTATAGATTGGGCAGAAGCTAGCATTCAGCCTTTCGGGATGTCTTTATGGGGGTTAGAGACGCTTCTAGGATTTTCAGATAGGGATGGCTGGCATTACTACAGTGCTAGTAACTCTCTAGAGGACGCATTCTGGGCCGCTTTCTATGATGAGATCGGTAGTATCTCGGAAGAGGATAAGAAGCTCATAGACATTTCTAGAAGAGTTGGAATCTTGTTAAGATACGGGTTTGTATGGATCAATGGGGTCGAGACGCCGGTGACAGAGCAAACTGGGCTGGATAGTTTGCGGCGCTTACGGGCATTTTTCCAGAAGGAGTGAAGTGAACTCCGTAACTAACGAGGTCCAAAGTGCCAAGACGGAGGAAGATGGCATCTACACTAGTTAACACAGAACTATAGATGTTCAATTTGATATCATATAACAAGATACATAGCTAGCTACAACACTAGGCAATGAGAACTGCTGTGGTTCAACAATAATTATAGCATTCATTCAGATCATTTCAGAAAGGAGAGAGATGGTGGGTTTTGTAGTAAAAGCTTAGTAGTTGGAGCTGGAACCTCCGTGGCTGCCAGAGAGCTTGTCGCCGATCATCTCACCAACCTTACCGAGGACCTTGGAGGCAGCGGACTCTGCAACGTTATGATTAGTAACTACTCGGCCAGCAGGAGCGGTGGAGGGGGAGGGTAACTAACTGTTCTCGCTGTCATTGTCGTTGTAGCCGGATCCGCTGTTGTCATGGCGGGTCTTGGATCCGTAAGAGTCGTTATCGTTGCTGGAGCCGTAGGTGTCGCTCTTCTTGGAGGAGGAGTAGGTGTCGTTGTCATTGCTTCCGTAGGTGTTGCCAGAAGTGCGAGACTTGGATCCATAAGAATCATTGTCATTGCTAGAACCATAGGTGTTGCCAGAGCGGCCAGATGAACCATATGAGTCGTTGTCTCTGGACTTGGAGCCGTAGCTGTCGTTGTCACGGCCGGAGGAGCCGTAAGAGTCGTTATCCTTGGACTTGGAGCCATAGGAGTCGTTGTCTCTTGACTTGGATCCATAGGAGTCATTGTCGTTGCTGGAACCATAAGTGTTGCTGGAGGTCTTGTTCGATCCATAGGTATCGTTGTCACGGCCAGAGGAGCCATAGGAATCGTTGTCCTTGGACTTAGATCCATAGGAGTCGTTGTCACGGCCGGAGGAACCGTAGGTGTTGCTGGAGGACTTGTTCGATCCATAGCTATCATCATTGCCAGATCGGCCTGACGAGCCATAGGTATCGTTGTCTCTGGATTTGGAGCCGTAGCTGTCATTGTCACGGCCTGACGAACCGTAGGTATCGTTGTCTCTGGACTTGGAGCCGTAGCTATCATTGTCCTTGGACTTAGATCCATAGGAGTCATTGTCACGGCCAGATGAACCGTAGGTATCGTTGTCCCTGGACTTGGATCCGTAGGAGTCGTTATCACGTCCCGAGGAGCCATAGGTGTCGTTGTCCCTGGACTTGGAGCCGTAGCTGTCGTTGTCGTTGCCGGAGCGGCCTGACGATCCATAGCTGCCGGTGTTGCCGGAGCCGTAGCTGTCATTGTTTCCGCTACCGGACTATTAATAGCGTTAGCTCAGCAGGACCAAAAAAGGGCAAGGTGCTCAGCAGGGCCACAACATACGTAGTTGTCGTTGTCACGGTTGCTGTAAGACATTGTGAAGGATGTATAGATGTGCTAAAGGGGATCTGTATAGTAGAACTGTCTAGGACAAAGCAGAAGAAGTCTTTGATTGTGTATGGGAGAGATAGAGAATCTTTGGGGGATATTGCGGATGAAGAGGAGCCTTTTATATCTATACAACCGCCCCCCTTTACGACGAAAATAACAGAGGGGGCCAGTGATGACGATATGGAGTTACCCCTCCACGCCGGCTGGAAGTAAGCCAAAAACCCAATCCATTGCACCGTGATCGTCACGCCTGCCAACTTCGGAGATGCATTGGTAAAGGGGGTGGTGGGTATGTATCAGTCTGACGCCAGCGCAGAACGCGAGGGCGCAAGCTCTCCGTGGAAGTGGATGGGCTGGACGGACGGCGGGGGCGCGGGGAGGATGTGATTGATCGAACCAGGCCAAAGGATACAGTCTGATACAGGGGGACGAGATCAGTCTATGCGCAAAGGTGGCATGGCCCCATGCAAACAATACGTATATCGTGGTGATGTTGCTTTTCCTCCTCGCATACACTCCGTACACAGCACTAGTTAAGCTCCTGCAGATAGAGGGCTTACCACAGGCCAATTGTGAGGCAACATCGTCTTCCGATCGAACCCCGCATCGCACGCCATGAGTTTAGTATCGTCTTTCAATCTGCCGAGATGTGACAGTTCGAGCTTCCTCGCCCAACGCCCTATGTACTCCGTATGGCCGCATCATCACATCGCGAGAGAGAGCGGGCGAAGAAATGCACGACAGCGTCCCATCGGGCGGGGACAACCGTGGCCTGAGGGAAATACACAATATGTACACACGGGAAGTTCAGGAGAAAGGGACAGGCCCCGGCGCGAGTGAGCTCGCCACTCGGCTTGGAAGCTCTGGGACAGGTCGAAGGGGGCCGTCCGGTGGCTGTGCAGGGGAAGCTTTTGCCACAGTGATATGCTTATTCTGTGGCTGAGCACAGCCACATCGGATCTGCTCGTGTTGATGCTTGTCGAAGTCGGGATATCCAAGTCTTTTCTCCGGCAGGCGTGTGCAGTGTCCAGGGACAAGAATGTTTGGATGTTTGCCACTTGTATTGTTTTCTAATACATTATGTAAGCACGTAGGGATGTGGTATATACTAAATAAACTTTATAGCTAAGGAAGGAAGGGTATTATTGGCTAATAACAAGGCCTTTACTTACTAAGCCACTCTTACTCTATTTTACTTATATTACTTAAGCGTTTTTTCACTTATGTACGCAGTGAAGAAGACAGGATATGACATAGAAGATTCACTTCCCCTTTTTGCTTCGGCAACCTTCTTTTCTTTCCTTAAGCCCATAGCCTAAATTCTCCCTTACACTCTTCCTTATACCTCTCCCTTACTTAGTTTTGTGTGATCTCCAGCTATGCAGAGAGAATGTCTCAATATATCAGAAATGAAGAGCTATGAGCTCAACTTGTTTAGAAATAGAAGGGCCTACTGGAAAGCGGCACTGAATCTGTTTAAATACGCTACTCCGCTGGGTTATTTGGCCCCCAACCTATAGAGGCCTATGCAGACTGTAAACTATTGAAACTTACGTTTTACTAACTTCAGCAACGTGAAACCACCCGCACTTATACAGCCGATATCATGGATATCCCAAACTTCCCCAATAATGTCGAGTTGGAAGATATAAAAATTTTCAACGGCAGGGATGGATGTTGGGATGTTCATATTCCACTTTAGCCAGACTACACAAGGATACCTTGGGGTATCAGGCCTTTTTATCCCTTGTGGTCCAAAAATGGACACCTCATCAAATCAGGTGAGGTTATAGAGCTGACAACATTGGGCCCTGAAAGTCAGCCATTGCCTAGCTGGGATCTGTTAGAGATGCAATGGGTACTGCAACGTTTGACCGCCCTAACTGGAGCCGCAGACATATATGATTCATTCCACAGTGAGTCTGAAATTTCGCAGACTCCATGTACTCTATAATAGAGAAAGGCGATATTTCCCATGCGATGATGTTGACGGGGACTGGTATACGGCGGACTACATGAACCATGGGCTCAAAATTATTTATCTAATACACCTTCGTATTGTCACTCTATAAGGGCTCTCTCGGGTGACTAGAGTGCCTATAGATATCGCGGATATGGCGGTTATCACGAGGCTAGTGGTGACAACGGTGACTACAGGTCGTTTAATAGTTGAATATTTACAAACTACAGCGGTGTATAGTAATTATCCACCAGGTATCCTTATGATTAAAATTGACGTCGCCTCTCCAAAACTACTAACATACTCCGTAATAGCGTACAAGTTGATAGTGGCAAAACTCCATGGCGCCTCTAAAGCCACTCCTGGCTTACCGGACATACTTAGACTGATGGAAGAGTAGAAAAGTTAACATTGCACCTGGTTAGAAAGGAGAGCAGGGAAGGAAACAAACCATGAATCGCTTGTGGAAATCAGATCGTAGTAAATCCTGACAGTAAACATAAGGTTAGTTAACCTAGATCCATATAATATAAGGTATAAACAAGATACACAACAAGATAATATAATAACCTTACATTAACAAACTCCTTGTCACCCTTGTTTTCTGTGCCTCGAGCTTGATTCTTGAAGATGACATCATCATCCCATCGCCGTTTGATATTGAAATCTTGCGGGTTGAGCAGCGGATTTCCCCGAGCAATTTCGATTTCTCGTTCCTCTTGTTCTTTTGCCGCCTGTTCTTGTTCCTACAATGCTGTTAGTCGATAGTGCTCCAAGCTTCCGTAGAATTTCAGCTTACCTCTCTCTCTCGCTGCTCTGCTCTTTCTCGTTTTATTTTCTCCAGTTCTCGCATTAGCTCCGCGGTTTCATCTTCCTCGTCATCACTGAGGCAGATATGTTAGCAGACGGTATGCAATAGCCGCTAAACGGTTCAATTCCCCTCGTACCTATCTTCTTCACTGCTGTCCGAATCCCCGCCGTCTGAATCTGCATCTATATCTCGCGTCTCTTCCAGTATCCTTCGCCGCTTGGCTTCGGGATCTTCGTCCGCATCCTCCTCCTGCCCTGGAGCGGACTCCAATTGTCGTTTGGGAACGGACGGCTCCGCATCAGTGTTAGATGGCACAGGTCCTCCCTTGAGCTTGGCAAAATGCGCAGCTTCGGCTTTCAACAGCTCGGCGCGTAGGTCCCGTGTCTCTGGCTGAGCATCTGCTGCTCCTCCTTGCCCTGGTTGTCTATGAAACTTAATTAGCTGGAGCTCCTAAGGTAGGCTGTTCACAGTTCCGTACCTGACTTTGAGATGTGTATGAGCAGGGAGAAGTCGCTGGTGGTATGCCGGGCCTCTCTGGGCTTCTTTGCCTCGAGCCTATCGTAACCGTAAGTATTTTGAAATGTCATATGAGGCTTTTGATACGTTGACGTACTGGGTCAAAGGTCGGTCTATGGGCTAAAGTGCAAGTCAGTAAATGACCTTCTCTAAGTCCCTCATTATCACATACCTGTCGTCATTTTTCAACTTCCGAAGTAGATCCTGGGCTAGCCTATGCGTTGATAACGTTGTGAGGCCTGCAGAGAGAGCTTGCTGTTGATCGATAAGAGCAAATGGAGCGACCAGAAAATATTGCTTAGTCACCAAATAAATTCATATCATGTGATTAGCGAAATCCAACCAATAAAACCGATGAAAATTAGTTAATTAAAATTAAGCCAATGGCAAACAATATATTAAGTTGAAGTTCAGGTCCTTTAACCTTAAATTATATGCTAATATTGACGCTAAATCCATGGGTGTAATGAATAAGGGTTCATTGGAGCTGATGTCTATACGTTCTTCAGCTTTGATGACCACCTTATCATGTTGAGACTGCTAAGACTATAAATAATGAGTGTAAGTACTTACAAGAGGTGTATCCCTCAACCAGCGTAAAACAGGCATATTATAACTGTTCTATTTAAAACGACACTGCATTTGTAAGGTCTATCTATAACTATACAAAGAGGATTTTGTTCTCGTATGCCAAAAACCAATGAAAACGTCGATAGTGTGTATCCCTAATCCAGCTCCGCTGTATAATGATTCTCTCCAGAATTTTGGGCCAAGGCTTATTCACTTGGCCCTCATAGTATTCGGAGTGGGGATCAAGAAATAATGTAAAATCCACAGGAAGTGGGGGATGGCTGAGAAACCCGTAGATAGACTCGGGAATGAGATTACCACCCCAGTGTGTAAGAATGCTTCGTTCTTTGTATCTCAAACTTGTCCTTTCCAGGCGGTATGGTACCACTTAGAGACTGATATTTGTGAGCGACCAGAAATATCTCTAGGATTCGGATTCCAATTTGATATTGCAGCAGGCCCTCTAGGGAGGGCTCTGGTCAATTCCCGGTGTGGTGTACAGCACTGTACTTAAGCTTCTGTCCGCTTAATAATGCGCCCACAGTAGCCTGCTAGGGCGGGTATATATAGTGAGGTGTCATGGCCGGCGGGCGATTCTCTCGATCACTAATAAGAATCGTCGCAATAGGGTTATACATTCGATAGGGTTGTAGCCGTGAATACCCCCGGTGCTTAACCCAAGTATACGGTCATGTAAAAATAATTCCCAAGTTCAATGATATAATCAAAGTCCGCCATGGAAGGAAAATGATGACAATATAAGGACGAGAACGTTGATGCAGCCCCAGGCAAAGGGAATCCATGTTGACATTTTAAAGCTGCCTGCTTCGTAAACCAAACCAAGACTGAATGAAAAAAAGGAATTAGTATCAAGAGCCCTCTGGCTTCGTTTTCGACTTGGCCAATGGAAGCCAGGACTTACATTAACCCGACAACGCTTCCGGCTAACACCCCTTCCAGGCCAGCAACGATCGCGTATACGAGTGGAATTGCCCATACGAGCTTCCAGCTGTGTCTTTGACAGATAACCGCGTACAGCGCGACAGCCATATGGGTTGCGCCATAGAACGCCAGCGTCCAATATAGGGTAAAACGCCACGCATCTTCCATATGGTAGATGTGCTTCGGAGTTTGATTCAAGGGGCTAAAGGGAAAGTATAGGGATGGAAACTCTGGAGAGACATATTCTGATGGTATCGTGTGCGATGTCATGCTTTCGTCGGTGCCGCATTATGGCGGAGCAGGGCGTCGGCTCTGTCGTTCCTTTACCGGCTTTGAAGATTGTTGTTGATGCTATCAAATGCTGTGATGTTTTTTGACTTTTGGACGCGCGCGAAAAGTATCACGTGATGTAATTTTCGAGCCTCGGCAAGAAATCGGCCTGGGGAAGCTGTTCAGCTCTACCGATCAACTCCAACCACACCCATCATAGAGCAAACAAAGGCCTGAATTTCTGTTCGATGCGACAAGAAGACAGTTAACCGGCACCATGGGGACTGAAAGGTCCCTTGCGACGCTTTTGCGATCACTTCAGACTGCAACATCTTCCCAAGATGCGCTCAAGTACGGACATTACTCCATACTCATAACTATAGAACTGATGCTAATGGTCCTTTCCCAGTCTTCTGCCCTCAGCGCTGGGCCACTTAACCCTACTCACTAATCCACTGAATGTCACTCTTCTATCAAGCCAGCTACTTTGCTCGGAATCGCTATGGGAGCTGGCTCCCCTTGATTTGCACTCCTGCCGACGGATGCTGAGCGTCTTCAATACGGCGGCAATCACGATAGTTAATTACGAATCCGCTTATGACCCGCACTCCCCTAACCTGCAACGTCGCGGACTTGAACGAGAAGCTTGGATGAAGGCAGTGGTGAATGGCGCTGACGAGAAATCGCCGCGATGGAGACATCTCCTGCTGCTTGGTGGACTGTTGCTCGGATTTGAAGGCCAAAATCGACGGAGTTTACCATATACATTGAAGAAAAAGCTTGAAGCGGCCCTAGTTACTGGGATAAAACTAGCTCTGAATGAGCTTCGCTCCAGTCCGACGATTGCTGCGCATACGATCGTGCTCGTGCTTAATTTCACTTTCGAGCTCTTATCAGATTGGGAACGTAGCAGGATTGATTACGACATCTTGCTTCCTGTTTTAGCCGATACTGCATTTCTATCATCAGAGGGACTTGAATCTGGCTACTTTCTGGGCTCGCTTGATAGGGGCATTGAGGAAATTCCGGGCCAGGGCAAGTTTTGCTGGAAAGAGGACTCGCCTTCGTACCATCAAGCGAAGGATATATTAGCAAGACCCCTTGTGGCTTCATTCGGCCCACTTTCTAGGCTCATAGCGCATGCTATTGAGAACACCAGCAACCGTGGCCAGGTCATACAAGTACTAGACACTCTCTTTGAACTATCTAGAACGTTGATGGTTCAGTGGCGCCAAAACAAGCTCTCCGAAATCGACCAATCCGAGGAATCAGAATTTCTCGATGAGGCCTCACTGCAGACTACTGTTCCTACCCTTTGGAAGTTATTAAATATACCCCTCTTTTCTTTTATCATTGTTCTACGGGCTATCCTCGGAAGAGTGCTCAATGATGCCATTCTTGCCTCTGATAGAAGTAAGGATCGATTTAGACCGATTACCCTGTGAGCTACAACGAAACTAACACTACTTCAATAGGCAGCCCATTTATTGCCTCTAAGACGCTTAAATCCCTTCGACATCTTGCATTTATTACTGCAAGGGCTGGATATAGCAGCTCATCACAATATGTCTTCGTCAATCTAACAGCCATTGATATCCTTGCCCAATATCCTGATCTGTCAGAAGATTTTTTGGAAGAGATTCGGCCATCAGACTCATCGAAAATACCCCCTCATCCACTCGATAGATGCTTGGACCTTTTCTTTCTCAACACCGCGGAACATTTCAGTTTGATAGTATCACCCGTGCTGAATGAGCGACTTCTTCTATTAGCAGCACAGCCTTATCTAGCTGCTGGTGGGAATAACCATCTCCTAGAAATTTTCGAATCTGCTCACAGTGTAATGCTTGCTGTCCTTGCGGCTCCGCAAAGTGCTAATATGGCCGCAAAACATCTTCCCTCTTATATTGATACCCTTTTTACCGTAAGTGGAGAAATTTCAATCCCAACTGTTATCAATGCAATAATGCTTACCTTGCGTAGGTTTTCCCGAAAAACTTATCAGCAAGACAATTCCGCCTTGCGTTCAAAACCATCCTTAAGATAACCGCGCCTCCATCACCTCTTGCCAACAGCCAACCATATTTACCCTCAGTTCTTCTCCAACTCCTATACGATAGAGCCGTTGATGCGCCTACAACACCCCTACTACCTCCAGCAACTGATTCAACCCCAGACCCAGCTCCCGAAGATCTTTCAGAGCAAGGTGTACTTGCAATGACTATAATAGACGGTCTTCCGTATCTCCGAGTTGAACTACTTGAGGATTGGTTAGATCTAACTGTCGACTTAATAAACCGGATTCCCGATCAAGAGATAAGGAGAAAATGTCAAGAGAAGTTCTGGGATACGTTAAGCAACGGAGATATGGATGTGGAACGAGCCAATTTTTGCGTGACATGGTGGAGCACGCGGTCAGGGAGCGATATGCTTCTCCGGAAATCCGAAGAAGAAGATGCCCAACTATTTAGCATGAGTGGTGGTGTGGTCGCTGAACCCATACAGAGCAAATTATAGACGGCTCTGTAGAGGTTTAAGTTTCTCTTATCTGTTGTATAATATTGGTGACTGAATTCACTCCATCATATATATCATACCTAAGATTTCTCCCAGAAGCTCCAACATAGGCCACGACGCCTTCTCCATGGCAATCGAGACTCTGTACTTTGGGTAGAGGCCATATCTGACTGACTTCTACCCTGACTGCACTCTTGTATACTGCGCTCTTCTCCTTCTAGGGATTGGTCCTTCTGAGAACTATGGTCGGATTCAACCTCTACCTCAGGGTCACTAGGGGGCTGAAGAAGTGTTGTTGGGTTGCACAGGTGTTTCCAGTGAGCATCACATGGGTATGGATCCACCTCATCAGGATATCTATATAACCTCGGGCAACGATGAAGCATGGCCTCAGAGAAGTATATATTGGCAGTTGTGATAAACGGGGATGTGTTCTTTGGTGCAGATGGGCATGGTGGGATATTGAATGTCCTACAGAGACGTATAGTATGTGATTTGCAGCCACACGGCCGATGAGTATGTGTTCGAATTCCGCACATGGTAGCAAGGTCTGTCCTCTAGGTTTATTTTCAAGTTTCGTGGTTGGTATAAGTCTAGCATGGTAGGTGGGTTTAAATATTTATAAAGCTTTGGTAGCTAAATGGCTGGCATAATAAGTAATGGTGGTGTTATATTCCGAAAGGGAATGATGTACGGTATAGGTATCACTGGGTATAATCAAAATCTGTAGAAGAACTCCAACTGAAGGGTATTAATGGAAAGCAGTGGTGGCTATATATTCATAGAAATCTGTATCACTCAGATCTGGTGACAAACAATGATCGAGGAAAACAATGACTTGGTTTGCGCCAGGTCCCTCCGTTAACGACAACAAATAACGCAATGAGTTTTGAACATTCAATGAATTTTGTTTTCGAGACTCCAAACTTCCATGTACAATGAATAGCAGCACGCAGGGAGTCTTCTGCTTAACGAATGAATGGAATCCCTACCCAGGACCTTCTCTTGTACTCCACATACTCGTTGCCAAAAAATCCAATCAAAAGATTTTCCTCGCCTAGACGGATTTATTAGCTGGCATCCAATGACTTCCACTAAACAATAAACTTACGGTAAATTCGAGATGAGAAAAACTTCCAGAGAACAAGAGCATATCCAATGAAACAGACAAAGTTCCCAAGAACTAACTGAGTTCCCAGTCCCCACCAGAAAAATCCGAAATAGCTAGGGTGCCTCAGAATGCTGTATAGGCCGGACTTGACGAGTACATGCTCCTCTCTTCGTTGTGTCTGGATGGTGTGGGTGAAGTTTGACCCTGCCTGGACCATGGCGAGGCTGCGAATAACCTGTCCAACCAGCACCATGACCAGGCCAGCAATGACCTGAACTCTGACTCCGCCAAAGAGCACAGATGTCCACTTCAAGTATCCATCAGGGAGAAAAAGATGGCTTAAGATACATTCCGCGATTGCTGAGCTATGAGCAATGTTGTAAGCGGCACCATTTGAGCTAAGAAGGAATGCGGATACCGTGGCAAACGGAGTACTATAGGCTGCAGTTATGTAGAATTCTAGAAAGTGGAAAACAGCCAGACACGTAATAAAAAAAGGGGCCCTCCATATAGCGTTGGAATGGTAGATTAGCATCAAGGTGAGCAATGAGCATAGCCCAGCAGCTTGGCCCAGAAGAAAGGACCTGATGGATATGCCGGCCAACGACCTGTTGCCTCCAGGAAGATTTGAGCGGTCAACTTCCCGCCTGGAGCCATTAAAATCTGTACTATCGTCCGAATCGTATGAAGAGTCAGATTCAAAGGGTGGCCGCTGTGTATGCACGTTGTATCGCCCGGCCACAGGCGAGGTTCCGGCAGTTTCAGACATTGCAGTTTTGATGGTATTTCGTGAAATAAATGTTGAGGAATTGTGAGTTGAGGAGAGAAAAAGCAGCCCCGTCAGTTCCCCAGAAGCCGTCTTATTCTCCCATAAAGCTGTTCCATTTTCTTGCCTTTCATCGCTCAACAATAGTAACAACGCTCGATTGAACAATGAAGCGCCTTTTATATTCAGCGGAATTATGTGGAGACAAGGATGCAAAAGTAAATTATCTCATTGGCTAAATTTCACCAGTATTTTATTGGTTGTCTTTTTGTATAATCCTAGCTCAAAGTCTTCCAATCAATAATCAATATAAACAAGCAAATATTATCAAAGGTCATTAGAGATGCGATTTATTCACTGCAGGATATCATTAAACACTCACGGAGCTTAAATCCCAATACAATTTCCCAAAGGAGAACCGGCCTGCAAATGGGGAATGCCATAGGCCTCCTGAAAAACATATCACGTGATGGAGCTTGGGCTCCGTGAATTTTTTATGGGATATAAATATTTCATCCTCTGTCCATGTTAAAGAAAATAATTCTCACAAAATTTCCGATTGTATTTAGCATTCAAGATGTCATCACAAACGTTGACAGCGGCGAACGTATTCGTGGTTTTACGCCAGCTTCGATCCCTATGTTATCCTATACCATCCTTCGCATCCTCGCAAACTATTCCTTCAAGAGCTTATAGCAATTACAATGCGGCGCGTCACACTTCTTTAGTTGTCCCAGCAAACATTGCAATAAAACAATGGCATTTTGCGGCCGCCTATTCCACTGCTCCCCCATCAAAGACTGCGAAAGAATCCGGTGAAGACACCGATCTACTCGAACCAACGAAGCCTAAACCTAAGAAGCCTGTACCTGCATGGGCGGTCCAGAAAAATGCGCTGAAGGAGAAATTTAAAGAAGGGTGGAAGCCGCGGAAGAAAGTGTCTCCTGATACCATGGAGAGCATACGGAAGCTACATAGCATGGATTCCGTGAAGTTTTCGACAAAGAACCTTGCAGAGGAGTTCAAGATTTCAGCCGAAGCTATTCGAAGGATATTGAAGAGCAAATGGCGAGCCACAGAGGAAGAGGAGATTGATAGGAGAAATCGTTGGGAGAAAAGAAAGCTGAGGATTCAAGAGCAAATGATGGAGCTGGGACTGCGGCACACCGACCCTATTTCTAAGGAGGGTCCTAGCAGCGACATGGAGTCATCTCATCGCAACAAGTCCTCAAGCGCTATTGAAAGCCTTGCTGGTGAATATCTATCCCAAAGCAGAGGCCAGGAATCCTCTCCCCAGAAGAGGCGTGATCCCTGGGATGTTACTGCAGATGATCTTCCCGGTACTATAAGAACTTCCACCAGGGATGCCTGGCCGCAGGAACGCTTTCCTGAGAGAAGAGGCAGTTCTCAAAGGCGAACTCGACGGGATGAATACATTGAACGAGGCCCTAGAGGAAAGCCCGACTGGTAGATAGACCCTACACTAACTCCTCAAGCCTATACATAAGCACTGTCGACGTATCTCAAACTGTACAATATCATCCTCTCTTAATTTGTTGATAGTTCTGATCTGAATGGTGCGTATGTACCGGCGCTTAAGTTAGCCGCCAAGCGCAATGCCAAGGCCACATGAAGATCGGCCAAGAACGTCCTGGAGAAATGCGCAAGACGAACTCTCCGCATCTACAACCTTGATGCTTCGTCTTCACGAGTAACCGAGTTCAAACTCGCGGCAGCCAAGGTTGTTTCTGGTCTATATAGCTGGATAATTGAAGCCCGCATCGGCTATGCCGGGAATGCCCTTTTTCAAGCCAGACATGCATTGAAATCATTCCCGAAACGACCTTGATATGCGCCCAAACCGTTGAACACGCATCCATCCATGCAGCAAAAAATCAGCCGACCGTTATGTTATCGGACATTCAGGTCTTCGTGAGATGGAAAGAACAAACCATATTCGCCGGAGAGGACGTTGAATGTACAATCACCTTTAAAAATGTGACCGAGGAAGAGGCCGGGAATGAGGTTGTTGGGACGACGAAGCATTATCGAGGCGGATCGAGGCCTATCAACACCGTTACAGATGGAACAAGCTACTCCCCAGCAAAGTCCCTGAATCCATTCTCCTTCAATAATCCGCCGCGTCGCCCGCAGTCCTCGGGGTATCGACCTCGACACCCACATCACAGGGCCTCTGCTTCCGTCGGCTCTTCTCCTATGCTGAGCCAGAGTTTCCCGCCGGCCACTCCATCACGAACAAATGGAACTCCCAACACCCCAGGCCATTTCCATAAACGATCTGTTTCGATTATATCCTTGGAGACGGACATTTCTCATGACCGTAAACAACTTCAGTCTCCGAAGAGCCCGCAACCAGGTCGACATACACGATCAGCAAGTTTCCAAGCTACCCCTAGACGGCATGATCCTTACAAAGACGATTTTCCAGCTGGTACTAGTTGCTCTTTCTCGATTTTGAATCCTTTATCTTGAGTTCTAAATATTGATTCTTGATTTAGTATCCCCCCGAACTCCAATTTCGAGGTTCTCGCCCCTTGCATCACAGTCCAACCTCTCCCTTCCAAACATTAAGGATGAGGCAGACACCTCCCGCTATCCTGCCAACAATTCACCAGCAGCCAGACGGAGCCCTATGCGCAGAGCTCCACGCAAAATGAGTGCTTTCAACGGAGATTTCAAGTTTCCACAAGCTCCGCCCTCACCTGAAAGTAATACAAACCAATTAGTACAGCCACCCACAGACGGTCAACCCACAGAATCTCCTAATAAATCTGCCATACCCGACCATATCAACGTAAATGCTGCCAATGGGAAGTTGACGGCTGACCAGCCTCGCTGTCTTACACCGGCAACGAAACTCTCCGCTGTATCAGCGATGGAAGGCAGTACTCGAAGCAGTACTGAGTTTTATTCTCTAAGCAATAACTCAACGGAGACTCTCGATTCAGACTACAAATTGGCCTCTATGAACAGAGGCCTTCCCAGGCATCGAAGACACCAATCAAGCCTCGAGCCAACCAGGATTAGTCGGTCTAATGAGTCCCAGACACTTCTAATGGGCTATGCCCAGATTAATGCTTCATTTACCGTTGATGGATCACTACTAGATCAGTCAGTCTTTGAAGAAGTAAAGCGTAAGGGTGTTGTTGGCCATCATGGGAGCAATGACCGGTCGCCGAGACAATCAAAATCTAGAAGCGGGTTCTGGGGAAATATAGGGCTCAGTAGCCTGGGGAACTCTCTTGCAAGTTTTGCCTCAACAGGAGAACTTGATGGACTACGGGAAATGCGAGGTGCTTCCTCATCTCACTCTATACCATTACTGTCAACTCCGCAATCCCTACTCTTTGTCGACCTTCGTTTAGCCCCAGGGCAGGAAAAGGCATTTTCATTCTCCTTCACCCTACCCCGCGGATTACCTTCAAGCCACAAGGGTAAAGCTATAAAGATTTCATATAATTTGGTTATTGGAACACAAAAAGCAGCAGTCATAAAGGGAAACCAGCGACTTCACAAGATCAATATACCATTCCGTGTTCTCAGTGGTGTGGACGGTAAGATCAATTCTCTCATCACTCTTTGACTTGATATTCGCTAATGGTATAACAGCCCAAGGGGGTGTTCTCGGGCACGATTTAATGCAGCCGTATGTGGTGTTAAGGGATGAAGCTCGCGTGCGGAGTATTGACTCGTCGGCGCCCCGGCCGCCTGTAAAGGAGAAAAGTATCAGCGCGAAAGCGTGGACATCAGCACCTCAGTTTCTATCTTATGTCGACGAAATTCTCAAACAGAAAGACCGTCAGGACACGTTGATGTCACCGGTAACTCCGGGGCCGCCACACCTTCATCATGAAACACCGTTTTCATGTAAAGACGCAATTGACTTGGCTATCCTACGTAGCAACAAGTCAACTGTATCGGACCAGAGCGCTAACCGCTTCGAAATATCCCGTAGCGGCCGACGAGTTGCCGTTATCGTACTTAACCGACCAGCTCACCGAATAGGAGAAACTATAGTGGCCACTGCCGATTTTACAAACGCGGCTATTCATTGCCATTCCTTACGTGGGTCACTGGAAACCCACGAGACAATCAACCCTGAAATTGCACTTCGGTCGGCAGCAAGCATCACTCGTGCCACACGAAAAGTTCATGCCATGTGTTTTGAAAACACCCTCTTTGCATCCAGAGTAGCCTTTACGCCTGCCATCCCGGTTTCTGCAACGCCTACTCTTATAACCTCCGGCGTGAACGTCGAATGGCAGCTTCGGTTCGAGTTTGTGACAAGCAGCTTGTCAGATTCTACGGAGAACGTTCCAGCATTAGCATCCGGAATAGGTCTGCTGGAACCCGTTGAACACGACGAAAGAGGGACCGTCTTTGCTGCTGCCGAACATATGTCTTGTGAATCTTTTGAAGTCAGCATTCCTATTACGGTCTATGGCGGGACAGTGCAGGAGCCTAGCCGTGAGGAGTTGCAGGGGATACCGATATAAAAGCGCTGCATCATTGAATGTACACTGGGATTAGAATCTAGGGATGGTTTCGGATACCATCGATGTTAATATGTTGATTGAACGAATACTACAGGGCTTCCGGATTGGATGTTATCTTTTGTTCAACGGTGGATAAAGAATGTATGATGTAATTATAGACTCGAATCGAGCACGATATTTATCTATACCGGGTATCTCCTTTTGCTGTGATTCAAACTGTCCCTTATCGGTTATGGCCATACTCTTTTCTGTGTATCAATATTCTTCTCATTTAAATATTGACTTTGGCAATCAAAATGCAGCAACAATGTATAGCATGTCCAGGCTGATAATAAATCTAGAATTGGTAGAGGCCTGGCTGTCTCCCCGGCAACCACCAGGAAATGATAAAACATCCAGCAAGAAAAAAGATACTTCAATACCACCCCCTAATTTATGCATTAACGACTCCATCTTCTTGCATTGTCCAATCAGTTTTCCTTTTTATTGACAAGAAATATATTGGAGAACCAACGAGCTGACGAGAAACTGCGTCAGCCACGGGTCAGAGGCAAGAAATCAGCGACCCACGGCGCATCCTTGTTGACATCCAGAATGGCGACCTCTCTTATCAACACCATGTACGTTCAGCCTCTACGACTCTCACGGCTTTGACTTGCATTTATCCTTCTATTCCCTGCTTGAGAACCTGCTTCGGCCTCTGTTATTCGATATTGGAATCGAACATATAACGGCCATTATCGCGACCACGATGGCCCCGCCTCTGACAGACCTTTCTTCGACAAACAGAAACACCCGCACGCGAGGACCATTCCGGCCGCGAGCAGCGAATAAAGGCAGTGGAAGTTACCAGCTACGACAGTTCGCAGAGGCGACACTGGGCAGCGGGAGTCTTCGAAAGGCCGTCAAGCTCCCCGACGGAGAGGATGTCAACGAATGGCTGGCCGTTAACCGTACGCTCATATACCCCAATAGATAGAAGAAGTGGAAGAGGAGATACAAAGGAGTGAACTATGGAGCTGGCGCTGACTGGCTGGATGCATAGTGGTCGATTTCTATAACCAGATCAACCTACTGTACGGGTCAATTACGGAGTTTTGCTCGCCGCAGACATGTCCTGAGATGAAGGCGACAGACGAGTACGTTTCTATGCGCTGGTATATATCATGCTACCTTTCTAACTGAAGAGACTATAGATTCGAATATCTTTGGCAGGATAACGAGAATTTCAAGCGTCCCACGAAGATGTCTGCGCCTGAATACGTTGAGCATCTGATGACCTGGGTACAGGCAAACATTGACAACGAGCAGATGTTCCCCAGCCACATAGGTATGAACTCGGCTGATATTGACATGTCGCGGCATAATGGAAGCCGAGTTACGACTGACGCTGACTATTATCATTCTAGGGGTACCATTCCCAAAAACATTCCCTTCTCTACTGAAACAACTGTTCAAGCGCATGTACCGTGTGTACGCACACATATACTGCCATCACTACCCAGTTGTGGTCCATCTTGGACTAGAGCCGCACCTAAACACCAGCTTCAAGCATTATGTGCTATTTATCGAGGAGCATAACCTGGCTAGCGGGAAGGACTTCTGGGGCCCCTTAGGCGACCTGGTTGACAGCATGCTCAGAAGTGACTGACGGAATTACGAAGAGACCCAATACTCCATCCTGCCGCTTCCATCTGTATCCTCTCCCCCTTTCTTCATCATCTGTCTCCTTCCCGGCGGCCTTCTCTGCAGTCTGTTTTACTGAGCATTACCGGACCTGGCGTCCACGGCGTCCCTCACCCAACGAGTCATGATAAATAGCATAACGTATAATAACGATACATAATTAAGAGCTACCACGGCCTCTTTTATCCCTTTACCACAGTGTTATTGCAGAGCAATGCAGTGTTACCGTAATTTCTTCAAAGGCCATCCGAATTTTATATCACGTGATTGTGTTTTCCGCCGAGCAACACCAAACCCACTGCGACGTTCGACCTCCAAACCACGAACGAAGACTTGCAAACCGCCAGCAACCAGCAGCATCTCCGGCTGTCCATCTCGCACGCTCAACCGACCAGCTCAATTCGACGGCCCGAGTCTCTCTCCTCTCGCCATGCTCTCCTCCCGCGTCGCCCAGGCGAGCCTTCGCGCTTCCGCCCAGCAGGCCTCCCGACGATCCGTCGTCAACGGAGCCAGAACCTATGCCACCGCAGCCCAGGACTCGAAGCCTCCAGTCGCTCTCTTCGGCGTCGACGGCACTTACGCCAATGCCCTGGTGCGTATGCTCTTGATTTACGATGGTGGATGACAATTGGCTGTCGCAGACGACAGGCAGCCCAGACGCAAAAAAAATACATAAAACATCAAAAAACTCATCCGCTAACTTCGTTATTGTGTTTCCTGCGAGTAGTACACTGCCTCCGCGAAGTCCGGCAGCCTAGAGCAGACCTCCAAGGCTCTCAATGCTTTGACCGAGGTGTTCAAGAAGGACGCCAAGTTGGGTCCTATCCTGCACACTCCCACCTTGACTGCGCAGGACAAGTCTCAGATCGTCCAGGAACTGCAGAAGCTTACCGGCAAGAACGAGCTTTTGGGCAATTTCTTCAACACCCTTGCTGAGAACAACAGATTGGGCGTTCTTCAGGGTGTCTGTGAGAAGTTTGAGACTTTGATGGGTGCTTATCGGGGTGAGATTGAGCTTAACATCACCAGCGCTCAGGTATGTGCACCTTTTGTCCATGTTTGCAGGGAATATTTCATTTGATACTGATATCCGGGGGATAGAAACTTGACCAGAAGACCATCCAGCGCCTCGAGACTGCCATTGCCAAGTCCCAGTACAGCCAGGGCAAGAAGCTCAAGGTCGTCACCAAGGTAAACGCCATCCATTCATTCATTCATTCATCCATTCATCCATTAATTTCTTTCCGTTTCGTTAATATACATAAGTACTAACATGTTTCACTATAGGTCGATCCCGAAATCGTCGGTGGACTTATTGTCGAGTTCGATGGCCGAACAATTGACCTCAGCGTCTCCTCCAAGCTCACCAAGCTCAACAAGGCTCTCACCGACGCTCTGTAAATAAGTATTGTGCTCTAAACATTATAAACACCGCCGCAAGATCTGCAACAATAGAACTTTTGTATTATTGATTCCTTATGTATCTTGTTCCATCAAAACCTAACTAGCAATCAACAATCAACGCTCCAGTAACTTCTCTCAAGGCGTTAGTCAAGGACACCTGATATACACCCCAAATGCAACCAACTAAATGCAATGTATGGTGACAAGTAATAGCATTTCCAATAAAAAGGCATACAGCATGCGCTCAAAACCCGACAACTAATCTTACAACGAGGCGGGGAAGGGAGGGAATGAAAGTATTATAAAGGCATATAAGAACAAAGTAAAGAAGAGTGTCAGTCAAGCGAATGGGTAAGGGCAAACGAATGAGATAATTAAACTAAATATATATATCCGACCGCGTCAAGATGATAATGGCTTTAAAAAGAAGGATAAGAAGAATGGGGCAAAAGAGAGCGAGGGAGGGAGAGAGACCAAAATGAAGGAGTCATGTTCCCGAGACCTGTCATATGCTGTTCAGACATGTATTTGACGTAGCAGCCAGGCTCGAGTGAGCTGGGCTTCTTTTTTTTTTTTTTAAGTGAAAGTAGCCCAAAGGAAAGGATATGCATAGCAACGTCGAACATGATATTGAGCCCGGGTTTCATTGTATGACGGTTTGCTTGGGAAAAGGTATATGAAATCATGGGGAGGTCCTGAGCTCGGGTATAAGGGTTGAATATGACAAAAAAAGCCATAAAAAAGGAAATAGGCTAGTGCTGTCCCAATAACAGAAAAATGCAAAGGAATTAATGTAAAAAAGGTGGCTATGAATGACTCAAGACCATCCCTTCTTGCCCTCCAAGTGACCTTGACGGCCGTCTTGACCATGGACGCCAGCATGGTCGGCAGCCTCTTCACCCTGGTCCGTGGTTGCAGGGGAGGTGGAAGCGTTGGTAGTGAAGCCGTCGTCAGACTGGTTGGGCGTGGATAGCGGCGGCGGACCACGCTCCTTGTCTGCAGTAGAGACCTCCAGAGGTGTTCTGCCCTTGTGCGAGCTGTTCTGGGAGGCAGCATTCTCATTATTGCTGGCAGAGTCGTTGGCCTTGACGGGCTCAAGGGGAGCCTCCCCCTTTTGCATTCTTAGGCGGTTTTCGGTGGCTCGAAGCCTAGCTTCCAGCGCCTCGAGCTCGCGGCTCTGCATTGATACCATTGTTTGTCTATACACCAGTCTGTTAGCAACGGTCTGTTCCTCCCCCTTTTTTTGTTTCTTATTTATTCATCATACTTATAGTGGATGGCGTTGGTGAGGGAGTCAACCTCCGAGTCGAGCATGAAAGCATTATCAAGAGCAGCGGCAAGAGAGCGAGCCATGGTTCTGCAGCAGACAAGGGTTAACAAGGGTCAACAACAACAACAAATTCGATCTTGATAGAGACGCAATGGATGAATATAAGGAAGGGGAAAATAAGACTGACGATTGAGGCCGTCTGCCGTTGGGCTTCCACTCTTTATCAAGCTCCACGTCTGTCATCTCCTGAGACATATTCGCGGTTGTTCAAGGTCGAGAGTCAAGGAGGGGTGTGTTTGATAAATGTACAGAGTACGGAGAACGAGGTCAAGTATAATTAACTGGAGATCTGGCGGGTTTCAGGTCGATGATCAAGGGCGAGCAGAAGAGCAACAAGAAGGGTCCCCCCTGAGGGTTTATATGGCTTTTTGTTCTCCCCCTTCGAAACCAGAACCAGCTGGGGACGGGCGGTCGTTTGCTCACGAGGAGGCGAAGGAGAAAACGGGCGATGCAGGGCAAAGGGCTTGAGTCGCAGCAACGGTCCGGTCAGGCTGAAGAGTCACCAGAAGGCACCAGGAGGCCGCAGTCGATGATGCTATGTATGGATGTATGTAATTTTGAGATATCGTTAGCCAGTTAGTCTACCAAGTAGCCTGCCAGCTAGTCGTTTAGTCCCGAGTCTGCAGCAAAGTAAGCCGCAACAGAGCTCGAGGGTCAGAAGGGGGGAGGCGAGTGACGCAGTTTGATGCGCCCTAGGCTTGCCGCCTCCTATTCTTTCGTGCTCTACTCTTGTACTTTGTGATTCCTTGTGCCTCTGCTATGCTTCTCCCCCTGAATGATAATAATAACGATTATGATAATAATACTAAGGTGGAGTTTTCATTCTTATCATCGTCTCTTATTACTATTCATTTTTTCATTCATTTTTCTTTTATTTTTATTTTTTTCTTTTATTTTGATTTCAAAGAGATCAAGAGTTTCCTTTTTGGGAAAGACTCCCGTGGATCGTCACATGACTTGGTGTTGATCACGTGAAGAGGAAAGGAGCATCACGTGAATAAAGTGATATGTCACGTGATATGGCTTTTTCAACGTCACGGAAAAAGTTGGAGACGCGCAGAGCGAGGACAACGACGGCGACGGCGACGATACGCTGGAGATAGACGAAACACGCGACGGCTGAGAGGCACTACGGACACGCATAGACGGCCATACGACGCCAAACAGGCGAGAGAAACAGGGGGATACAAAGGAACCAACCGCGGGAATACAATGGGATGCCTTCTCTTTCGTCATACACCCCCTTCGAGTCCCTGCTCTTCTTCCAGTCTCTGGCAACGCTAAAGAGCCGGCCGGATAGCTTTGCGCCAGTCTCGGAGCTCCTGCGGAACAACCCTTTTGTGCAGCAGGATGTTAAGTACGACGCGAACCGGCTGAGCCCGCAGGCCCTCGAGGAGCTATACACGACCCTCTTGGTGGATGGCTTCCGGTCTTCAGACGACGAGGCATCGGATCACAGCCATAGCGCGCAGGAAGCTTCTAACCTGAAGAAGAGAAAACATGCTCAAGCTGCGCAGGATGGAACGGCGAGGTCACACTCCGCGGCCATGCCGGACTTGGTCGATAGGCTTTACGCTAGGTACAAGGAACGCGTGACAAGGGAGATACGGCGGGAGGAACAGCGGTACGCCGAGATCAAGGACGAGATACGGCGCCTAGAGGCTGGCGAGGACCTGCAGAAACCACCTGTCACTATTGGTTCGAACGTGGCACCTAGATCAGGTGTTAGTGTTCCTGCAGTTGCTGCTACTGCTGCTGCACCGCCGAAGCCAGAGCTTGCGCGGGAAAAGGTACTCGGCAGGATACCACAGGAGAGTGTACAGGTACCTTCTCAAACGCCCACTACTGCAGGCACACCACAAGGAATACGGACTGTACAACCCACGGCGGGACCACCAGCATCTACTGCCCCTCAAGAAGCTCCGATCCCTTCTGCATATAACCTCAAACCGGCACCGTTGGCCAGCCCGGCACAGCAGCAACAACAACAGCAACAACAACAACCTCCCACCCAGACACCTCCACCTGTCAGCGCTCCAGGAGCTAGTATATACCCTAACATACAACCGTTTCCCCCACCGGTTCACCCTACAACCACAGCTACATCCCAATCGACATATCAAACTACCACTCCACCTGTCCCACTTGCCAGAGTACCACAAACGCAACAACCCCCACCTCCACTACCGCCGAATACCACTTGGAATAGAACACCCCAAATACCATCTAAAGCAGTCCCTCAAACTGTCAAGTTTCAGCCTCTTTTAACTCCACAAACAATTCCCCAGTCTTCATACGGCCACGGTTCCGCCCGCTCTACACCGAAACCAGGCAACCAGGCCCGTAGCAAGACAACACCAACTCCTAAACCTCTTGCACCAAACATCGATAAACCCAGTATTCCTCTTGCTCAAAACCCGCCTCTCTCAGCACCGCCAGCAATAACACCCACGGCTGGCGGCGCTAGCACCCCTACTCCTTTACCAACAACCGCACAACCTACTACCACACCAGATGCTACAGCTCTTGAGAAACTAAAAGCACAACTCCCTTCTTTTGCACAGTCAATAGGCAGGAGACCACCGCGGCCTTCATTGGTCACTTCCAGCGGTAATACGCCGTGGAAGATACCCGGCCCTATATCCCTACCTAATGAACCCGGCTCCCCTGAACGGCCAAAGTCTGCAGATATCAGCCCTATCAGCGACCGAGCTTTGTCACCTTCGGGCCAAGAAGATGTAGAACAGTGGGCTGGGCAGGGGGCGCGCCGTAAACTAGACCTTAGCGGAGGCGCAGCTCCTCGTGAAAGCCCCAAGCATGCGGGGGATGCTGCTTCGCCTGGCAATCTGCCTTCCGGACGCCCTAGGACACGCGGTCAGTCTATCGCTTCACGCGGGGAGGATACTGGCCGTCACATCAAAAACGAGCTTCCAAGCACCCCGGTTGGTATTACCGGAGATGACATGGATACTGGCCATTACCGTGCGAAGCGGAAAAGAAGCCCCAGTGGATCATTTTCTTTAGGACACGAACAACGGCCGTCCGACTGGTTGAGAGATAGTCAATATGTGATGTGCTCGCGGACGTTCGGTCGTACCTGCGGTCCGATAATGAACGACGTAGCTGCTCACAAGTATGCGTCCATCTTTGCCAAGCCATTGACAAACCGTGATGCGCCCGGGTACAGGGATCTTATATACCGTCCTCAAGATATAAAGTCCATCAAATCCGCCATACACCAGGGCAGTCGTGCCGTTGCCGCAGCTTCAGAAGCTACCCAATCAGCTGAAGAAACTCCACCAGTGACAACAGCGAGTGCATCAACCCCAGCAGCAACAGCGTCAGGAGCAGCGGCCCCATCACCTAAGAGTAACGTACTCCTGGCCACCAAGTCGGCTGAGTTACTACCGCCAAAGGGAATAGTAAATTCCTCCCAACTAGAAAAGGAGCTGATCCGCATGTTCGCCAATGCAATCATGTTCAATCCTACACCAGATCATACGTTTGGCCCGGCATTTCCCATGCGAACGGATTCTTCTTCTCGAGAGGGAACACGAAGCGCTGAACCAGATGAGGGAGGTATTATCAACGACACGCTAGAGATGTACGAGGATGTCGAGAAGGCAATCTCTACATGGCGTTCCGCTGAACGTCCCATGGATGACGCAGGCGGCAAGGCCTTTTTAGCCTTGAAGAGAGGGACTCCAGTGGATTCTAACGATGCAGATGATTGAGAGGCCTTCTTTTTGTCTAATACCTGTCTGTGCATTATTATCTATCCTGTTTGAATCTATCAAATTCATATTTTTATATTCAACTCCATTTTTTTGCTTTGTTTAAACGACTTTACTGCTATCCTGCCAACGATGCGACAGTCGTGCCAGGTTTTATCCTACCCAGGCCCTCCTTTGCATAAAAGTCCATCGGGTATATACCATTATTCGCCTTATCCCAGTCTTCCTTGATCCCCAATGCAATCAGCGCCTCATACGGCGTCAACAGAGGTTTCGGAAATGCATACCCCCAATCAATACTCAGCCTGGGACAAGCAATCTGCACCCAGCAGTCGACGTCCGACATACTCGCCAACTTGCCCGGAAATATCTCACTAAGCAGTAAATTTACATACGGTATACCCTTCTCGTTAAGATGATCCTCAATCATCTTCATGGTATGCGGGTTACCCTGCCGTCCCAAACTACCCAGTATAATACCCCATCTCTTCGCTGATTTGGCGACGTTTATGGCCTTCCGCCGCAGATCCTGCATTTCTTCATGGTCGTACCGCTCTCTGCTTAGAGTACGGGAGTAAGGGTCGTATCTGTAGGCTGGTATGCTTGGGTTGTGAATCATGGCTGATTCAAGATGGAAGCGTCCGTCGCCCAGGTACAGCAGTAGATCTACTGCCTCGCTTGACATGCGAGGGGACGTACAGCCTAGAATCTCTCCTTTGCTCAGAGGCATGATCTGAGGCACGGTAATGTTGAACCCTTCCTTTTCCAACACGGGCTTCAATCCATGTAGTGTAGCATTGAACTGTATTGTGCCTACCACCGCAATGCGCTGGCCAGAGGTAAAGTTGCGTTTGAGCGTGTCGATAAGATGCTGCGTGTCTATGCCGATGTCAACGAAGATATATAGTGTTTTTATCTTGGTGACGTCCACCGGTATAAGACATGAATGCGCGTAGTGTACTAGCAAGTCACAACCCAGTGCTCGAGCGGTATAGTCGTCAATGCAGCATGCGCCATAGGTAACATCGCCCATAATAACAGTCTCAATTCCAGGACAGAACTGGTTCAAGATATCCGATATTGTAGTAGCGAACAGCAGCAGTCCCTCCGGGAACTGGAGAGCTACCCGTTTAGCTCCTGACGACCGTATCCTGTGTATCGTCTTGGGTATTTCAAAGGAGTAGTTGTGTGGTAGGAGGGAGATCGCGGCTTTGATATCTTCATCGTCGAGGATCTCAGCGGGAATCTGGTTTAGTGCTCTCGGACCTCGTCTCGTGGATGCTACAGTAAATATCAGCAATTATTCTTATATAGATGTGTCCGCCACCACAAAACCAGTCCTCTAACAAGCTCTCGTACCTGTCTGTATAGCTGTGGAATGCGATTGCTCGACATCCCCGCCTGTCCTCTGCGCCTGCGCCTCTGCAGTCTTCCGCCCTACAAATCTCTTCTTCGGCACTCTTGTCCCGTTTGTCTGCGTCACCGTCGGCGCATCATTTTTACCCGTATTATCCGCCATTTTAGCAGCTTTTGATACCCCTTTCTCTCTTTCATTCCTCGTCTTTTCACTCCTCCGTCTTCATCTTCAACTTTTTTCTTATCTCCCCTCTATCTCTATCAGCTGCTGACTAAAAGCCGAGCCAGCCCTTAGTCATTTCTTAGTCATCTTCTTACTTACGTCTGGCTAACACGGCTAAAGGCGGCGTCAAGTTCTTCCGTGATTGGCTAGTCTAAGCGGCCGCCCGGGATGTTTTTCAACATCGGAGCAAAATAGCCGAAGCTGACGGCCGCGAGCGCCGGCGAGGAAGAAGAAGAAAAGAAAGCAGACGAGCAGAACGACGAGCTGACAGCTCAAACAGACAGAAACGACGAGGGAAGAACCGCTGCTCTGCATTGTACACTGGAGACTGTCGCGCATAGGTAGAGTGACCATGTTCGGACTCAGAGCTGCCTCCAGGGCCTCTCGCCTGGCCTGTCGACACGGCGCAGTGCGGTCGCTGGCTACCGATGCCAAACTTGCTCCGGATTTCGTGCGCATCGTCGAGGTCGGCCCCAGAGATGGCCTGCAGAACGAGAAGAAGTCCATCCCTCTCGAGACGAAGCTGGAGTTGATCTCCAGGCTTGCTGGGACCGGTCTCGAGACCATCGAGGCTGGCTCGTTCGTGCCCGCGAAGTGGGTGCCTCAGGTGAGTCCTTGATCGCGTGCTGCATTTGCCGTATTGTTTATATTGGAGCCTGGCCGGCTAATTCATGGGGCGTATTCAATTCGACTGTTTAGATGGCTAGCACAGCCGATATTCTATCACATCTCATCAAAACCCCTCCCCCCGCCCCCCACCCGGTCTCATATAACTACCTAGTCCCTAACGTGAAGGGACTCGAAACACTGGTCAAAGTGCTCGAGAAGGAAACAGCCGCCCTGCCAGAGCAAGCTCGTCCAACAGAGCTGCCCGAGATATCCCTTTTTGCTGCCGCCACTGAGGCCTTCTCCAAGGCTAACACCAACTGCACAATAGAAGAGTCCCTGGCCAGAATCGGGCCGATAGTCTCGCTGGCCAAGGAGAAGAATATCCGGGTACGAGGCTATGTGTCTGTTGCACTTGGATGTCCATATGAAGGACCAGATGTAGACCCCCACAAGGTCGCTGAGATCACTGCTTCGCTGCTGGAAATGGGCGCCGACGAGGTCTCTGTGGCGGACACGACTGGCATGGGAACCGCTCCAAGAACACAGAAGCTACTGAAGACTCTCACTGCTGCTGGAATTGCTAGTAATGATCTCGCATTGCATTTTCATGATACCTACGGCCAGGCTCTGGTCAACACTATCGTCGGTCTAGAACACGGCATACGGATATTTGACAGCAGTGTTGGCGGATTGGGAGGCTGCCCGTACTCCAAGGGCGCCACCGGAAACGTCTCGACGGAAGATCTGATCCATACGCTGCACAGTCTTGGAATGAAGACCGGCGTGAACCTCGAAGCAGTAGCAAAAATTGGAGCTTGGATCAGTGCTGAGCTTGGTCGTGAGAACGATAGCAGAGCCGGAAAGGCAACCGTCAGCAGGCTTCAAGGATAGATTCTCTCATATTTAATGTTGCAAACCCCAATCATCATTATAATCCCACCATCTAACCCCTTTCTCTCACGAAAATATCCTTGTCCTCGCTTTCCATAACTTGACCGAAGTTCCACCATGATTCACGCACGATGTTTTGGGCCAGCAGATTGTATATAGCTAAAGAACAGACGATTCTCATTGCAGTATTATGCAGCATGTCCATCATCTTCTCATTCCTAGTCGTATATGCAATAATGTACAATGGCGGTGGTATCGAGTTCGGTCACCGCCAGCTTCTCCAGACCCCAGACTTAAGGCCCTCTATTATCAGAAATCGGTAACCCTCCCATTGTAGCTCCAGTCACCGCTTCCACCCCATCTCAACGGCTCATTCTTCGGCCCTCCAATCTCGCCGGTCTTTGGATTCTTCTCTCCCTCAAACTCCGGCTTTGCACCCCGTCGTAGGTCTGGATGTAACTCCTCATCCGCTGAGCCCTGAAGCGCATCTTCCGGCTGAGACTGCGGAGACTGGTTTATCTGAGGCGGCGATCGAGGTGTACTGAACGCTCCGGTAGACTGCTGCTGCAAATTTTCGAATATCTCTTGTTCTTCCGGGGCCAGACGGGGTGGTGACGGCGAGGGCGCAAAGCGGCTGGGTTTAGATGATCGTGCTGCGGAAACGGTGAAGCATCGTGAAGCCAGGCCTGGAGCATAGATAGGTCTTAATATCGAAGACAGGCGGTATCTTACAACGCCAGCCATGACTCTAGCCCTCGTGGTGTCTTCTTCGTGTTCGTGGTATGGGTTGTTGGTTTGTCTTGCCGTGAAAAAGACGCTGCAAGAGCTTCAAGAGAATCGCCGAAATCGGAATCTCGTGTTTTTCCGAGTCATTTCCAGGTCCCAATTTATAGAAGACGAACCAACTTGCATTCGACGGACAGACAGCTCAATTGCTTCTGTCTGGTGGTTTTTATCTTATTTACTAGCTTTTAAAGGTGACTGCTATACGGTACAGGTGAATTGTGTGGGTTGACGGCAGGATGGCTTCTCAAGCAGCTCTACGGCGCGTTGGAGCTAGAGCTCTGCAGCATGGGGTCAGCCCCCTGTCGCGACGGCGATGGGCTTCGACAGGTTCAAGTCCAGAGGTGGTGGACCCTTTCAAGAGCAAGCCTTCTAGCACAGTTACTCGGATAGTGAGTTATGTTTGACTTTGCGGCTGTTCTGGCAGTTGATATATCCGGGACTGACGGTATGACTAGGAACATGACGACCTGCCAGGAAATCTATCCAAGCGGAGCGACCGCTTCGTGGAAGGAATCATGCCTTTCATGGTGCCTACGTACGTCCGACCAACGCCGGTGATGGCCAGGGGAAGCGGCTGTTACCTGTGGGACATGGAGAATAAGCAGTATCTCGACTTCACGGCTGGTATTGCGGTCACCTCTCTCGGCCATTCAGACCCAGGGCTGTCGCAGGTCCTATCAGAGCAGGTTGGTAGACCTCAGTCATAAAATTGAATATGAGACTAATTGAAGGCTAGTCTGAGATATTGATACATGCATCCAACCTCTTCCATAACAAACATACTGGCAAACTGAGCCAGGCACTCGTCAGCACTACTCTAACCTCAGGAGCAATGCGGACCGCCACACAAGCGTTCATTTGCAATTCTGGCGCCGAAGCAAATGAGGCAGCCCTTAAGTTTGCCCGGAAAGTAGGCCACAGCCTCGATACTACCGGCGCAAAGCATGAAATTGTCTCCTTCCAAGGATCGTTCCACGGCCGAACCTTTGGTGCTCTATCTGCTACTCCAAACCCCAAATACCAAGCTCCATTTGCCCCCATGGTCCCCGGATTCAAGTATGGAAAGTACAACGACATCGAACAGCTGCCAACCTTAATCACCGACAAAACATGTGGTGTTATTGTCGAACCAATCCAGGGCGAGGGCGGAGTGAACGTAGCATCCGCGGAATTTCTCGGCGCTCTCCGCGCACGATGCGACCAGGTCGGAGCGGTGCTGATCTTCGACGAGATACAATGTGGTCTCTCTCGCACAGGCAGCCTCTGGGCACATGCTCACCCTTCTCTCAAGCCAAGGGATGGCTCCAAGGCCGCTCATCCCGACATCCTCACTACAGCCAAGGCACTTGGGAACGGTTTCCCCATCGGTGCTACAATCATTTCCTCTGATACGGTAGGGAAATATATCAAGGTTGGAGACCACGGAACCACTTTTGGCGGAAGTCCACTTGCCTGTGCCGTGGGTAACCATGTCTTGACCCGTCTGGCCAACAAGGACCTCCAGGATTCCGTTAACTCTAGATCCCAAACCCTCGTCAAGGGGCTGAAACGGCTTCAGGAACGGTATCCCGATGCTGTGTCTGAGGTCCGAGGTCGAGGTTTAATTCTCGGTTTGCAACTTACTGCTCCCTATGTTAGTAAGGTTGCTGATATCCTTGGGTCGGCAAGGGATAAGGGGCTGCTCATAATCTCTGCTGGAGAAGGTTGCATTCGATTTGTTCCCCCACTAGTCATTACTGACGCGGAGATTGAAGTCGGACTAGGCATTTTGGACGAAGCTATGAGCGAGGTTATCAGCCAGGCTTAGACTGGAGTTCATGGGTAATATGTTTCAATTCTCGGTTTCAATGCTCCTTTTACATCGGACATGTTTAGATATTTCGCTGAAAGACGCCTAGATATATCAATCTATAAGAGCAATCTTTGCCATATCAATTTGCTATAATGCCGCTCATTGCAATGTAATCTAATCATCATAAGCTATCTACAAGTATCATCAACATAGAAGGGGGTATATAAAGAAGGTATATACATTAATCAAAACCACCGATAATAATCACGGAGTCTTAGCTCCCTCTCCTATACCCATAAGCCCACCAGCCAACCCATCCATCCGTCTATTCAGTAAGTCCTCATGACTCGGCAGACTCGTCAAACTCGCTTCACGTCGCAATCCGGATATCATCTGTTTCACCCGCACCAAGTCATTCTCACTGTAGCTTGCATCGTCCGAACTACGCAAGCTCTCTTCCTTCTTAGCCGTAATAGATGAAAGAGATAACTTTGCAGCATTCGGCCGACGTATATTTTTCTTTTGTGCAGGAGCTTTTTGTTTCAGGGGTGAAGTGGCAGACGCTCCGTTTGGCTGAAGATTAGGCAGCGATGATGAAGGCGAAGGAGATATCTTGGTCATTTTCAACATGCTGATTTCCAGTGGGCCGTCTTCGTCACCAGATGATTCGCTTGTTAAATGACGTTCGTGGTGACGGTGTGACGTTCTCCCATTACTCTGTTTGCCCGTCTCGACGTCTATCGTCGGGAGTGAAGGGCTGAGACTGGATATGGCTCTTTGTTGCGGTGCAAGAGAAACCCTAGAGTCCTTCATCTCATTAGAGCTAGTAGCACCAGTTGCATTGAATATCTCTGTTATCCATCTGGCGGCCCTGAATACATGTTTCCAGCCCTCGGGGAAAACCCCAACAATGCTCATAAACCCGTGAGATATACCAGGTATCAGGGTCACTTCAACATGCTCCTTTTCATCAAATCTCTTTCCAGGCTTCTCAAGTCCTAACTCCTTTCGTTCGCGAAACCGATGGAGTTTAGCCTGTCTAAGGCGTCCTGCGAAAATCACTGTATCATCTACCAGAGGGTCTCGTTCCCCTGTCATAAAGTAAGTCTTTGGAAATTGTGCCAGAAGAGCCTCCGGAGCAAGCATAGGGGAGAGAAGAAAATCTGTGCTGAAGTCCGGACGGTTGTAGGGGCCAATGTATAGAATTATCATAGCCCTCATCATCTCCGGGGTGAGGATACGGTCATTAAAGTAAGATATCATGGAGGTAACAGCAAGCCGAGTCTGCAGTTTCTTCGGCTTTGTTTCGGCTAGCTCTCTCGTCTGCGATGCAATGGTTGCTTCTCCAGGTTGACCAGTCATGACTGTTGAAGAATCCATCGGGAAATCGGTGATATGATTGAACCCATCTTTTGCGGATGACTGGCGATGACTAGTATCGTCCGCGAGGTCATCGTCTGAAGGGCGAGGAGTTGACGGCGTTAGTTTATAGTAATCCTCGCTCTTGCGCCTCAAGATATTTCGATTGGTTTTCCGCACCCCCCTTTCCCTAATCAAAGATAACTCTTCGTCTGTCATCCAGCTTCCCATATTCAGGTCCAGATTCGGATATACTAGCACGAGACCAGCAGGAACAGGCAGAGAATCCTCGCCTCTCCATTTCCGGGAGTCTGTACTACCGGATTGCAAAATCATGAGAGTCAGCCCTGCTGCGAGACTTCCTCCAGCACTATCACCTGCCACTATAATCCGCGGGCATGTCTTCCCACTCAGTCCTAAACACCTCCCCCGAGTCATTACGATGGTGTGGTACACATCGTAACACTCATTTAGAGCGTATGGATACGGGTACTCAGGCGCCTTCTTGTAATCAAGGCTGAGAATCGGGACGCCGGTCTTGCCAGCCCAAGCAAGTAAGCGGTCATCACTGACCCGTGGACCCATGGCAACGAACCCGCCTCCAGGGATATCAAGAACGATATCTGTCTGGTCACGAAGAGTGCTAAGGGGCCCATCAAAATAAAGCCATGCATCGACCGGATCCTTGTAGGACGACTCTCGAGGTCGAGGTATCCGGATAGCAACTGGATCACGCCGGCAGAAACGAGGCCGAAGTAATTTGGAGAGGAGCGAAAGGTAAGGAGTACCCAACTTATTCCACGAGACACGTAGATGTTCCACGGTCAAAGTGGCTCTGACTTTTCGCACCTTCTCGTCCGCCTGTTCAGCAGCAATAAGATAATATATGGAGAAGACCAGGGATGCCAGATCCCTTAGCCATTTCCGACGTATGTTCATTGCTGTCCAAAACCCAGCATCAAGCGCAGTGACTATCCAAGTTGCCCGGAAGTAAGAGCGAGAATATAGATTTGCAAGCGGCTCTGGGGACTCGAGGCCGACTAGTTTGGCAAAGTTGCGAGAGACATAGAGTGTCAACATCGTCATGACGGTGGCCTGCCATGGTGTCATACGCCGATGCAGCAAAGACGATAGAGCTCGGACTCCTGGAGGGCCATTCTTGTTTCCCCTGGCATAATGAAGGTATGATTAGACACAGCCCTGGTAGATAACGGAGAAAATGGTTCCGTTAAGCATACCTTAGAAGGTATAATAGCCAGAAGGCAACGACTGCAAAGACCTGGATCTTTCGAAACTGGGTTGAAGGTCTGCCCAGTACATGGTCTAAAGGAGAAGTTAGATATTGATAATTCCTTCGGAATAAGTAGCCGAACGCATACCTATCATGGCTTCAGCATACCTCTACCAACAGTTGAAGCTAGATGTAAATCCACGAAAGTGAAGATATACCGAGAATGAAGGAGCGCAGCTTGAATCCGAAGCCTCCGGGAATTCATTAACAAAACATCACCAAGCACCGAGGCAGACAGACTGAACAAAGTGATAGAATAAAATAATATCTAATATCCCCAGCTTCCTCTTACCGTTTCAACCCCAGGATAGCAACCGTTTTGTCTTCAGCCTCACGTTTTCCATCGTGGGCTAAAATCCTTTCTTTGAAATGTGTAGAATCGAAGGATTTCACATGCGCCAGCATGTGAAAAAACCCGCATGTGATACCAACTAGTTAGTAGTATTACGTCACATCGCGATCGCAATTTAATAAAAGGACAACGAAAGATTCATATTTAGTATATTAAATATGAAGTTATTATGTTATACTAGATCCAAAAAAAAAATATCGTTGGCGCCGTCGCTAAGTCTGTGACAAAGGCAAAAATCAAGTAGACGGTAAAGTCTATGTCTTCTGGCAATAATCTCGCCCATGGGAAACCTGCCAATTACATAACCAAACTTCAAAAACCATGCTCAAAAGACCTGCAATGCAAATACCTGCCGAGTCACTGACAGTGGTTGCTCCTAGAGAAAATTCTCGTTCCTCCTTCGGTACGCGATCCGTGATCTCCGCGAAGGTATTGACATATACCAATCCGCCCAGGAGGCCTTCCCAAAAGACAACCACGAAAACAATGTATACGTTTGGTATAAAGTTGAACAGTGCGTGTAGAGTCAGTAGGCCAAGATTGAATACCTGGAGAAACGATGGGAAGTACAAGTCGTGGATGCGGAAGAAAGGGGTTGAAGACCGCGAGATGAACACTCCGGCTTGGTAGATGGCATTGTATGTTGGGTAAAAAGCGCGGAAGTGTTTGAAGGGGCTTTCCTTAAGTGGGAACAGGAGGGTAGGTGCGACACCTTGGTTAATGGTGTATTCTGCGATATAGACGAGTAAAAGCGGAAACATGCTGTCGCACTTTGTTAGTAGGTTATAACAAACAATGCGGTGGTCCAGCTTACAAGGGAAAGAATAGACTCTTAGCACGGCTTAGGTTAGCTTTGAACAGCTGCCATGATAGGCCTTTATCCTGTGGACATGCATGCTTCAAGTCGTCGTCGTCCACAGCAGCAGCAGCAGCAGCAGCAGCAGCAGGATCCGCAAGTAGGCATTCCCTCCCATCATTAGGATGTGGTGGAGGCTCATCGGCTACTGGCTGCATATCTTCCCGTGTATGCTCTCCCCTCTCAACCTCTTGAATAGTTTGGTATCCATTCCTCATCTGCAGCATCGGCCCTCTTGGCAGTATACCGAAGAAGCTTATCACCATCACCGCCGGTAAAAGTGCTGAGGCCAGAAGGGTCGTCTTGACCGAGAAGCCAAAGGATGTGGTAGCCAAAGCATAGGCACCAGCTCCCACTAGCCCAGCGGCGCCCGTTCCACTACCCCATGCAGCCAGACTAAATGGCCCATAGAAATGGGTGAGACCGAGAAAACTGAGCTCCCCACCACCGCTAGATAGACTAGCCAGCATTACTCCCACCATCTTGGTTGTTATTGAACCACCGGCAGTAGTGGCGTCGTAGGCTGGCGATAGGGCAACCAAAAACATGCCGAGCGTAGATAGCGCGACGAATATGAGTATACGGACAGGATAAGGAACGATATGGATGAAATATGGTGCGCATAACTTGGTGAAGAAGGACGGGACCACGTCTGCGAGTAGAACAACGCCCTTGGGTACGCTGGGACCGACGAGATCGAGTGCCGCAGAGAGAATAATGACGTAGAGAACATTATTTATTAACCCTACAGTATTGATGGTTAGAGACAACATTCCACTGGAAAACCACACGCCCGTTTCATACTTACCGAATAGCCAAAACGCCGTGAAGACTCGAGGGTCGACGCCGTTGAAGGCAGCGCTGAGCTGGTGCCGGAACCTGCTCCAGCTGGAGTTTGGGGCGCATGGTAGAGGCAGCATCGGCGGCTCTAGTACCTACAGGGTATCGGATTATTCAAATAACAACAGCTGCTCCTTGACTGCTTCTTCTCTTCTTCTCTTCATCTCACCCTGCTTGTCGTCGCTTTTACCGCGGACGTTGATGTTGAAGTTGAACTTGGAAAGTGATCATGTGAGGCTCAAAAGCCAGACGGAAACTAAATCTCGACATCAACGACAGCAACTACTACACATGAACTGCATTAACTGTATAGGCCATCGCAGATCAATTAAGAAGCTAGACGGCAGCATCGTCATGGCCTCGATATGCCGTCTGCCGTGACGCTGTCAAACGTGAACAACCCATGCTGTGGAATCGGGCGTCATTATGCTGTCCTCGCAACACGCTTCGGGAGGCTCCAGGTACAGAGAGATCCCTGGTGGCACATATATTTATCATGTTGTTGGCTAGAATAAATCGGAATAGAGACGAGAGTGATATACGAAACTTTACTCTGCTGTGTGCTGCCTTTCTTCCTCTTTTACTCCGGTTTTACGGCGGCTCCTCGAAAAGGGTTGTCCTCATGGGTGTCGTGGATATATTGCTAATGCCACATTTTAGACGTTGATAGTTATCGCGTCACTGCACATCCAAAAACAAGCCAAAATTGCGGTAAGACGTGTGCACAGTGCAGAGGATTCATCAAGCTAAGCGCAACCAGCTAAGGGGGAGAGATCATGCATTAGCAAGTATTTCTGCAGCACCATGCAGCTTGCCACTGTTTCGTGTAACAGGCTGGCAAGTATAATGACGAAGAAGAATATGGACCGCGTAGTTGATATGAGGCAGCACGCCAAAGAAAGACTCACGGAATGGGAGACGACTGGGGCAAGGGGGAGCTCAGCTGCCTCAGCTGGGCAGGGGAACGTATCGGTATATATCTCCGCATCACCATACGGGGACAGGAAGATTCGGCTAGCTCCCTGTGCTGTTGATGCCGTGATGAGCCTATTTCTTTTTTTTTTTTTGCTCTGCAGGAGAGAGTTATGGGAGTATGGGGTAAAGGATGCCAGCATGCGGTCAACCTCGCCCCCGGCGCGCAGTCCCGTTCCCCCCAACGCCCCGCAACGATCCAAGGGCTCCTTGGATTTAAATTTAGGAGCTTTTATCAAGAAGCTTGAAGTGAGAGAATGAGAGATTTGAAGATTCGAGTCAATATGCAAATCGGGAACATGTTCATCCAAAACATAGGCACGGTAATTATATATTCCCCCCATATTTTTAGTATTATCTCTTTACTAATGTATAATGTATAATATAGTATATTAACACATGAAATAATATGTCTGCACACAAGCCATAAGATGAATTCGCTCCTATTTTAAAAGAGCCGTGCATGGTGAAGTAAGTCCTACGATGAATGCAGTGGCCTGTTCCAATTGCTATGGTCCTACAGTAGAAGGGATTGCAGATCAGAGCGAGCGATTTTTAGCTGCAGATACATCCGGCGAAAGTCGAAGTTGGATTATCTTTAAGTACGGAGTATAGATAAATGGTATGCATGCTCGTCATATCAGTCTTGTGCTCAACAACGCATCAAAAAGAGCTCGCAGACGATCTGCAGGTGAAAAAAGAAAGAAAAGGAAAGAAAAGCCTAAATCCGGCGGCCCTGCAATGCTAAAAAAGATTAATTCCACCTTGTTCCATGTCGCGGACTTTGATGCAAGTGCGTGCGTCCCCCCCTGGGAATAGGCCGAATGGAGCGAATCAGTTGGTTCCGCACCAGCTCGGGCATCAGCAAGGCATACGACCCCCCATTACACGCCGCACAGGAAAAGCCGTGACACACGATATCGCTGGCATAAGCTGACGGGGGCCTCTCTTGCTGGGTCTTTGGTCTTTGTCGAACCTTTACGAAACAAACATAACATTCAGCAGGGATCAAGCTAGTTTACCCGTTAAGTTACTTAGGTTAGGTAAATTTAGCGTCCTTCGGCGATGTGCTCAGGGCTCCACAACCGGCTCTCAACAACGCAACAGACGGGGAACGAAGTCATTGGCCCGAGAACAGTCGCCAGCTTTGTCGAAACGATATTATCATTTGCTGCTTGTTTGGTTTGTTGTCAGCATGGAGCTTGACAGCTCGAGCGTGCCTTGGTACTACTCTTCGCTTCCGGCTCGTTTTCGGTTTGTGGTAAGCTCCTGATACACCGAGCCAGGAGGACCAAGACGACAGCGAGACGATACTAGCTTAGTCTAGCTACCAGGGTGTATACACACTCTACAGCAGAAAGGAGTAGCTCGTGAGGGTTTTGCTTGTTGTATGATCCCTCTGGGCCATGGGAAGACTGCCCACTATACAACAAGAAGAGAGAGGACAGCACGGAGTACCTAGACGTTCGCTGTAGGGATACATGCACAAGCATAGCTAACTATAGGCTAAGGCTGGCTAATATGCGGTGGACTCCCTGCTGCATCGCTAACTCCACCAGGGAGCAATGACAAGTTTGCCAACCGCGGCCTGCATCTGCTGGTGTGTAACCTCCGCACTCTTCTTTTCTTCTTCTTCCTCTTGTCGTTCACTCCAGAGGCCATCCATCTCTTCCTCGCGCCACATTCCTACTCTTCTGCCTCCCTTTGGTTTGGCCAGCCGAACGACCCCAGTGCAAAGCTACGATAAGAACTATCGACTATCGACTATCGAACTACAGACGCATGGATAGCTCCAAACCCACAAGCAAAATCCAAACGAGAGCCTGGACCCAAGAGTTGCGCGCGAGTAAACAAACGGAATCGCAAGCTAAGAGAAAATTTTCGAAAGGGAGCAAGAAAAAAGAATAACAACAACCAACAAAAAGAAATAAAAACGAGAGGAAAAGAAAAGAAAAAAGGGCAGAAGAAGAGAAGGAATTTAATAGAAGGAAAAAGAAAGGAGAAGGAGAGGAAGAAGGAAAAAAAGCAGAAGAAAAAGAAAAGAAGTCGTCCCTAACAAACTGCGCTGAAAATCTTTCGACCTGGAGCGGCGTTAGTTGGAATAACACGCTCGAGAACATCCATATATACAACTCGCCCTGGTTTCCCCCAATGGATCCGTCACAGTCAGCGTATGGCCTTCGACATTCAGCGTACGGTAGGCCTCGAGACGGCCACAGCTCGTCTCTCCCGCCTCGACACCACCATCCGCCACCGTCTCTGCCCACGAGCCATGCCCAACAGCCGCATTTCGACCCGATAGCAAGTTCACGGCGAGAACCATCAGGCGGTCACTTCTCCTCGCGCCATCATCCACCGCATCCGGCCGCGCTGGCATACCCATACCCTCCCCACGATAATAATCCACCCTCGCATACGCAGCAGCATCAACACCAGTATCAGCAGCAGCACCCGCCCCATCACCACCAGACGCAACCTGCGCTACGACAGAGGCTAGATGGTCCAGCGCGTGAGCAGACAACAACTGGCAAACATGAAGCAGAGGAACCAAAAGGAGCTCCAGCTCCCAACGGGGTGAGCGTTCGCCGAGAAGGTAGGGCAATCTATATCTTTCTTCCTGCGTTCTTGGTCCTCTCTTTTCTTTTCTATGCCATCTGCCGTCTGCATGAACATAGAGTTTTGTTTGTCTCTGGCCGGTTCCCAAAACGACGGTTGCCTTTGATGTGCATTGCATCGCAGACGAGACCATGGCTGCTGCTTTCTTCTGGCTTGCACAGCTCCAGGTGGACGGGACGAGCCGGACGAACTACAAAGAAGAAGAAAAACAAGAAGAGACGCCTGGGCAGACCGCTCTTTTTTTCTGCCAGCGGAGAGCGGAGAGGGAAGGAGAGGAAGCGCTCTCCGCCTTCCGCCCCCTTTTTGCCCTCTCTCTTGCGCTTTCCCCTACCGCCTTCCGCTTTCCGCTCCTCTCGCTATTCCTTCTGTCTTTGTTTTGTTTTCTCTCCGCCTTTTGTTCTTTCCCCTTTCGAAAAGGCTTGGCACGGCTCTCCCCCCCGATGGTCCGTGCCGACCGCGCTAACCATTTAAGGTTTAAGCTCGCTAGTCCGCTTCTGGCGCATAAATGCTTGGCATTTTAGCGCTGGTCCCGTGACTCGGACTTTTCCCCTTCCCCAAAGTTGTTTTTTTTTTTTTTTTTTATTTCTGTTTGGCAAAGACGGAGCAGCCAAAGAACCGACACGAACAAACTGTTTGCTGATGGTTGCGCCGCGCGTTAGGTCCGTCGTCAATCCCACGAGAGATGCCTCATCCGCCGCAGCAACACGACCAGGCTCGCAGGATATCAGTGGGAAGCGCTGGCAGCTCGTCTGCTTATTCAGGTAAGCCTGAAACCCGAACGCGACTAAGGAAATCGCCTCGCTCGCTCTCCCAACGAAAGACGAGCCAGACGAGGAAGAAGAAATACCCGCACCGCGCTTCCGCATCCACGGGGACGGGTCGCATACATCTATTGGTTCCGGAGTTGCAGTTCTAACCCCCTGGATGTGTGGTCGTTTTCGATCTACTACTGCTGGGAGAGGACGGCTACTGTTTTTGGGAGGTTTGGGGAGATGACGCCAGATAGCTAATCCGCTTCTTCTTCAACCAGGACACCCGGAACAACACACAGCCGCAGGCTCTTATTCTAGCCGTCAGATGCTTCCGCCGTCCTCGCCGCAGCACTACCCTCCCCGGGGGCCAGCGATTCAACCCTCTCAGCCACCCTCGATACCTCCATCCTTTGCCTCGCGAGAACTCATGAACCCGGCACATCGGCCAGGCAGTAGCATGTCGATATCGTCGATGCTAGGTTCGGATACGGAGCGTCAGCCGCGAGAGAGCACGACGAGCTCGATGTATTCGCGGCCTACGGTATCTGCTACCACTGCGCCACCACCACAGCCTGCTTCGCTACCACCGTCCATGTCACCGCCTTCCGGCCCGAGTAGGCAGATATCATCAGACTACCATCCTTTCCGAAGATCACACACCCCGGACAGCGGCCCATTTGTAAAATCAATTACTCCCCGACCCTACCGGTCAAGATCCGGAGGTAGTTCGTCCGGGAACCCCCAGTCAACCACGGATGATTCGCGATTTTCTGGGCCTCGGCAGACCTCCTCCAACGCACCCCAACCACAGCTCACAGCTCCTAGATCCCCCCGGAACGCTTACTCAGATCCATCCTACCACCACGACCGACGGATGAGCCTGGGAGGACCGGGACCACGAGCCAATCCTCCAGGACCCCATCATCGATCGGAGGAGCCGCCGTCGCGACCACCGCAGTTCAGTCCTCCCGTCAGACTGACGCCCGGATTTTCAGATGGGGTGCAGAAGGAGGCGAGTGGCCAGCGAGAACAGCATGGGTACCCGGGTAGTTTAGAACCGCCTCCGCGGCCATCTTCTAGGTTTAGTGATCCCTCGCAGGATCGACAGGAACATCGTGACCAGCAACAACCCTACCAACATGGCATTCAGGAACACTCTCACCACCACCATCACCATCACCACCACAGCCAGCATTCCCAATCTCAGTCACAACCGCAACCACAGCCACATCAACACCAACACCAGCCCCATAGATATGGATCTCATGCACCAGAACACGAAGGCGATCGATCTCACCGTTCATCTTGGGAATCGAACTACCCCCGTGTATCACCTGAATCAACCCGCTACAACACCGCAGAGCCAAGTTCCGGCTACGGCTTTGGATCGATTCAGAATTACACAAAGTCGCTGGGCTCCCAGTTAACGGCTCCACGCTCCATCCCCGGTCCCGGCCAACCCCAGCTACATTCTCGCCAAGACGCAACACCTTCGAGCGATTCGTCGCCGGTTATGAGCCGGAGTAGACCTCCACCATCAAATCCACCACGCATGTTTTCGCCGACACCAGGTTCAACCGGTCCGCAATCATCGTTTGGTGGCTCGTTTGCGGACGAAGGACGCACTCGTGGAGGCACGGAGGAGCCCCCTCATCATAAAAGCGTGCTAAACATAAATGCAGAAGCGAAACGGGGCGGGAGGGCATCACCACTTCCACAGGCAGTGCAAGGCGCCCAAGCCCAGGTTATTGACCCAGCCACCGAATCAGGTATAAAAAGCGAGCTAGGCCGAGTGTTCTCTGGTATTGGCAGCGGCGTTGGAGTATCCAGCTCGGCGTCACTGGGAGGAAGTGGTCCTTCAACGCCGCTATCGTCGAGTCCGTTCAAGAGGAACCATGGCGATCGGTCGATGAATTCAGACTTGAACGGAGAGGGCTCGTTTGGTGCTGGAAAAGGTACCGCTTCCGCGCCAGGAAGCGTCAGACGCGGTCGAAAAGTGAAGGAGGAAGAGGGCAAGGAAGAAGGGGAGGGCACTGGGGCAGCTCGCGGTGGAGCTGCAAGAAGAGGACGGCATGTACACCACCATCATCATCATCACGGCGGCCATCAGTAAGTGCTGCTTAGCCAAGATGTAAAATTGTATTGGTACTTGTTGCTAACCTATACTACTAGTCACCATCATCGACACCGAACGGACGAAGACCCGGCTCTCTTTGCAGGAGGTCAAGGTCCGCCGCAGCTTGCGGCGCCCTTCAGGCCTCAGTCTCGCACTGGAGATGGCCCTGCTGCGGCCGGAGGAGCTGTCGGTACCTCCTCACATCATCACCACCACCACCATCATCATCATCATGGCCCAAGAGCAGCAGCAGCTCCTGGCGGCGGTATCCCGCATCATCACCACCCGACTCCTCCAGCCGCCCCTCTCAAGGAGTACAACACCACAGTGAATCTAGAGCCGCTGTTAAAAAGTGTTGCACACTTCCCTCGCTATCATCTAGGCTCTACGCTCTACGCTCCACGCATTGAAATGCCGTCTTCCCGAGCACCGCCTGAAGCATCCAAGTTTGGATATAGCTCTACTCCCGTACCGATCCCACGATTTGATGGAAAGGAAAACTGCACTTTCACGATCCGTGTGCCTCGATTCCGCATAGATCCAAGCCATCGTGAGGAAATCTGTGCTCGCCGTGCTTTATGGGGGACTGGCGTGTACACAGACGACTCCGATCCGGTAGCAGCAGCCATCCATTCTGGCTTTATCCGGGGCGAGTGGGCGGAAGATGTCGATGTGTCGATGCTCAACCTCGAGCTGAAAGAAAATCGCAAGTCTTCCACCGCAAATGCCACTGCCACTGCCACTACCAATGGCAACGGCACGGCGCAGAGAAAGACGACGCCATCCTCCAATAGAGCTCCATCCATTCATAGCAACAGCACCAGATCCGATCCAACCTCAACGGCGCAGTCGGAGGCCCCTCAACCCCCACCGACGGCTGCCGAGCCAGCAGAAGGTAAACAGCGCCCGCCTGTACCGCCGCCAAATAAGGACCTGCACATCAAGCTGCTGATCCTACCCACGCTGGAACGGTACGACAGCAGCGTGATGTACGGCCTCAAGTCGCGTTCCTGGGGCAAAAACCACGACGGGATGAGCTTCAAGGTAGAAGAGGTCTCCTGGGTGGACGAGGGTGTATCCAAGGGCGAGGAGCGAGGAGGAGAGGCCCGTCGTAAGAGGCTGCGAAACATGATGCGCACCGGCCGTATCTGCACTCCCGCCGGTCTCAAGGGCCGCAAGGGTGTCGAGCTGCATCTCTCTTCCAACCGTGAACCCGACCCTGACACGTCCATGAAGGATGCAGACGAGACCCCAGCTATGGAAACCTCGACATCAACAGCCGTGGAACCAGTGTCCTGATATCTGCCATATCTTCTTCCCTTTCCCTTTCCTGTTTCCTGTTCATATTCCTGTTTTCTACTACATCTGTTATTCTGCAAGCGACATCATCTTGTTACTATCTCATCATTATCATCATCCAGCTATTTCTATTGTCTTTCTATCCACTTTCTCGTCTTCATCGTCGTCGTCTCGTTTCTCTCCTTTTCTTCATCCCTTGTGAAGTACATAAAAATTGTATTACTAATAAAGTTTACAAACAGCCGAGGTTCGGAAGTTTTTTCGGCGAAAAGTCAGGTGACCCGGCATGTTTTTGGTCTTTTTTTAATAAACTTATATTCATATATTACAAAAATGAAGACAAAAAGCGCTTTGATAGTAGGAAATAAGGTGAAAACCGACGGCTGAAGACGCTGAATGGGTGTAGTTGGGTAGAAGCAGGGGAGAAATCCGCCGTCATGTTATCTGGTCATCTGGCGTGGCGCAAACGAGGGCGCCTTTCTCACTGCATATAATTCCTTTTTCCTCCCGCCCAAAGCACTTGAGCCGAGGATGAAAGGAGGACGAGCAGCTCGTCTCTTAATAATAAAACACTCGAAGCCAGCTCCATCGAACTGCTTCTTCTTCCTCTCTCTTCCGCTTCTGCTTCTGCTTCTTCGCTGGCAGACTCGTCTTGATACTTGAATCTTTCCCACTAGACCGCTCGACCACCTGGGAATGTTCACTGCTGCTGTAAGAGGCCGTCTGTCTGCTCTTGGACGTGCTTCTGCAACCCGCCCCTCTCCTCGTCTCACAGTATGTGGTTATCCCTATTCCCCCCCGGAATCGTTATCAGGCTTCCGGGCCTGTCGCTGGACAAAGAGACTGGTTGTATGCTTTAGTCTGTATGTAGCTAACGTGTTGGCAATAGTCTCTGCAAGCAATGGCACCTCGACGTGCTGCCTCCTCCGTACCAGCAGGTGAGTGGGAAAGAGAGACGAAGAGTTCTGTAGCGGATGAGATGGATGGCCTGGCTAATGTCGCATTGATAGGGTACAAGGAGGACCTGTCAAAGGGAAAGATGCTTCGTTTTGAAGACTCGCTGCCGAGGCTGCCTGTCCCTACGCTAGAGGAGACTGGACGGCGGTATCTCAAGTCAGTACACCCGCTGCTCTCCGCCGAGGAGTACAAGAAGACAGAGAAGGCAGTGTCAGACTTCATCAAGCCCGGTGGTGAAGGTGAAGTCCTGCAGAAGCGCCTGATTGCTCGAAGCGAGGACCCCAAGACCGACAACTGGCTGTCTGAGTGGTGGAATCAGAGTGCCTACCTGGCCTACCGTGACCCCGTTGTGCCATACGTCAGCTACTTCTACTCGTACCGAGACGACAGACAACGACGGGACCCTGCTAAGCGGGCTGCTGCCATCACCAGCTCTGTTCTTGAGTTCAAGAGGCAGGTCGATGATGGATCCCTTGAGCCAGAGTACCTCCGCAAGGAGCCCATGGCCATGAGCTCGTACCAGTACATGTTCAATTGCTGCCGTATCCCCGCTGATGGCGAAGACTACGCTCAGCAGTACCCGGCTAAGGGCAACGAGCATATCATCGTCATGCGCAAGAACCAGATGTTCAAGGTTCCCACCATGATCAATGGCCAGCAGCTCAACACCTCCGAGTTCCAGAAACAGTTCGAAACCATCATCAAGAAGGCCGAGCGAGTTCCCGCCGTGGGAGCCCTGACTTCTGCCAACCGTGACTTCTGGACTGCCGCCCGCAAGAAGCTCCTGGCCGCCAGCCCTGCCAACGAAGACGCCCTGAAGACTATCGAGAGCGCCTCGTTCTTCGTCTGCCTCGATGATGCATCTCCCGTCACCCTCGAGGAGCGTGCCCACGTCTACTGGCACGGAGACGGCGCCAACCGCTGGTACGACAAGCCGCTCAACTTCGTCATCAATGAGAATGGCACAGCCGGATTCATCGGCGAACACTCCATGATGGACGGCACCCCTACCCACCGTCTCAATGACTACGTCAACCAGCTCATCTTCAGCAACGGCCTCGACTACTCTAACCCATCTATCCGCTCTAACCTTCCCGAACCCCAGCCTCTCAACTTCGAGCTCAACCCTACTATCCTCGAGGACATCTCCACAGCCACCAAGGACTTCGAAGCCCTCATCAACAAGCATGAGCTCCGTGTCCAGGCCTTCCAGGCCTACGGAAAGGGCCTCATCAAGAAATTCAAGTGCAGCCCAGATGCCTACGTCCAGATGCTCATTCAGCTCGCCTATTTCAAGATGTACGGCAAGAACAGACCTACCTATGAATCCGCCTCGACTCGCAAGTACAAGCTCGGCCGTACCGAAACCACTCGTTCCGTATCGGACGACAGCGTAGCCTTCTGCAAAGCCCAGGCTGACCCATCCGTGTCGAGAGAGGAGCTTGTTAAGCTGTTCCGCGCCGCTGTTGCAGCTCACTCCAAGTACACTGCTGAAGCCAGTATTGGAAAGGGGGTCGACAGACATCTCTTCGGATTGAAGAAGCTGATTCGTGACGGCGAGGAGGTTCCTTCGCTCTTCAAGGACCCTACATACGCTTACAGCGGATCCTGGTTCCTGAGTACTAGCCAGCTTAGCTCTGAATACTTCAACGGATACGGATGGAGCCAGGTTATCGATGAAGGATTCGGAATCGCATACATGATTAATGAGAACAGGTATGTCCCCTATTAACTACGCTATATCATATTTAGTACCGATCCGTGAACTAACGTGATTTGTAGCCTCCAATTTAACATCGTCTGCAAGAAGATAGGCGCAGAGAGAATGAGCTTCTACCTCAACGAAGCTGCCTGCGAGGTCCGAGACATGCTGATGCCCGATCTCCTTAAGGAGAGCGAGAAGGCCAAGCTGTAGAGAAAGCCCGTTATGTATGCATAGAGTTAACACTGTTTCGTGCATTTCCTGAGACTGCCCGGAGTTCAGGATTCAGCACGAAGGAAAAAAGGGGGCTACATATAAGCCATTTCTGTACAATTTAGGTGCTATTTCTTCTTCTCTTTTCACTTTATATAGCACATACATAGCAGTCTTTTTCTACTGTTAGCCAAATCTATTACCCAATAGACCTTGAGTATTCTGGGTTTACGATATCAAAAACCTCTTCATTGATCGCTTCGCTTTCTGTATGCGTTGAACGGGGGGGGGGGGGGCTATCTATTTAATACATGGGCTCGCTTCGTAAAGAACTTCGAAGAGACACCGCAAGGCGCGGGGAACTCTCTCGGAAAGGTGTCAATCAGGCTCTAAGAGCTCTCTCTGTTATCCTTTCCGGCCAAATCTTCAATTTAGGTAGTAGCAGCAACATCAAAAAAAGTTCAAAAGGTAAGAAATACTCCTGTAATGTTACATGATTGATCTGTGGCTCCCCCTTTTTTTTGCGTGATTGCTTTGTTATTTATTTCAGATCCCATTCACAGGCCTCATTCAGAGCCTTGTTTGTACTTCTGGTAGTCCCAATGTACTGTCGTGGATCGTTTTCTTCCTGGCCACTTAGTTATCTGCACACACTTCATGCGCTGCGTGGTAGTGTAGTGAAGGAACGCATTGCCTTTTCACATAGGTTTTTGCGCGAGGTGTTATGACTTCATGGTCTGGCTTCTGCCTGTGGTGTTGGTGTCTGCGGGTTGCTTTCAACAACAGACGCAGTGATAGACTCAGTTGGAGTTGGCTGGACACTCTCATTTGGCTGGGCGGCAGGTTGGGTGTTATTGGCAGTCAACTCAGCTACTTGTCGTTCTATAGAACAATATGTCAGTAACCAACTATGTCAATGGCGTAGGATGAGATGTTAATGACATACCCAACTCCCTAATGCGAACCTTCAGCATCTGATTCTCTCTGGACAAAGCAGTTGTCTCGGCTTGATAGTATGAGCTTTCGTCTCTGCTACCTCGACGGCCGTTGGACTCGGAGAGTTGAAGCCACTCATTGCTACTAACGCTAGTGCCAGTCTCGCCTTGGGATCCAGTGGGGTGAATGGAGGTAAGCGGGGACACAGCAGCGTTTGAGCCCCGTCGAGCAGAGAGGTTGGAGGCAGAGGGAATGGGGATTCGCTGACTAGCAGCAGGTAGCGGCGGGATGGGTGGGAAGGAGAACGATCTCTCTGAAGTAGGAGTAGAGTCATCGATGGCTGTTCCACCAGCTGTTGCAGTCTGCTGCTGTGATTGAAGCTGCTGCAACTGGGCTTGCTGGTTGCGAATCATCAACAGGAGTCGATTCTACGCGACGAGAAAAAGAGTAAGTATAAGTGTACTTTCATAAATAAACGCAGTAGGGATGCTGTATGACTTACAACTTGAGCTTCCTGTTCCTGCTCAAGCTCCTGGTGCAGCTCACCAAGTGAAGGTGCACGCTGATGGTGGGGGTCCCCAGTAGCAATCACAGGACTCCCAGCAATGCTGGTAGGACTATGAGTTCTGAAAACACTTCCAAACGAAGCGCGATTGTGTCGATTCTGCGGAGATTCGGTGCCAGTAGCGTCGGAAAGAGAGGCTTCGTGGAGATTGGTAGCCCCAGAGCGGCGACGCTCAGGTCTTGTCTGAGGCGAGCCTCGGTGGGCTCCAGACGAGGAACGGCGAGATGAGTCCGCTGCCGCATTCATCGTTGCGGTAGCCTGCAGCGAGATCGAAGAGGATCGAGGCGAAAGCGAGTGTGCGAAGCTGCCGTTGTTGCTGTCCATTGAGAGGCTGACTCTGCGGGTGTGGTAAGGAGAGGACGAAGTGGATGATGGAGGGAGTGAATTTAGATCTGGTGGCATATCAGCAAGTGAAGCCGAGCTCGTAGCGAGTCGTGTGTCAAGTGAGAGTGTCCTCTGTCCAAGACGCGAAGCTGTCGATGTCCTCCTTGTCCTCTTCGTCGTCGTCTTCGTCTTCGTGACGCGAAAGTCGAAGTGAGAATAAAGAAAAAGCCGAAGTTGAAGCTCGCGAGTTTCCCTTTTCGGCAACCAACGTCACGAGATCTCCGTTACATGTGCTTATGTAAGATTATTACGTCATACTGCTTTATCAATTACAGTAAAAAGCAGCAGAGAAAGACAAGAGCAGAGACAGAAAGACAGATGGAGGAAAGGCATAGGGGGTATATGGCCAGGGAGATGGAGGTGGCACAGGATACATAGGTAGAAACATGGTGTTCCAAGCTGTTCCAGGGATACAGTACACTCGCAGGTGTATTACTAATAACGGCTGGGCGATTTGAGAGTGTTTTTTCCATAGCGTGTCTCTAGTAGTGAATTGCATATTCGAGCCAGTCAATATATTAGTTTTACCTTGATATTCATTCGCAAAACGACGAGAAATGCATGGAATCAAGCTGTCCTTCTGTGGAATTTACTGGAGCTATATCTATCACATGACAAGATCAGATCAGATTAGATAACTAACTAGTTAACGTCGGCCTTGGCATTTCTTATCTGATTAATAATTCCATCGCTTTTTGCGCCTCAAGAAGAAGAAAGATCGAACAGTCACAAACGATGGAGCAGAGCTCATAATAAAATAAACAATGTCATTCCTTGCCCGTCAAAGGCCGAGTGCTCGGATTGGTCGATTCTTTAGCCGACATGCCAATTGCTCGATACCATGTTCTCCATACAGCAGTGTTGCGACGTCACGGCCCTTTCGGGTTGCAGTCATTGGCTCAGGGCCGGCCGGGTTTTATGCTGCATACAGGCTGATGGGAAAGGTACCGGAAGCCGTTATAGATATGTACGAACAGCTACCGGTGCCATTTGGCCTAGTTCGCTACGGCGTTGCTCCAGACCATCCAGAGGTCAAGGTAGGTATAATGCGACACGTACCTTTTTGTACATCCAATAGCTAATGCGCAATTGGCTGTAGAACTGCCAGGATAAATTCACCGAGGTTGCGGCATCTCCACGGTTCAATTTCATCGGCAACATCGCGCTGGGCAGTGGTCTTCCGCTGAGCTCTCTGAAACCACATTATGATGCCATTCTCTTCTCGTACGGAGCTTCCAAGGACCGCGAGCTAGGACTACCAAACGAGAGGACGCTTTCGGGAATTTTCTCCGCTAGAGCATTTGTTGGATGGTATAACGGGTTGCCAGAATATAAGAACCTGCTGCCCGACCTAGCTAGCGGAGAGGATGCGGTTATAATTGGACAGGGTAATGTAGCTCTTGATGTTGCGAGAGTGTTGCTATCTGATGTGGATGCCCTACGGAAAACAGACATGTCTGAACATGCACTTGAAGAACTGTCAAAAAGCAGAGTGAAGAGGGTGAGAGTGGTTGGCCGTCGTGGACCTATGCAGGTAAGTCCCACCGGAAGCTGCTGTTGACATTAACAATGCAGCTAACACGCAGATATAGGCCGCTTTCACTATTAAAGAGGTCCGGGAACTCATGCAATTACCTTCAACCGGCTTTGAACCTATACCCAGTGCCTTACTTCCCCCCGATTCAATAATATCTGGGCTCCCAAGAGCGAATAAACGAATCACCCAACTCCTTGCCAAAGGCTCGTCCACCAATCTTGAAAGCTCGACCAAAAAATGGTCTCTTGATTTCCTTCTTTCTCCTCGCTCATTCCACTCCTCACCCGAAGATCCTGGCAGTTTGTCACATATTACTTTCACTCGCAACCAGCTTGACCCTGCCGACCCTTATTCTCCCTCAGCATCCGTCTCACCCCTTTTGGCGGATGATGGAAAGACAGCCCATATAAATATACCGGCGAACCTATGCTTTAGGAGTATAGGGTACAAATCATGTCCGCTCCCGGGACTCGACGAACTTGCTGTTCCGTTTGATGCTTCTCGTGGCTTGATACCCAATGATGGCCAGGGAAGAGTTTTAAATACTATGCCTTCATCCGGCGATGGGGACAGTCTCCCTGCCCACGTACCTGGTGTGTACTGCGCAGGATGGGTCAAGCGAGGCCCCACTGGAGTTATTGCTTCAACGATGACGGATGCATTTGCGACAGCGGATGCTATTGCGGCGGACTGGGGAGTACATCGTGATCGAGGAGGTGATAAGATGGAGTTTCTCAATTCAAGATCCGGACATGAGAGTACGGGCCTTGGGTGGGATGGCGTTCGCCCCGATACCGAGAAGAGAGGTCTACGACCAACTAGCTGGACGGATTGGGAGGAGATAGATCGGATAGAAAAAGAGCGTGGGCAGGCCAAGGGTAAGCCTAGAGAGAAGTTTGCACTGGTCGACGACATGCTTGGAGTTTTGGCATAGAAGAAATATGTATATATGAATGTGTAAGATAAATAATGTACAATAGCCTCAGTATTTAACGGACTACCAATGTGCTAACACTACCAAACCAAGAGCTCCAGAGGATAACAATACATCATGATGGTACACCTTCATAATCCCACCCGTCGATAACTCTCCGTCTCCTTGAATTTCGCCTATTCGCATTGCACTTAACGAATATAGTCAAGGCGGCCACGATCAGGACGATAATAGCAGCAATTGTTGGTACAAGAATGGCCCTCCTTTCAATCTCGTTATTATCCAGCTCATATGGGCACTGTGCCCTTGGTCCATGAGTGACCCAGCAGGTAGGAACATCTGCAGAATTGAAATCTATCCAAAGTACCTCAGTGCTGTTATTATCTTCGCTGCCTGGCGAGATTATTGCAGTGCTATTGGACCGCGAGTCAAGCTTTGCATAGAGATAGATGTTCTCTAGGGCTGTCCTTGGGACAGAAAATGCTGTGTTGTTGGGGCAAGCTTTTTCGGCATTAAAGTAGCTCGTTGCATGTTCAGAAATAACCCATTCAAGCGGCGAATTTCCAACCCGACAAGCGACGTGGTATTCATCGTTACAGTCGTGTGCATGCCATTTGCCTGATGATACCGCATGCATGGCCGCACAACGAAAAGAATCTTTCACTTTTGGCGTGGATGTCCTAGTGGAATTGCGAGGCTCGTCTTTTGCCCAAGACCAAGTGGTAGAAAATGAGATGTTCTGATATGGACTGATATCAGTATCTGCTGTCATATTATAAAGCGTATGGTTAACAATTGCTGAGATCCCGCAGGACGCCAACTGCTGGGTCACTAGTGACAACTCATTGGATGAGTTGCGCGAAGGAAGTTCTGCCACAGCCCAGGAGCGTTCAACATCTGATAAGGTTGTGGTATCTGGATTGTACAGACACCCCTTCGTGAGATCAGAAGCCGAAGTGAATTTTATATCTATGCGGGATTCAAGTGAATCTGGCGGAAAGAATAGGCCGTCTCCCGTAAAGTTATAAGACGCCATCTGGGGGTCGATAGTACCCCAGCCCATAATGAGTCTCGTAGCCTGAGACAGAACGGCGTATCCTGTGCATGGCCACCCGGTAGCTGAGACAGGATGGTTTTTACCATCTACATCAGTCTCCAGGTATTCAGGAATCGGCTGGTAGGGGGGAGAAACAGAAAACCAGGAGGCGCGGAGATTCCCACGATTTTCCATCAATTGTTGGGGGCTATAGATGTATCTGTCCAGGCTCCCGCCTATGACTTTGCCAAGTAATTGTGACGGAGACGGAAGGTCGCCCAAGCTAGGCTGATCAGGAGGCTCTTCCGGAGAATCCGATGAAGCAGAAGCGTGCATGTTTATGATTAAAAACATCATATCCGCATTTAGGGTATTCTCCGTTGTCTTGAAATAATCCTGGAGGACATCCGAGAGGGTCGAAATGCTGAGCGACTCTGTACATGAATATCGCCCCATGTGGTATAATTTGGCCCTCTTCCGGGTTTTGGTAGCTGTCGAGGTTGTGGTGGGAGCAGAAGGTGATGCGCTTGATGTATTGTCTTGTGATGACGTTCTACTTGATGTGTTTGGAGCCGAGTTGGTGCCCGTAGCGTCTGCTGGACAGAGACTCCATAGTTGGCCCCTAGGAGACCAGTATACGTCCACATATAGACGCCTATAGCCAACGGACAGAAGGTTGGACACGCATTTCTTTGTCGGGGTCTCCTCGTACCGTCCGTCACCAAAACATGCCGCCGAAAGCGACATTGCAGGAATTGTCACATGGTCAAGTGGTATCTGGAGCGAAACATCTCTTTGAGACTGTACACAGAACAGCTATCAGCATATTCCGTACTCCGCTATACATCACCAGTGAGGCACCAATATCCTTTGACTGACATACCAGTTCGACTGTGTTCCATGGCGGGAAAAGGGAAGCGCTCTTGTCAGGGTCAAAGTCCCGCATTGGCAGCTCTTCGACCGGCTCTACTCGTCAGCCAGCCCAGACGCCCATTGACCATTGTAGACTCTCGAAGCTGCCCTCCGTCGTCGCCGTCGAGGTCTGTCGTTGCTGTTGCTCTCGCCGATGTTTTCTTAGCTTCGACACTGGGCAAATGCTCTGTCACGTGCCAGGCTTATCTAATCAGCGATCTGGACACTGTTGAACTTCCAGATGTTTTTTTTGTGGCCCGCAAGCAGCGAACAGAAACCGACCAACTACGCAGCACTTTGTGACACTCTGGCTTCACTTGTTTGGTCACTCTTGGGGAGTACATAAGTCGAGGACACCGTCGCAATGGCCGCCCCAGGCCCAACCCCCGAGCAGATCGCCATGATGCAGCAGCAGATGGCTGCGGAGGCGCAAAGACGTGGAATGACAGTCGAGGAATTTGGCAAGATGCAGCGAGAACAGATTGCGGCAGAGGCTGCTAGACAAGGCCTTACGACTGAGCAGTTTATCCATAGACTGAAGGCTCAGGCCCTACGACAACACCAGATGCAGCAGCAACAGCAGCAGCAGCAGCAGCAGCAGATGGAGGGACAGCCGGAAGAGCAGCAGCAACAGCAACAACAGCAACCGCAGCATCAGCACCAACAACACCAGCACCAACAGCAAACACAGCATCAAGTGCCCGTTAACTCCGCTGCGCCGCCAGATCCCAAAGGACTAGCTGTTGCGCAGTTCTTGAGATCACAGAACTTGAAGCCGAGAGTCTGCATCCTGGACGGCCGAAGGAAGGAATTGTTTAAGGGTAGGCTCCCCTCAAATGTTCTACGGAAATGGTATATCTGGCCTACTAACAACTCATAGTTAAACGAGCATTGCGTGCACTTCAGTCTCCTGCCTACGCCAAAGCATCTGCTAAGCCCAAATCCAACCTGCCTCCCGTCACTGATCTAGCATCCGCCGAAAACGCATTTAGACTTCTACCAATGTCCCTTCTAGCCTTGAAGGTTACAAAGGTTGACCCCCATGAAGGCCATGACCATGCAAAACCGCCATCTAAGAAAGGTAGAGTCAAGGGCCTATGGACCGTCCGTATACAGCAACATCAAGACACCGACCCCATGTCCCACTATGTCTGGCTATACGAGGGGCCTCAATGGAAGCAGAAGGCAATGGCTGCTGGAGTGTTGGCCGCCATCATGGCCGTTGTCATGTTCCCATTGTGGCCTATCATGCTTCGACAGGGTGTCTGGTATCTCAGTGTTGGAATGATGGGATTACTTTGTCTGTTCTTCGCCATGGCCATCTTCCGCCTTATTCTCTTCGCAGTCACCTTCTTTGTCGCTTCACCTGGTCTATGGCTATTCCCAAACCTGTTTGAAGATGTTGGATTCTTTGAGAGCTTCGTACCTGTGTGGGGTTGGCAAGAGGTATGTTAATTTTACACTACCCGCTCAAAGCGGCCCATTCCCTAGGATATTGAGAGTAATTAGCTAACTTCTGTCCCTATTTGCAGACTAAGAAAAAGAAGAAGTCAAAGAAGACAGACGGATCATCGTCAAAGTCGTCAAAGGCCAAATCCTCGAAACCTGCAGCTACTGCTTCCACTGCCCCTGAAAATGCCCCTGCTGCAGCTCAACCCACCGCGCCGGCCGTGCCTACCGAGCAAGCAAGTCAGACCAACACTCCCGAGCAGACACCCGGTAAACATGCTTTTGCAGCTAGTGTAGAGGATGCCGAAGAAGAGTAGTCTCGGTGGAGAGAAACACGACTAAAGTCCAATCAAGAAGCTTTTCTATATACCCCACGCCGACTTTTTGCTTCACCTGTACCCCAATCATCTGGCTCTGACCTTTTTTTTATCTTCGAATTGCCCCCACTTGACATTCTTGATTCCCTTTTCGATCATCAACACATTTTACCCTACATCTTCTTCTCGAGGGCTTGGTTTATATATTACGATGTATGAATAATTACTCTAAAATAAATCTGGCATTACTTTCTTTTACTTCCCTATATTATCGCATCTATGTCTTATAATAAATAGTATTCGTAAGCTCTCAAAATCTAGTGGTAATCTTTTCCGTGGATTTTGTATGGTTGATAGTATATATTATTGTTCTTATAACACAGGTCAATTTATACAATGCTATCGATATAGAATGCAAAAGCCCAAAGAAAACATAACGAAAGGAAGGAAAGCAAATCCAAAGTGCTCAAATAAATTGTCGATGGAAAATCAGATACATAAGAAACCGTGAATTTTGTATCGAAGCTCTGAAGCCAGCTCAGCTTCCCCTGTGACTCCATTTTTATAATATCATAAGTTTCGCAGTTGTATCCAAAGGGAAGAAGGAAATGGGATACAAGAGGCAAAAGATATATATAGAGAATGTTTCTATATAAGAAAAATTGAAACTGAGGGAAAGAAGGAAAGAAATAAATGAAATAATGCTTAGACGATATTAGATATCGATGTGGTTGAACGGACATAGTAATCGAAAAAGAGGGGTCAAGAGAATGGACTCGGAATTCCGGAAAAGGGTGGCAATATTGAGCGGGATTATTCCCCCATAATAGCGTATGGGTAGAATATTGGTAGACATCAGGGTATATAGTTTAATGTATGAGGTGATATGGTACATGTATGCAGTTATATGTCCAAATCCAAACAGTGCATTAATGAGACACGCACTTGAATCCTGAAGGAGGATAAGGCATTGAGGGTATCATGGGTCGCATATTGGTAGAGGATGTTCAATGGGAAATTACCCGGCAGAATTGAACCCATGATTCGAAGAATAAAAATAAAGGAAAAAAGTGCAAAGAGGGTAAAATATGCAGTCCGGCCAGGTATGAGATGTCTCTTTTTCTCTTTTCTTTCCTCTTTTCAACAAAAAGATGTACTTATGTCTGCCAAAGAGGTTTATTGCTGGTCTGCTGAGGTACTAATGGGTGACCTTCTGTGGTAGCCATTGGCAGCCGCCAATACTCAATCGTGAAGATTCGCATTGAGGCAGTGCCTCGGGGATAGCAAGTGATGGTACTTCTGGCAGAGGGCAGGTTGGAGGAGGTGCTGGGGGAGGCCCATGTGGAATCTGAGGCATGCTTTTCCGACTTGAGAGGGAGTTCAAAGATGACCTCCTGCTATTGGATGACTTCGCAGTATTAGACCGTTGGCGTACAATTGAGTCCTGACTGGGCTCCGAATTGGGGCTTGGGTGACGGGGACTCCTGCAAATCTTGATTCTAGGTTCACTGTAAGCCCTGGGCCCCAGACTTTGTGGCCTCGGGCGGCTGCGTGTGTTGCTTGTTGAATTGTACCCCGGGGACAGGCCAGAGATATCCAGCGGCTCGTCACTGAGAGTAGAGAGAGCCGGCCGATATTCAGAGATAGGCCGATTGAAACTTTGCATGCCGTCAGAGGACGAGTACCTTCGAGTTCGATGGGTATGTCTTAGGGGTGAAATAGGGGTTAACGAAGGTATATCATCATCCAACTCCTGTGTCTCGCTGCTATCGGTTCCGGCAGTACTGTAAGCCCCCTCAGAATCAAGTATACCGCTGCTTGTACTTCCCCTCCTTCGTGGAGGAGATCCATGATCAGAGCTGATTTTTTCGTCGATATTGGAGCCGTGGAGCATCTCCGCAGTAGGAATTATATGCAAAACAGGGCTTTGACATGCTCCACTCTCAACTGGGAAAGATATTGTCTTGGGGCTCATTGCTATCGAATTTCGTTTATTGACAATTGGGTGGCTGAAATTTGGAGTGCAAACAAGGCGGCTTTCGGCACGGGGCGGTGGCAGTGGTGTCTCGTTGATAAAGTCCTCTGAATTGCCGCAGCCCTTGGTAGAGGACTTGCTTCTAAAGCCCAGATCGGCGGTTTCAATCCGAGCGGGACTGCGTGCAGCTCTAGGCGACTCCCGGCATGGGCTCTTTGAGATCGGGGTCTTTACCGTGGCGGACGAGGACGAGGATTGAGAACTAGGCATGGTTCGAGTTCCAATAGAGACACAAGACAGCCGCGAATCGCGTCTGAGGTTGTCTAGTTCCATAGCACTTGCCAACGAAGATGGCGAGGATATCTCGGATGGTTGCTGTACGTGCTTCCGGCTTTCTCGTCTAGTTAGTCCGGGTACAGATATCTGGTCATCTCTTACACTCCGTGGGAGTGACAAGGCCTGATCCACACTGCCTTTCCGAATGACTTGTTTGACGGTTTGAGATACCATCGGCGAAGGCTGAAGCTGAGTGGCTCCAAGGGTCTCGGAGGGGTAGTCTTTTCCTCCAAGAACTTGTATTGCGCGCCGAACGAATGTAAGCCAGGATGTTAGTTCTTCAGCGCTATCCAGGATAAGCAAGAAACTGCTTGTCGCTTTCTGTGGCTCTGCATTGCTCGTGCGCCGAAACCTGTCTAATATTGTCTTCTTGGGCTCTAAGCTTGGTTCAACATCATCTTGAGTCTGTGATATCTGTAATACCCAGTGTCTTCCGGGAATTGCATCGCATGCAAATGCAACGGAGTCAGCCCCTAAGGCCAACACTTCTTCGGGGAGTCGATCAAAGCTTCCATCGATACCATATTGAAGTAGATGCCCGCTTGTCGCCAATATGAAGATCTTCTGAGACCATTTCAGACCGCATGAGAAGCTAGACTGGTTTCTTGAGTGTATTTTTTTCCCTTTCTTCCATGTTTTTGCTTTGACGACGCCCTTGGGTCCAGAACCATCCATATTGTTATCACCATTCATTGCCTTGTCTCGAGCGTTACTGGCCTTTAGGTCCCGACGCATCTTACGACGCAATATTTCATCAGTGGATAGGATAGGGCACGGTAGCGTGGCATGTTTCACAGCCTTGGGATACGCCATGAAAAAAGGCGGAGGATCCCATGCTGAAAGAGCTCCAGGCTCTTTAGTAGCGGCCAGAATGTCATCGTCATTGGGAATGGGGAAGTGCGTTGATGATTTGACTGATATCGGTGTGGCATTCACGCTATGGAGTGGTGAAGCTACTCCAGGTGAATGGCCAAAGATTCCGTGTTCTTCAGAAGCTACCGTGGCAGACAAAGCAGGATCTCTACCTGGTATATGCGGTTGTGATTTTGACCTTGTAAACCATTTCCTAATAGCGAATCCGTGCGGTTTGGGACGAAGAGGGACACGATTCCCTGATTCCTCACTATCAAGCTCCTCTGGGAGAGGCGGCTTAACACGAACAGTTACGCTTCTGTTTGCTGTCTGGATTGGGGGAAGCCGTACTCCCCTTCGAGAACCGACGGTTGAAGGAGGTTGAGCGTCCATTTGTCAAAAACGTTCTAACGTCGTTTAAAATGGCTTCGTCAAGTATAGTCACGCATTGCCTATACAGAACTGTGCGTGGTTGTCAATGTAGAAGCTCCATCGATGACACGCACAGTCTATAACAGGACTATACGCGCATTGCCAGGAGATGAACCACGACGCTTCGCTGGTACAAAAGTATCAGTTGACAGAAAAGGGAGAGTTCGACGTAACACTAAATGTCCAAGGGGCTCGATCTGTCCGTAAAAGCAGAGGGGCAAGCGAGAATGTATGTGATAAGTAACGCTTGTATGACGAGGTCAAACGGCCATTAGGTCAGGAAGGATACATACGGCCGGTGAGTTGAGCGAGTAAAGTGGTTTTTGGATAATGGAAAGGAGAGCAAGATCCTTGGCCGGGAGAAGCTTGACTCTTTGTGCATACCCAGGAGTAATCCAAACGATGTAACAGGGAGGAAAGCTGCTTGGCTGAGTTAACTGCTTTGTAGACAACTGGGCTTTGTTGATCAGATGGTTAGCGGGTGAAGCTGCAAAAGGAATTCTCCTCTTTTTTAGTTGGTCCACATCTCCGATTCGCACGGTCGTCGAACTTGAAAGGAAAGGGCTCCATTACACCCAGCCGTTAGGGGGCAAAACCAGAGTTGCGAGATATTCCCTGTGGCCAGCCCCAAGATTGACTTTTGTGAGTGTGACAGCCAAGTTAGCTTCACGATTTTTTGGCGCCCATCACCTCGCACACACCTGGAGTTTTTTGGACATCACACGGCAAAACTCATCCCTCCTGGAGAAACTCCTGGTGTATGCCACCGACTTCTGACTGGTCACTAAGCGGCGCTAAGACCGATGCTGCTGGGCTCGAAGGCAAGGGAGGCTGGCTTGAGGAAAGGCTATCCTTTCGACCTTGTAACCTCCGTCAGGCCGGACGTCAAGCAAAGCTGCATGCAGGGCGAGAGCTGACAGAATAGGCACCAACTCCGTAGAGCCGTTAGAATCCAAAACCTCGGTGCTTATGGATTAACTAGAGAGATAACAATAATAATGGCAACGCTGGAAAGGCAGCAGTCACCTTTTCCATGAGTTACCTCGGTAGCAGAAATGGCGTCGTTCCTGTACTCCTTCCGGGTGGTAATTGCGGCACTCTCTCAAGTACGCTCCGGAGCATATATGCCCAGAACCCGTCCTCTGGTGCTCTGCGCAAACGTGCGAAAGTCCTCTTTCAAATAAAAGGTACAGTGGTTAAAGAGGCTGGAACTGGACGGGAGAAAGGACCATTGTCGAATCGAGACTCAGAAGGCTTGTTTTCCCTTAGTCAAATGTCCGTGAGAGCTTAATTATTCATCTGAGACAACTAGTTAGCAGAGCCCGCGACCATGGGCGTGGTGTTTGTTTGTTTGCATGAAGAGCGGAGCTCATCTTAAGAAAACCGCGCTGTTGTCGCGTTGTGGATAGCAAAAGTACGTAGATCTAAAGACGGTTGTCCGACGATGAGATGGCATACGGAGTACTCCGTACCTGCCTGTTGGCTGCGCTGTCAATGATATGGAGCATTTGCCCCAACCCGTCTCTAACTACCCCGTATAGACGTCATCATCTCAGATAGATGTCTTTCTGTATCTCCAAGGTAATTCTGCTGGACCATTTGGGTTCATTAGTAGGATTGTGGTTGAGCACATGAAATTTTGACAGGCCTCTGAATTAAACGGCACCTGGCGATCTCGGCCTAAGAAAGGGCATTAGCATTTATCAGAAGGATAATTATGACAAAACCGGTCAAAATATTCGCTCCTACGTAAGCTGCTCATATAAATCTTTGTCCAGTAGATAGGCGTTTCAGCACCAAGCATGGGGCTTTTTGGGTACCTCTGTAGCGGGAAACTCCGGCTAATACCCAAAAAATGCTAAAATGGCTTGTTTGATCACTACGGATTTCTCCTTTTTTCCGATCTAGTTAACGAGAGTTGGGGCCTTGAGTTTCAAATCAAGACAGGTCATGCATACTCCGTACCGCTCCCAATAATAATGAGCAGTGCCTTCCCACCTCACCTTGAACAATCCTGCAGGGGAATAACCCCTTTGGTTGTTTACATACATGGGAGATGTCGCGGGAGACGATCCTCTGAATCAAGCGCTTAGATATTATGCTGCGGATGGAACGATCTGACTGCATTGTTGAGGCTTCCCTGGTCTGAACATGAGCAAGACTCCAGAAGCGCTGCGGTAACTAAAGCATCCAGCCATGATCCGGCATGTATGAGGCGCTGTAGTTGGGATAACCAGGGGTGCCAGCCAACAGCTACGTTTCCTATGTTATTGGGCCTTTGGGAAAATCCTTGTATAATATTGAGAGACCTCTCTGCATATCAGAAGGTTTCACGTACGTGCCAATGAATACCTTTGAATGGTAATTAAAGTATATTATTGTACAAACCGAGCTCATTAACATTAGCAAGACGGAAGGGCTTGCAATGTTTTCATCCAGTATTCGAATATCAGTGCCTAGCATGGCTACAAACGCCTCGAGGGCCTTTTCGGTTATGCCGAATCTGAAACGAAATACCGAGACATTGCTTCACTCGTCGTAATAGAATGGGTAGAAGAATGCTTAGATTGTTGGTGTGTCTATTATCGCCGCGTTGGGAACTGACAGTTCTCCCTTTTGAGATACACAGGTTGATAGTTACTCCATAACTATAGTGGTTGCAATGAGAAGTGCAATATGCAGTAATCATCTCGTATATTTATCCGCGCGACTTTATTCACATATAAGTACTCCGTAGACGAAAAGACAGAGTATCGTTAATATCGAGTTGTATTAACGCATTATGTGGTTGTCTATAGTAAAAATAAACAACTTGATGTTGTTCGTTCAAATAAGCTCATCGGGTAATAAGAGCCTCTTCCTTGTTTGGGCGACCACCCTTTGTTACTAAAAAAGGGGTTAAACATCTCAACCTCCATGTTGATAAAGAGCCTCCGCTCTTTTGTTTATTTAGGAGTGCCGCGTCATGGATCAACTAAAACAGCCACATCTCCAAGAGTCTACCCAGAAATAAAGGTGTCCAAACATAGCAAAAAAGAAACGCTCGTGCTCAGGATTGCTTTTAACGGCGTCGAGCCACCTGGCGGCAGAAGAGCCATAGCACCCTCTCAGGGGGAAAAGGAACCAATGAACTTCTATCATAAAAATGCTATTTCGTCAAAACAGAAATACTCACGGCCATCTTGTGCTATATATATATGACTTATGATAATCACTAGCCTGCCCTTAAATATGGGATCACTTATATTGATTGGGCCGTACATAAATTGTGTATAGCACGGTTTGCAGCCAAGCAGGCACGCCGACTGGCTTCTTCTTTCCTTTGCCCTTGTGACACGATTCCCCAAACGCTGCTCAATGGCGGCGTGTTATGGAGGACCAGACAAGCCGCTATTTCTGTGGCCATGGCAGTTGGAGCCCGGAAATCCAGCTCCATCGTTCACCCCATAATTGTCGCTCGGAGGATTTTATTATTGTTTCTCAACTCCTAGTAGGACAATATGATGACTCCACAGCCATTCTGGTTTGGAGTTCCTACTCTGGCTTTTGTTTTGATAACATTACAACACAGCAGCCTCGTTGAATCCGCGTCGAGCATTGCAACCTTCTCCGATGAAAACTGTCAGGACTCCTTGTCATCATTTGACGGGCCTAACGGATACCCAAATGGAACGTGTTCAAGACTTGATCGGAGTGGAAAATATGGCAGTTTCCAAGCTGTCAATCTTGATGATGGCTGTTCTGGTATGATAATAAACCTTAGGTGTTCTACCTTTCTTTGGAATGCTCAAAATCCCCAAGCGGCATAATGAACGGTCCCCTAAGCAAGGAAATAGATTATTAGTCTACTTTGCTCACACTTCACGGCATACACTAACACTTATCATTCATTATTCTAGTAACATTATATGGGAGAGACGACATCGCCGGTCAACCCTGTTCATCTTCAGTAGTCCAAGTTGCCGAGATAGCAGCATGCTACAATTCCTCATGGATATTTTATAGTATCGACGAATGCACAGCTCCTGCCCCCGGCCAAACGAAAGCACCAGTACCGGACATGGCTCGCGATTATACCGGCGCAATCGTCGGGAGTACAATAGGGGGGTTGTTTGTGATTGCGATATTCATCATAATAGGGTGGTTTTGTTTTGTTTATCGTCCTTGCCGGAAACAAAATGAATGCACGGAACAAGCGACAGGCCATGTGAAAGGAGCGGGTGTCACATATAAAAAACCTGCATTTGGGCCTTCTGATAGTCCTGGAATGACGGCAGGGAGAGTACCAGACACAGAAACAAGTCGAGATTGGAGAGTAATGCCAGAACTAGAAGGATCCCAAGCCCCTATCGAGATGGAAGCACGGAATCCAAGCCTTCATTCCCCTTCGTTCGCTAAGTAGGAAGGAGGCAAGACAAAAATTCGAGAAAACAAATGCCAGCAGCCACCGGCTGGGAGGGAAGTGCAACGGCCAAGAGCCGATATGTGTATGCCGAGTGCAGCCTAAAGGCCATCACCCTCATCAATAAGATGAGGAGTTATTTATCGGAAACTTGCTATCGCCACCACATATGGGCGCAACTGGCGATGGGAAGTTTAATGCTCTTCACAGGAAAGGGTATCGATGGGCTGAGAGCCATGGCAGCGTCGCCAAGTTGCTGTAAAACCGTCCTATCTTCATTTCTCCTTCCACAACCTCCCTTATTCCCGCCGCAATTTCCGATTTAATGCCAATGCCAACATTACCTTGGAGTAATGTGTGCGCTCAATCAAAGAGGAGCTTTTTAGACAAATGCATTAAGATGTCCGTCCATATTAGCCATATAAAGTAGTAGGGTATGATCTACAGGGGACAGAGTCGTTCCTCCATTCAAATCGAACCTAAAGCTATGCAGCTTTCCAGATAAAGCATGGATGATTTACAATTAAATCATCCGGGTATCAGTGCGCACGGTACTCATCATATACTTTATGCATTGTCGTGATAAAGGTGCTTGAAGGATATGGAGGATGCAGCTCCTCGTAGGGCGTAACGATATTATAGCCAAGTACCACGTATAGCACCGGGTAGCTAGCACTTTGTCCGAGTTCAGGCCGATGTGAGAATGGCAACATCGGCGACTCTGAGCACGACTGCATGCCGGGCCGGGGCTGTCAAGTGGGGGAGAAGTACATGTATGCATGTTGATAGAGTACCAAGATAAATCAAATGATAAGTCGGTACATAGAGACGGGGAGGAGCTTCGTATATCGAAAGGCTCGATGCTTGACCATGGAGTATGGTCTAGCAGTCCCATTGGTATTAGCCGTGAGCCACTCGGAAACCGCATTGGACACAGCATTCTGCATCATAAACTAAGAACTTTCAAAGTTCTAAGCGTCATGTATAATCAGACACGGTATAGGGTATTTGGATAATAGGAGTTTAATCATGTTCGACTCTTGGGTGCTCATATTCTTGTCAACTACGATCGCCGTCCTTTGGTGTTGAAGCTCTGGGGGAATGACTGTCCATCGAGGAAACCAGACGGCTCTCGCTCCTCGCCAACAACAGCAAGTGACCGATCAAGTGGGATCAAGTGGAATAATTTTCCGGGGAGCATGGCACTGACGAGAGCTCCCAAGCTCCCACGCAGGGATGTGCGTGATATTCAGTGCCTGTTCCAATATTTGTCGGAGATGGAGCGCCTAATCCCTGTCCCATGAAGTTACTGCTCCGAGACAAATCCAGGTTTGGCGGAGGGGTTTGTGTCGAGTATCGTCTCTTGAGGTAGCCGGCCCATGTACATATATGATGTACTGGCTTACTCTGTATACTTCGAAGCAAGCAGGGCCTTGAAGCCGTCTATTGAAACCGACCATGAAAGAGGGATGGTTACTGTGTGTGCCCACATATGGAAATCGGGCTATCGACCAGGTATGGCTATATCGTACTCCGTATATACGAGATGAAATAATTCCGGATACCATCAACGGGTTGCATGCATATCTACTTACTTATTGTTAGCATATGGTAATATTAGTTGTAACCGCACCAAGCTCCTAATAATATGGGTGGACTTTAGTGCCATATTAGTGAAGAAGGTGTTAGTGATGGGAGCATACTACCTTGATCATTTTTGCGATCGGAGCTGTCTGAAGGAAAGGCTCTCTACCCCTTGACTCCACTTGAGACGGCTGATATCAGTGACTAAATTGACTTGCTTCGTTTAGCGTGGACAGGGGTAGATGCAAGAAAGCAACTATTGAAGCGAAAAGTGGCCTAAAAAGCCCATCAAAACTGGAGAAGCCGACGGCTAAACCTTTTTCCCTCTAGTGAACTCGCAATTTTTCCAGCCGTAAAATGAAGGCCAGGAGGCCGAGAGCATTCTCCGTATGCACGGGAGCGGCGACTTAACATGCACTCAGTCTGGTCCCAACGCCTGAACAGACGGCATATTCCTCGACAAGACCGCCTTCTCGTTAAAGCTGCTGTCGTACAAAACTGCCGTTTACTGAAGTGTCAAAAATGTTCCGAGTTGGCGCCGTCGGGCCGAAATTCTGGTGCCTGAACCAGGTCGGCTCGGCGCACACAGGGAAGTCACTGAACATGAGCAAACTCTCAGAGTGACTGTTGGTAAACTCGCCGGACGGCGTTTATAGAACACCGGAGGTTTCGCTTTTGATGCTACTTAGGGAGAGACGGGCGTTGAAAGATTCTCCCGCGCAACCCTCTTTGCTGTTTTGGCTTTTTTTTCTTGGATGCTAGCCTAGAGCTATGGACGTGGTGGAATTTGTCTGCTGTAGAATGAGCTGTGGCTGCCTGATTGGCTGGGCGAAAGATAATACACAGACCTCGACTATGGTCCTTCAGTGCCAAACCACTAGCACTCCATACGGGAATAGGCGGAAGGCATGAAGAGGATGATGATGTATCGCAGGAGAGTTCAAATGCGCTCAGCGAAGGCTTTGGCAGCATAGGCGAACGTACATTCACGGCTGAACAGCATAAGAGAGCAAGAAAAGAAAAAAGGGGTCTTAATTCCAGTGACCAGGACCAACGCCAATGCTTGAGTATGCATGTATGCATTTTGGGGTCAGCATATTCAGCGTGTTGCTCGTTTCGCTTCGCTTTACCTAGCTTGCTTCAGTTGCAAAGAAGAGCTGGCTCGCGTGCACGGCGGTGGCCATGCCCTGAGGGATCAGGATATTGAAACGTAAACCTCCGTCTTGTGTCTATGTTGTACAACCAGCCTGCAAGGCGTTCCCACAGCCTGGTAGAGTAGGATTTTAGCAAGCGGATCTTGCCACATTTCTGACGGGGAAGGATCTGGCTATGTTTAGCAACAAGCAAAAAAAAAAAAAGGAAAAAGATGGGAGGCAGAAAAAAGGTGGCGCCATATCATGATACGTTCGGCTGAACTGGCATCGTGGGTGACCAGGTGCGTAGCTTGGCTGGAAGGTGAAGGGATATCTTGCGCTGTGAGCATGTTCGTGGTTCATCGTGCAGATGTTCGGATGGAGGTGAATGGATGTATGTACGGTGAGATTCTTGGCTTACCTGGATCATAATGCATGACCGCACGGCTGTTACGTATTAGGAAATCCAGAAGGGTCAACCAAGGCCAGCGAAACCTGCCCAGAGACAAACAAGGAGATTTTTTGATGGACGCACTTATGCAAAAGGACAAGTTCTCAGGATGAACATTTTGGCTCAACCCGAGTCCATCCTAACTTACAAAACCGAAAAGAGACCGCTGGTATCCAGAATCTCTTGATGGTTCCACAGATCAAGCGGATCATCCAGATATACATCCGTATACATAGTTAAAATCTATGGGCACATATGTAGCGAAATGACAGGCTGGATGCAAATGCACTGCGCGTTCCCTGGTCATCGTTAACGGTTTTCCACAACACCTTTTGACACTGTATCTCCGACTCCATGGGGAAACTTTGCGCACGTCAACTGTCACCCCTCATCCTCCTGACGGTGGTTAAAAAAAGATATCACATCGTGATACCAAAAACAAAAAATAGGGCGTCGGTAAAAAAAAAAAAAAAAGGTCGGTGCAGAAGCTCCCATCGTTGACATGGTGTTGAGCCAGGCGGAAACTCCGTAGTTTGTCGATGCCTTGACAGGGGAAGGGTGGTTGGAGCCATATCCCATCCTATGAAGGAGAAATGGTGGATAGCAGTTTCCCAGGTGAAGAATGTTGCAGCCGTTCGTATCGATTGACTTTCATAGGTCAATCTCTCGGCCAGAAGAGCGAGGTTGGGTCTAGGATCAGGGAGTCGTGGGGAAGGAGGGATGAGGGATCCAGGGCAGAATCTTTCCAGGGGTCATGGAGGACAGGTGGTGGAAACAGGAGATCCCCTTACTGGTGGATAATTTTCCCTTCCCGATACGACCACTCTGTCCGCCGACAGAGCAAGCAGATCCAGACAAGGAAGCGCAGGCAAATTTCCAGTTCGCCCAGGGTAAGGTCAGATAACGAGCATCTTAGTCTGTTTGATCATCCAGCGGCGAGGATCATTCCAGGGTTCTGTAGCAAGAACTTTGCCTTGCTGACGGTGAGATTTCTGCTGACGATACGGAGTAGACACTATGGAAGAAATGTTCACTGCACGGTCCGTCACTGTCCCCTTCCATCCCGCGATCGGTCTGCCAGATAGAGCCAGAATGGTTCGATTGCCAGATAGTACCATGACGCTGCCGGCCTTGTTTTGGCATGTGTTAGTTAAGCTGAAGAATCTGTCTTTTGTAACTTCGTATTTTCCTTTCCTTTTCTTTTTTGATGGTTTTTGTTTTTTTATATCAGTCTCGTTTTATTTTATTTTCGGTTGAGCCTCGGGATACCACGTGACATCCAGATCAAGATTAGCGTCTTCTTTATTTTTTCGTCGTTTCTACAACGTCGAAGAAGAAAACGACAGCAAAGACTAGCAAAGACGGCGATAAAGAGACAAAGATAAGGCGGGGGAGAAGGAGGAGGATGAGAGGCAAAAGTGAAATGGATGGCGGATGGATAGAGTGAGTCTTACTGTCGCGGATACAGCTACCTCAAGGAAGGGCTAACAAGCTGCGCAGGCGAACAGGAAGCCGTGGACAGACTGGGATCCTGAGACCCCATGTAAGTACGCCGAGGCGGACCCCGGGGACCACCCCTTGCCAGAGGATAGCCGAATTTACCCCTTTCTTGTCCATGGGTCCGCTGCTCTCGAAAACAGCGCTGGTTCGTCGCTCGTATTATGCTTTCACCAGCCCCAGAAATCCGTGGATGGCCACCGAAGCTTCTGAAGCATTGGCTGACGACGCCAAGCTAGCGCCCAGCAACCCCCGGGATGGGGATCAAGTATAATCTGACAGTCCCTCATGCACAGTAGCAGCAAGGTGAAAAGTAAGAAAAGAACAAGAGAAAATACGTCGAGCAACCTGGCGAGCTTCCAAGAACCAAGGAGTCCGCCCTTCTTATATACTCCTTACATATGTACTGACTCAGGCAGTCTTGGTTGATGATCTGAACTAGCCGACCGAACGGATTCCCACGGCACTTTTCTTCGTACCTTTGGATCATCTCTTTGCGTAGGCCAGTAGACGGGAAGACCAGGGGTGAAATCCCGAACAGCAGCAGTTCCGAGTTCTTCTTTCGATGCTACCTGTCGGGTTGTGTCGTGTTTGCTTAGCTGGTCGTGTTGTCGCGAACGCAAACGCTGGTTCTGTATACGGAAAATAGACGCAACGCTACCTTTGGAGAGCTGATCGTGATTCATCTCGTTCAGTCAAAACATACGGAGGAGCGGAGTTGGGGTTTTTGTGGTAAGTGTAGGCGCGGAAGGCGATAACGTGTCGCTTTCTACTTCTGACGCCTGAAGATATCCCCGGGCCGAAACTGGCTTCTTCTGGTTGGTGTGATTTTCATAAACATCGAAGTTGGTTGGATTGGGGCATGTCAAGCAGGTAAGCAGTAGGCATAACCATCCTTCCAGAAGAAAATTCAAGGCCCTTGAGCAACCTCCAAGGCCGTGGCATCCTGTCACGTGGAGTCATAACCGCGTTGCAAATCAAACTGAGATTGTTGTCCGAGACGAGTGTGGAGGCTAAGTCCCTGGCTTAGCGTGCTATCTATAGCCCGCTCGCCAACCATGTGGAGGAACCTCTCCAGCAAAATGTGGAACCGAAATTGAATGGGATAAAGTTGAAACACAAGGCTTTTTAGAGCTTGAGCCTAACTACCCCCGCCACACGCCTATACCTGAGCCAAGTCTGGCACACCGTACGGGTACCCCTACTTTATCCCCATGGGATGCAAAAATCGCAAAAAAGAAGCAAAGTGACATAAAAAGCAAACCTGAAAAAGGAACATCTTCAAAAAACATCAACAGGATTGAAGAGCAAAAGAAAAAAAGCGACAAACTTCAACAGGGTGCAATGTAGCTCCATGCTCCAATTTTTCCTTTCTGGCTGATTTAATGAGACAAACACTAGGTGTCTCATACGATTCTTCCTCGCAGCGAAGTTGCTCCCAAATCTCTTGAATGTCCTTGGTCTTCCTTAGCATTCGGGTTCTTCCTTTTGTCCCTGGTTATCTTTGCTTTTCCCCTCGATTTTTTGGCCATCTCTCGGCCGCTCTGGGCCAGAAGTAGTGAGCAGCGTTTCCGCGGGCCGACATGCTGTTTCAATCTGACCATCAAAGGTCAAGACGTTACTGGTATAGGTACCAGGGTGGGGAGGGGGGGAGCGTAGCTAGGCGCATGATAGGCCTTGCCTGGCGGATACCAGTGGCCTTAGCCTTAGCCACGTTCAATATACGGAGGCTAAATATATATTTATATTCCTTCCACTTGTCAACAGATTTTACATAAATAACCACTCCTCCACCCCATCAATGACAGTTCTGTAGATCAGAATTCACATCCACTCCTTTGAGGATAACAGTTATTCAACTTCCTTCCAGCTACCTATAGACGGTCGTTCGGGGGTCAAACGGGGGACACATCTCATTTGCGTTGACGCATTACAAAAGTTGGGAAAGCCTTTGCACGGCGCGCATACACATACACACGCACAATGAAGTACGGTTCAGTGTTGGTGGCCGCGCTTGCTGCCCTCGCAGAAGCTACCATCCCCATTCCCAAGGGCGGAGTTCCTGGTCAACCTATCCAGGAGAGCGGGAAGGGAGGTGTCTTTTCCGGTATGGCGTTCCAGCCACTTATGCACCTTACCGGCGCTGTGGAAAGTTGTTTTGCTAACTTTGCATGACAGGTGGTACCAACAATGAACTTGATCTCCAGAATCCAAGCAATATCGGCGGCCAGCCCGACACCGACAATGGCCTTGTTCCAAACTTGAAATGGAGCTTCTCCCTTTCCAAGACACGAATGTTGTACGGCGGTTGGATCCGTGAGCAGGTCATCCAGGATCTACCAGCCAGTCACGACATTGCCGGCGCCCAAGTCCATTTGATCAAGGGTGCCATCCGACAAATGCACTGGCACAGAGTTGTATGTTTGCACATTACCACTTTGGCCACTATTTTTCCGGCCTGGGTCGCATGAAGAATTGTATACTGAGACTCGTACCTTCTAGGCTGAATGGGGTTACATCTACGCTGGTGAATTCCTAGTATCTGCCGTCACTGAGGACGGCCAGTTCCAGCTCGATAAGCTCGGAGTTGGTGACATGTACTACTTCCCCAAGGGATCTGCCCACTCTCTCCAGGGTCTTGCAGACGAGAACGAGATTCTCCTGATTTTCGATGACGGTGACTTCGACCGTATCGGGTATGCTCAAGCCTTCCCTCCATTATTCACTGGCCGCGACTAACAGCTTCATAGTACCACCTTCATGGTTGCCGACTGGATCTCCCACACTCCAAGAGATGTCCTGGCCAAGAACTTTGGCGTCCCGCTTGGCACCTTCGACAAGGTCCACAAACCCGATCCAGCCCTTCTCAATTCTACCATCAGCACCAAGACCGTCGAAGGTGGAAACGGCCCTCTCACTGGCAACAGCTCCTACACCTTCCACATCGCCAATGCTCCAGAGATACAGGTCCCCGGTGGTGGTGGTACTATCCAGATTGTCGACTCCAAGAATTTCCCTATCTCTAAGACCATTGCTGCCGCTGTTGTCCGCCTAAAGCCCGGTGGCATGCGTGAGCTTCACTGGCACCCAACTGTAAGTTCCTGCTGTCCTCTTCTGATCTACACCCATTTTTTCGATCCCATCTAACCATGCACATACAGGCTGAGGAATGGGTCTACTTCCACAGCGGAAATGGCCGCGCTACTGTCTATATGGGTGGTGGCCTTTCCCGAACCTTCGACTTCACTGCTGGTGATACCGGTGTCTTCCCCGACAACTCCGGTCACTACGTTGAGAACACCTCTGAGACTGAGGAGCTTGTCTACATCGAAGTTTTCAAGGCCGACCGTATTGCCGATGTCTCTCTCAGCCAATGGCTCGCCCTTACTCCTTCAGATATCGCTGCTGCCGCTATCAATGTACCAATCGAGGTCATTGAGCAGATCAAGAAGGACAAGCAGTACATTGTCTCATAAACGTGACACACGCGGAGGTGCAGGCACCTCAGACTATCCTCTGAGAACAACCACCTTCAATTTTACTTCCCTGTAACTTTTTTTATCAACCCTTACTCACACACTCTCTCGCCCGCCCCTGTCCGGCCTGGATACATTAATGACTCTATACTCTCACCCTCGACGGCTTTCTTTCACTTCTTACATACATTTGCCTGCACATAAGCTGTTCTGTCCGCTGCTGGTACAACCTCTTTCCTTTTTTCCTCCTATATATCCTTCTGTTTCTTGTTACGTCTATTAGATCTGCACATAGCTGACCTCCTGTCCTCTCTATTTTACCGAGCAACACATACATCTGCTCTCTCACTTTTTCTTTTTTTATTTCTGTTTAGAACCAAAACAAGAAACAATTTAGAAAACACTCAAAAAAAAAAGAAAGTTCCAAACACGCAGTATATAGAATCCAAATACGATGTTGACCATTCAGAAGATATCACTCTTTTCAACGGCATATAGAAAGTAGAAGCAAACCACAGCTTCCAAAAAGACTTTGTCTTGTTTCTTTTTCTCAACAAGCTCTGCACTATCTTACAACCTTCCTGTCGGGGGATGCGGTGTACTTGTACATGGTTTGCTGTCTTCCGGCTTTGATAATCGGCAGCAGTGGCAAAGTACCCGGGACTCCCGTATAACTAGTTAGCTGGCTACTTGGCGGAAGCGCAAATCAACCGCCAGCCTTGCGTCCATAACGCCCCGTCAAACACGCGGCTTAAATATCTGACTGTCCCCATTGCGAACGAGCATCTATCAAGAAATGACGAATATCAACAAGCAAAAGAAAGCGAGCCAGCAACTCCTCCGGCATTGCTCGAGCTGAAACGGAGTACCTCCGCTGGCGACGGCATTTCCCTCCCAACCTCAGGGGAAAGCCGAACAATGTACTCCATACCTATTTCTGGCTGCGGGATCGCGGTACCCAATAAGACTGTGGAGAGCAATCTGGTTCGTATATTGAGCTCCTGCGCTTCCATCAGTTGGCCTCCAGGCTCCTCCTTCTGGCAACGATCCGTTGTCCGACTGGCTGTCTGTCCGTCTCAATGCAGTCACAGCGGCGGCCGCACCAGACCAGACTAGAGTCACCGGACTGCTAGCCAGAGGGCTGCTCATCGTCCTGCCTTGCTGGGTTACCGCACAATATTCTCCGCTGTTTAATCCTATGCTGGCCTTGCCACCGCCGAAACCCTCTCTCTCGAAAGTCGAGTCAAGGTAGATTAGAGGAGTGACCTAAAATGAACAACCGGACCGCGTACTCCGACCCCCTTACATTAAAATGGCGGAGGTTGTTGTCCCGGCCCGGAATTTCAAGGTCATGGACAGCTTCTCGGCTTATGCTGACTGCAGGAGGCCAGGCTGGAGAAGCCGACTGGACATAAGCACACAGCTGCGTGTGCGTGTGCGTGTATGGATGTATGGATGTTCGTAGTGCTTACTCTTGCATAACGACAAGGCATGTCAGGAACCAGGATCGACTGGAAGGTGCATGCATATCGGATGCAGAGAGACACCATGCTGGTTAACGAGAAAGCGAGTTGATGTACCAGGCCAGGATGATCCGCGATGTACCCGATGTACTCGCGCCACTAACTACTGCTCTCATGGAAATGATGCTTATCTTTTCAAACCAAAAAAAAAGGAGAAGTATAACTAGTATAGGAAGAGCAAAGACAAAACGAGCACGTAGAGGACAATACGAGAATGCAGCAACAGGCGATGGCAGGAGGTTGACACATACCAACATGGCATGGCAGTGCAGGGATCTTTTTAATAGTTGGTGACGTGGGAAGCCTGACCCACAGTTAATAATTCTGGGACAATATTATTCTGGTTCAACGATCAATTAACTACGACAATATTTAAAATAAGTTGATAATATAGGTAGGAAGTAACTAACTACAGTCGACACCCTCAAACTCCTTCGTAAACGATACATCCAAACATAAACCTGGCATCCAGCGTCATCGAACACGTTAACTATCAAGCATCAAGCATCTGTAAAATCCGTAACCCCTTCTTCCCCCTTCGCTTCCCCACATTGCTTCTCTCCATCTGACTGAAAATCATCCTTAACCCTGTCATGATCGAGCATCAACTTCAAAAAGAAAAACATAGTAGGAGATATAAAAAGAAACATGTTGAAGCAAGTATCAAAACGTTGCAGATATCCACGGCAAACCTCGGAGAAAAAGAAGCAGACTTGCATCTGTTCCCTACCAAACCTCCCTACCTCACAAACCTTTCCACCGTGCCCAACCCGCAGCTTTAATTTCCTTCGATTTTGAAGGTTGATGATGGCTGCCTTTGCTTTTGGACGGGGATGACTCGCTCTCATCCTGGACGAGGGCACCACCCCTTCCTTCTTCTGCGACCTTTCCACTGACCTCGCGACGGCGGCCAACTCCCAAGCCGGCTAGATAATTTCCGTACCCTGGAGAGCCGGAGCCTAGATCAGGCCCAAGGTCGATACCTGTGTTGCTGACAACCCGTCCTTTGCGATCAGTCTCACCTCGACCGGTGGACTCATAGTTGCCATCAGCATCATCGGCCTCTCCTTGGAGAGACTCGTAAGCTGACACTCGGCCGCTCTTACGTCTCCAACGGGACGATAGTTTCTTGTTGCTACCGGGGGATGGAGTGTTCTTTGCGAGCTCCCCGTACGAGCGTGACTTGCTTCCAGGCGTAGCTTTGGAAGGTGTGGCAGATGGGTTTGGAAGATTGGAAAGTACCTCACGTCGGACATCGCTTCTAACAGCTTCCTTGCTATCCTCCTCTGGCTCCAATGGACGAGGAGTTGGTGGATTCATGGACAGTGGGTTCACCTCCAGGCCGGAGTTGTGGTTGAGCTGTTCTGGTTTATCCTTAGAGTAGTAACGCTCGCCCTGGCTTTGTTGATATCCAAACATGATGTCTGATTCGTTTGGATCAAGGATAGCTTCATCTTCGTCGTCATCGTCATCATCTACAGCAGCGTATGCTCCTCGATGTCGGAGAACGGTACCGCTTCGTTGCATCAGATCATCATCTCCATCGAAATTATCATCCCAGATTGCATCTTCAGGATCTCTGAATGGCGAGACCCCTTGAGCGTTGAGTTCAGGCGATGGAGGATTTGAAGGGTACGCTTCCCAGTTATTATCTCCCATGGAAGATACACCACTTGGCCCACGGTTTTGATAGTCTACAGACAATGCCTGAGACTGTGCAGTGGAGGGTGGGGTGTGGAAGACAGCGGACTGGGGCCTGGACGACCCATTTCCTCTTCCCCTGACGGTAGTGCGGGAAATGGGCGTCTTGGGACGACTGGACTCTTCATACTGACGAACCTGTTGGCTTGGGAGATCAGAGCGGGAGTGACGATACGACTTAGCAGAGTAGTATGACGACCGGTCATCACCTTGCTTCTGGGGTTGGTTGCCTGTGATAGTCACACCGGAATCGGCCCTTGTGTGTGCAAATGGCACAGTGCGAGTAGCTGGCAGGATAGTGTTGTATGGATTCGTCTCAGATGAACCAATTGTGCTTTGGCTAAGGTGTTTTTCCGCTATCTCAGACCTGATGCGCATATGGGGACGAGCAGTCAAGGTATCCTCCAGCGGGTTCATGTCTGGTGGCAATTTAGTTATCTTACGGAACACCACAGCCAGGTAGATATCCACAATCAACGATGCAACATGAAGCCCACCAACTATCGTGGCAATGAGAACGGCGGCATATATGATCTTTTCATTTGCATCGTCGGTACCAAACAGCGTATTCCACCCATAGCTCTTTGATTCATACTCCGTTCGCGAAATTAAGGCAGTGAACACATAGAATGGGATCAGGCCTGCGTCAAGTACGGCTGCGAAGAGCATGTAGCTAGCCGTGGAACCAGGTGTACGGGAAGTGGCAGATCGGCAGAGGTGGAAAATCGCGTAGATCGTGCTCACCGTTGAAACAGCGGGCTTTCGGGTTGTTAGCATGTCCTTGACCGAAACATCTGGATTCTTAGGAGTGGAATCAACATACTCCCACACGTATAATCCATGCTACCTGAGTTGTCGTCTTGTTGATACAGATAACGCAGAACAGCATTCCCATCACCCCAATAAGGGTTAAAACTCGTAGAATAAGCTGGAATATCCGCGCATACTTGACGTATTTCTTGATATTCGGGCTCATATTTGTGACTGGTTTTCTCCCGCTTGGAAGGACCGCGTACTAGCAAGTCTCAGGCGTTAGATGTCTTCCAAGAGTGGAACGTATAAGCGGCAGGGTGGGGGATAGGTACCGAGTCAGGATGCTGGTTGAAATTGACCAAGGGGCCATCTTTCTTTGGCTTCTGCGGGCGAGGAGCCCAGCTGTTCAGAGTGACAGCTTTGGGGTTGAAGTCGGCAGCCTGTGCGGACTTGGGATACAGAGACGGCGGGTCGTATAGAAACGGCGGCTCGGTCTTCCCCATGGCCACTGTTATAGAGCTGTAAGCATATACTAAGAAATATCTGACTGTAGAGATGCTGATGCTGGTGTTGTTGAAACGACACGGCTGTTGTCTTCAAGAGCGCGGGCTGGACAAAACACAGCTGTCAGGATTGTTGCCACGGCAACAGGCGCTTCGTATTCCACCGTCCGCTCGCTTCGAGCCTCAACATTTAGCCGCGCGATCAGCGTTGCTACTAGCCTGACAGGCATCCTGTCAATTAGAAAATATCTATTTCGGCCCTGCATTGCAATGGGACATTGACGATGGCGATGGTGATGTTGTTAGTGACGTCGTGAGCAGTCGTCGGATTAAGCTTATCAGATCTAGTTGACTAAAAGTGTTATTCAACGACGGTTATTCCAACGTCGGCCATCTCAACGCTACAATTACAACTGCCTAGGTGCCATTATGGAGAAACGATAATCGAGCAGCTAAGCTACCTTGATGACCTCTACATATATACTGGCTATATTTAGGTATTCACAGCTGGTCCTCATAAGTGGAGTTGCTGGAGTTGCTGAAGATATCGACCAGCCGCGTGGAATCGGCCTGGAGAAGCCAGCGAAAGAGACCAGCCCAGCAGATGTCATTGGAGAGCGAGCGCTGTGACATTCGTGGGAGCCGTGGAGTTTCGTCAACCGATCATATCCCTTCGACCGTTGGCCGCAAGCACGTATGCAGCTCCATCAGATTGTTCGATGTCACATTCCTGACCAAGTTCTTCTGCCTGACCGCGTCAGCTCGCGTCATTAGTAATTCGTCAGCAAAGCAAGTCTAGATGTTGCCGTCATACATCTTGGGTCTGTCAGAGTTGATACGCACGATGCGTATACGTGCGCGGGAAGACCCTCTTAGCGTCGTCTGAGAATCTCGAGGCGAGTGAGTATGGAGCATGCACATCCCAGAGCCTCAGTTTGAGAGCGGTAGCCACCTGGCAATGATTCGCAGGAGATATTTTGCATAGACAGGATAGAACAAGCAGCCGCTTCCGTGTGGTATCATTTATGATAATCGCATTGCTATACCCTATTTGATCGAAACAAACGAAAATCAAAAGAAGGGTCTGGTTTGAGCTATCCAAGATTTTTTTTTATCATAGTTACCAACCCTTCGGTTGACCTTGTTCCATCAACGATGTTGTGCGACCGTTCACGAATTTTTCAACATTTGAGGCACCGCAGGTTTCAAAAGCAAAGCTTGTCTACCTCTGATGTAAGTAAGGTCCGTCGACTGGGATTAATGATCTACGAAATCCCAGCCCATATCATCACGGATATAAGAACCTTCCTCCTGATAATCTCGGTCGTGGTTTGAGACAGACCTGGAAATAATGTAGTATCGGCCAGGGATCCATCGCTATAGGACTGGGGGTGTGGATTTTTACAGCAATTTACCGGCTTGGATGCTTGACTGGGGTATCGAAAGCAAGGGGCCCCTACTGCTAACAAACTAGCGATTCAAATCCCTACTAGCACATACTTTAGTTCGTGGTCAGACCAACAAACCTGGGGTTCATCTCACGATGTGTATCTGTCCATTGCCTTCTCATGGAAAGAGAAAGAAGAAATGGAACATACATAAACAAAATGATAACCTAGGAAACATGCCCGGGGAAAGACACGTAACCCCATCCACCGAAAACACCTTGGTTGAATATGGGATTTCACGTTTGCAACACATATGCTCAAACCACTCAACATCTAACAAAATTTGCAACTCCGCCGTTGCGTTGGCCCGGTCGCTGGCTCTCCCGCTCCTAGCTGCAAGTCAAGGCCCTGTTTTTATGGAGCTACCATCGACATCCCATACGTATATCGATCGTTAGCCTGTGGTTATCGGCCGATTCTACCACAACCCGACAAGCAACTGTCGGGGTATACTAAATGATGACCGTTTACGTACATCACTTTTCGAGATCACCCGCAAATCTCTCTTGGTATATATGCATACATGGCATGAGTTCCGTGACCCCATGAGGCCTTTCCTTGTCGCCTGCTGAGAAGAAATCCGGGGAATAAGCCCAGGCGACAAACATTCGGAGTGATCCATCTTTCCGAACCTGTAACACTAGAGGCCAGCGTCAGGCGGGCTCAAGGGGTTAAAAGCACTGACCTCTCAATCCTCTCTCTCGACCGAGTTCAAGTATTCTGAAATGGTAGGGTCATGTTTTGATTTTCTGACGTTTGAGTAATTTTTTTTTTTTTTTTTTTTTGGGAAGAAGCGGATGGGCTTGGGAAAGAAGTCGAACCACTTTTTGGCTTTTCGAGATTGACTCCAAGAAGAGTTCGCGTCCTGTATGGTTTATAGGGTGTCTATGTATATGCACCTTGTCATCCACACCCCAGGAAGTCTTGGACAGCGGTGGACTTATTTTTAGAACTTCGGGTAGTAAGGCCCTGTCCAGAGGTTATGTGGCCTGCAATGCACAAATGTACGACTCTGGAGGGTTCATCGGTATACATGGGGATATAAACAGTGGGCATATATGCCTACGGAGGATAGCCGGTTCTATATTCAGCATTCGGGTATGCAAGTATGCAAGACGGTGAGGGATGCTCAATGCCAGCGGAGGATATTCGATGCGAGGTGCCAGGGTACGTCGGCCATGGTTACGTACCAGAATCATTCCCAGGAATCATCGCCTTCCTTTTTGGCAATCGGACGACGTCTCAGACAAACCATGTATCAATATCGCAATGTGAAGGCAGAAATGTAACCGATCGCATTTCATCCTAGCAGGACAAACTGTCAGACGGCTCTCCCGCAAAACCTATTGCAGACAAACCCTTCACCGCTCCGCCGATCAGCCTGAGTTGAAAGCTTTACCCTCGCCGCCTGGATGTCTCGTAGGTTCCTTTATGTCTGATCCGCTGCTGCCACGAATCCTTCGTTTGACATCCAGAGAGTCTTGGACAAAACGTCTCAACATCTGCAACCTCCCTTTCCCTTTGAACAAACACTTCTCTGTACTTTCGGAACAACCCTCGCTGCCCTCTGGGTTTGCCGCTCCCCATAGTTAGCTGTCTGGCTTGATGGATGTCCTAAGTACGGCTCGAATTCCTGCCTAGCAACTCAGGCGCGGTGGAGTCTATATCGGCTTCACAGTTATCACAACTATACGGAGTACTCTTCCAGCTAAGGGGATTCAACGAAGAATTCACCGTGAATTCTCCGTTTGTTCATGATATTCGACATATCAATATTCCACTTCCACCGCGCCAAGTAGTCAGCTAACTAATGGCACCAAACTAGCTAGCTAACTAGCTACTGCATGGCGGTAGACTGCAACATGCAGCATGTCGGGAGTAACTGACTAGTTAAAGAAAGGCTTCCAATGACAAGTTCTTTTCATTGCCTTCGAGCAATGAACAGTCGATGCCATTCGTTGATTTCCTCCAAAAGGTCGGAGCGTCCCTGTTCTCCGACACATCTATGGTGTATTTAACCTATCGACTAACTAGCTTGCGGCGCCAAATTCTAGCCTCTTGAAATTTTTTTCCACCTACTAATTCCTTTGATATTTGCTACATTCATTCATAGCGCATACACTGATTCACTACAACGGAACAGTGAATAAAATGGTCAGTGAAAGGCGACCCTTCCCAGCCTAGTATTTTTTTGCCTTGTTTCTTGCCGTTTGCTCGCCTTTTCCCCGTACTTCTCCCTTTCTCGCACATTATCTTGTCTCTTCGTCCTCAGCGTAGCCAGTTGATTTGGAGAGATATCGCGTATTATTCTATCATTATGCTAAGAAGGTACTCTACTAAAAAGGCTTTTACTTGCTTCTACTGGGTAAATGGAGGCTGCAAACACAGCGCCGACCAATGCAAATTTGTCCATGAATATACCGACCGGGTTGCTAAGCCGCCAAAGCCCCCTCGATATGGTGAGGAAAAAGTACCCCCTGAATGCCTCCTGAAGGCTTGTTTATGCAGTTCTGCTCACTGTCTACCAGCATCAGCATGGCGAGAGGACAGGGTCGAGACGAAGAATCTTATAGATCTGCTGTCCACTGGAAGCGAGACCAGCGATTCAAAGGTAACTTCCTCTTTTTCGGTAGTGTTGTGATGTTTATCTCCCGTGTAAACAAATGGTTAAACCAAGCATTCTTACACTGTGGTTGGAACTATCTTTCGATCTATCTAGGAGCTTGACTCAGTTGATACCTCTAATCAGACTGCTGAAGCTACTCGGCCCGCGCAGATCGTGTGCCGGGCTATTGAGGCCGGACACGACTATGGCCTTGTCAAGGAGCTTCTCACAAATTACTCTCGGTCAGGAGGCAGTGATACCATCTCAGCAGAAGAGAAACTGGACATACTGCTATCAGTTATAGCTTGCAGCCGGACTGATCTTGTTGACCTGGTCATTGAAAATGGGGCAGACCCCAACGGCACGGTGCACAATTCTGAAATACCCCTTCTCGGATCAGCCATATTGAACAGAAACTCGGCTTCAGTCTCGATTGTCAGGTCACTTTTGGCTGCGGGTGCCGATCCAAATTCGATTCCAAAGTCACTATGGGAACACGGAATCTACACGTATCAGGACCTAGAAGCGGACGACGACGATGAATTCATGGACTCTGGCCTGAAAGCGTTGAACGATACCCTTGAAGAAAGCGTCAATGTTTCAATCAAAAATTGTCTTTTTCAGGCCACCAGGACCTTACCTCCTCTCCCGGCAAGCATTGAGATGTACCTGTTGCCGTTTATCAAAAGAATATCACGTATAGAGCATACGTTGATCGGCCAGAGAATCGCGATAAAATGGGTGAGGATGTTTCTAATCATGAAATTTATGACGCGAACAAACGCTCCGTTGGTTATGGCGTTTGTTGGACCGGCTGGCCATGGAAAGTCGAGTCTTGCCAAAGAACTAGGCACATTTATACCAATCTCCAACCTGAAGAAGGTAGACCTAGACGATGAAGAAGAAGAAGAAGAGGAACTCTCAAGTAATAGAAGCTCTCCAAGCACATCAAGTGAACTGCAGGTTATATTTGTTGACAAGGGTGATAAAGCTGAGTACCAGCGGCTACTATCCTTCTTAGAAGGGGAAGAGACTTGTGAGTGGCGTTTATATAACACTCCGGTCAATATATAATTGGTCACGCTGCTAATTATACATCTAGGGTACTATCTAAATGAAGAGAGCAAGGTGATTATTGACCGATCAAGTACCTTATGTATCATCGCAGCATCAAGCGGGGAGGACAGGGTAATGGAATATTATGATCTCAACTCGAAAGAGCTCGAAGTAGAGCTTGCAGACAAGACAAACTGGGAATCTCGTCTACACCACGAACTAGAGCTTTGCGTTGCAAATGACCTAGAAAAGGAGATGGGGGTAAGACTAATTCAGCCCAATATATTTCGCTCACATCGGGATGTTCGAGCCAAATGCTTACTAGTAAATGTTCTAGACTTCTCTCGCAGGGCATATATCATGCTACATTCCATTTGTCCCGTTCTCAAAAACCGAGGCGGCAGTCCTTGCGCACTCTTACCTTCTAAAGGCCACTGACAGTCTAGCTGAGTTCCATGACTCCCTGCATCATTCTAAACAAGGCGAACCAGACAACGTCACATTCACCCTGGACGCCCAGGTTGAGGCGTGTGAAAACCTGGCCACGACCGTGTACATCATCAAGCTTGGTGCTCGCTCCATCGAACAAGGTGTCTTCAAGGCTGTTCAATCTCAGATGGTGCAGCAATATCTGAAGTCCGATTTGCTGAAGGAGAATGCCAGCCAGGATGATAATGCGGCCAAGAATGGTGATAGATGTGTCACTATTACGGTAGGAGAAGATTTTGCTATTCGGCTGGAGTGAAAAAAGGTTCAAATGAACGAAGGTTCGAAAATGGTCTGGGATGGTAATTGAGCATTATGCATGTTATCACGGTGGTGTCTAGGGCTTTGTAATTCAAATTTAATAGCTGAATGATGTGATATTTCTTATCAAAGGATTAGGAAATGAGCTGAAAATTGGTCAATGCAAGTAAGATAGAAGCAACCTGGGGGAGAACCTGTAGGGCTGGGATATCCACCAAGGACATGCATACATACTACTCCTTGTACCTTGATATAAGTGCATGATTAAAGGTAAAAAAAAACAAGCACCATATAGCCAAAGCAGTATATTAAGGTAAGACAGCATAAATTAGCCAGTTGAGAAGCGAAATTTGTGAACATGGAGGGCATATATGTATTGATAACCTCAAAGTAAAAAAGAAATGAAAATAAAAATATCAACAAGTGCATCTTAAGAGAAGTCCTCCCCTGTTTCTTCGATATTATTTTTTATTCGGAGGAATATCGCCGTCTTCCACTTGTCTAATTTGCTCAACTGATCGTATTCGTAGAGTCTATCTCCAAAGGCATCCGTGTCTCCCTGCTCAACGGCCTGAGTTAGATCGGTAAGGAGTGCAAACTCTCGCGTGGCCGGGAAGGAGTTGTCTAGTTCAGCGTAGCTTTGGAGAGCACGGTTAGTAGCAACAAGGTCCTGTCAGGGGGGGGGTATTCAAGCGTCAGCTATGTTCATATGTGTTGGTAGCAGGGGTAAAGAATGCATAATATAGTACCTTTGAGGCAAGGTGGCACATGGTAGCTTTCATGAAGTATTCCTTTACGGACCACTTCATTAAGTTGTTGTTTATTGATGATTTGGCCACCTTCTCAAAATTGGCTACTGCTTTAGCGTAATCGGCTTTGAGAGCTGCGAGGTCCGCAACCTTAAGGAAATGCTTGTTGGCGAGACTGATGGGAAGGCGTTAGATAGTTGCATCCTGGAATGTACGGGTACGAGAGCAAGTGAGCACATACGCTTCGGCATTATCACCCTCGAACCATTCAGCAGCCTTCTCATAAGCTGCAAGAGCTCTGGTCTCATCTCCGATTTCAACCTCGAACACCTCTGCAAGGTTCTGCTGATGAGATGCAGCTCGTCTAAAGTTCCCGGTGCTAATGTAGTGTTGTATGGCGGTCTGAAGCACTCTGGCGGCATCCTCAGGGTCGCTCTTCCGGTATACCTTGAAGGCCTCTGTCAGTGTGTTTGCGGCATCTCCTGGCTCGTTTAGGTTCAGTGTGAATATAGCAGCAGCCTTCTCAAACGCAGCTCCAGCTTCCTTGTCTATACAAGTTCAACAGTTAGTTGTACTTCTCTACCGGCTTCGTCCTTTGGCGGGAATTTTGCGTATAGGGGAGCAACGTGGGGGTGAGACGGACTCATTTTCTGTACTCTAAAGCAATTCGCGGCTTGCGTGTATAGATCTGCAGCATTCTCAAACTTCTCTGTCTTGTTTCCAAAAAAACTGAAGCCTCCAGAAGCGCTTTGGAGGGCTTTGTCTGCCTAGAGAGCGAGTGTTAGCGGCGTATACACAGCGTCTTCGCGGGGCACTCTGGCCACATACTTTCTGCAGAAGCACCCGGGGATCCTGTTCAGACATTTCTCTAGCAGCCTGGCTTCTCCCACGCTATGCAAGCCCTCAGTATATCCTCCTGTATAAACAGATGCGGTGTTGTCGAGGAGTTGGGGTCGTCTTGGTGCTGGTTGTTGCTAGTTAAAGGGACGAGCAAAGCCGCCGGGCGAAGTTTGGGGTGACGTTTCTGGCCAAGCCTCGCCGAACTCTCGATCTTTCTTCAACATCTTTTCTCCCTGCCTAAATCACAACACGGGCTTACTCCCTTTCGACAGACTCGCTACACTGACGGTGATTAATAGACGCAATTACGATGATGGCATGCCCGACGCTCCGAAGAGCCCTGGTACGGGCCAATTGGCTGCTCAAGAGCCCTGCAGCCAGCCCAGCTTGCTACTCAACCTCAGCGCCTACGGACGTGAGCGCGCTCCTCTCGAAGCCAACTTGGTCCGTCAAGTCACTTCTGCCTGCTGCTCAACAAGAGAACGATGCCGGGATCTCGCCGAACCAGCTCAGACACCTGCTTCGACTCGCCGCCCTTCCGCAGCCCACCTCGCAGGCCGAAGAAGACGAGATGCTCAAGACATTGGCGTCGCAGATACATTTTGTGAAAGAGATACAACAGGTCGACACCACGGGTGTGGCTCCACTGCGCAGTATACGTGACGAAACCGCCGACGCTCAGAAGGAGAATACAATCGATCTGGCTCTGTTAAAGTCCGCATTGGAACGGGAGGAATTCGTCGGTCGGACCAGGCGCATTCGTCGTAAACCTGCCGAGAAACTAGAAAAGCCAGACGGCGAGACATGGGACGGAGACGCTCTCAGGGCCGCTAGCAAGACCATGGGCCGCTACTTCGTCGTCCAGACCGGCTCTGACTAGTTCTTCCCTTGCGTCTTCTCGCCGTCGACGGCTTTTTTTATATCTCGAAAACGTCGCGGATGCTGTTACACGTGACGTCACGTGTTATCAAGATGGCAAAGGTGCGAACGGTGTCACTTTCTCCGAGACATGCTGCAGGCAGCCGGAAAAGAGCTGGAAGCCCTGAAAACCCCTGAAAGTGAGCGTGGCTGGGTGAGGCTCTGGGGAGGAGGCCGTTTGGAAGAAGAAAAACCAGGCTTCCCCCCCTTTTTTATGAGTGATCATCATCGGAAAAGCAAAGCATCGCCAGAGCCAAAGCTTGCTGGTATCTAGATCAACGTCCTTTTCTACGATGGCGAGCTACAGTGCAGGCCAGGCCGCACGCCAGCAGCCAGGAGATGGCTCTCAAGGTCGCTCTCAGGATATCCGTGAGGCCCTGAGCGATTCGCAGTGCTGTGATCTTCTTGACCTGATCCTTAACACCACGGATTGTATGGAAGACTTGCTATGCCCCCGTTGCGAGCCAGAGATGAAAGGGAGCGTATCTCGTGCGAATACACTAGAAGATGGAAAAGAAGACGTCGACCTCCTTGGTGACCGGCCCAGCCAGCCACAGCGTCCTACAAGGCCCGTGAGGTCAGCTACCACGGTTGCCGCGATAAAAGCAGAAGCAGAGGCGTCTCGGCACTTCAGCTTGTGGAGGGATGCAGTCTTGTCCAGGTTTAGGGAGGCTCTTCAGGACCAAAAAGGAAGAGCGCCTCTGAAACCTAGGCAAGCACAACAGTCTCTGATTGACCTGGATGAAGATGAGCTTGGACAGCAGGACTGCGCCCTTCAAGAACTACCACATGAAACCAGGAATCTAATTGTCAATTCCCTCCTCCTGATACTGTTGAGCCTGGAGCACTATAATGCACACTCACGCGTTCTTCTTGTCAGAGTGGCCTTGCAACTTGGTTTACAGGTTGCAGATGTGTCAGAACACGAGATGAAAGTCGCACATGTGCTTCTTGATAGTGTGAAAGAGATGAACCATGCCGAAGAAGATCTCAAGCGCAGAGCAGAGCAGAGCAGGGCCAGCCGTAGATGGAAAGTAGGGCTCGCGTCTGTGGCTGGCGCGGCGCTTATTGGAGTGACCGGTGGTTTGGCTGCACCACTGGTAGCCGCTGGCGTCGGAACTATCCTGGGCGGCTTAGGCCTCGGAGCAACTGTTGCCGCTGGATATCTCGGTGCTGTTGCTGGTAGTTCTATCATTATTGGTGGACTCTTTGGTGCTTATGGCGCCAAAATGTCTGGAAGGATGATGGATCGTTATGCAAGGGAAGTGGAAGACTTTGCCTTTTTACCGCTTGGCTCGACCCCGAAACCTGCCTCTGAGCCAACAGAAGCAAAACCCCCTTCTTCTGACAACCGACTGAGGGTAACGATTGGAGTTAGTGGCTGGCTTACCGAAGGCAAGGACGTGCTTGAGCCATGGCGGGTCCTTGGCCCCGATTCCGACGTCTTCGCCCTTCGTTGGGAGCTGCAAGCTCTCCTACGACTTGGTAGCTCCCTGACCACCTTCGTACGGAACACTGCTTGGACATTTGCTGGAAGAACTGTACTTAGCAAAACTGCACTTGCGCCTGTCGTAGGAGCAGTAATGCTCCCAGTTACCATATCGAAAATCTCATACCTCATTGACAACCCCTTCAACGTTGCCAAAGTCCGTGCAGACAAAGCCGGTCAGATCCTGGCAGATGCACTTATCAACAAAGCCCAGGGTGAGAGATCAGTCACTTTAGTCGGATACTCACTCGGAGCTCGCGTAATTTTCTCATGCCTCATTACCCTTGCAAAACGACGGGCTTTCGGCCTCGTCGAGTCCGCCATCTTGATCGGTTCTCCTACCCCCTCTACCACATCCCACTGGCGACTGATGCGATCCGTCGTCAGCGGCAGGCTAGTCAACGTCTACACTGGAAATGACGGAATTCTTCAGTTCATATACCGCGCAAACAGCATGCAGCTTGACATTGCCGGCCTTGAAGCCATACCTGATATCCGGGGTGTGGAGAACTACGACGTTACTGATATCGTCAGTGGCCATTTACAGTATCAGTTCTCAATTGGCAAGATACTGCAGCGGATCGGATTCGATCATCTGGATGAACATGAGATACGGAAACAGGAGCATAAGCTTGAAGTTAACGAGGAGGAGATGAAGCACCTTGAGGAGGAGAGGATGGCTACTGCTAGAGCTGCCCGGGCGTCTAGTACTGCTACAAAGAAGGCAGCAGCTAAGGTACAGGAAGCACCAAAGGATCAGCCGAAGACTAAACTTGGTACTGAAGTCAGAGCAGCCAGCGCTGGTGCAATTCCTAGCACTGTTGTGACCGCTACTGATGCCGTGGTTACTGCAGGCACTGCCGTCGATGGTGCGGATAGCGCGCATAGTGACCACAATGAGGATACTGATGATGAGGCTCCTACCGGCATAATGATGGTTGACAACGACGAAATTGAACTTGACGGTTTATCAGACACCGATGAATGTCCGTATCCTGACATTGAACCCGAGCAGTTAGAGCGAGATATCGAAGAAATGACCAGGCAGCGGCTTATGAATGCTAGAATGGACGGTATCCAGCTTGAGGATAGCCGTTAACTGTCTTCTTACAACAGTGTCAGAAATAGCATAGAAGTAGATTCTAGGGCTTCATATCAATAATAATATCTATTCTTTCAGTTGTATTAATATCTCGACTCTGCCCTCGCCGTCCGTCAATATCCTTCATAAGAAGAAGATCCACTCTTGATAGCCGATCCACTTCTGCAGCGAAGAAATTCAACTGCTGGGTTTGCCACGACATGTCAAGGTCCCATAGCTCAGTTGGTTAGAGCGTCGTACTAATATCAGTTAATGCGAAGGCCGAGAGTTCGACCCTCTCTGGGACCATAGGTTCTGATACCTTTTTTGCCCATTTCCAGACGATTCGGTTTTGATATTGGAATAATTTCAGCACTTTCGGCTTTTCGGGGGTTTTTTTTTCTATCTAGGATCTGTATCGTCCTTCCTATTCGAGATAGCTTAGCGAAAAATTTAACCACTGCAAACCGTAATATCAGAACAGTAAATACTCACTACAACTAGCTCTTCAGGACCTTCTGCATCCTATCATGACGAGTATCTGCTTTGTTCATATACATTCCCCTCAATATCGTCCATCTTATCCAACGAAGGGTGGTAGTTTTTGTAGCATGCTTATCTCGGCGTGGTACTTATAGTCATAGGCGCTCCAGATGCCGATAACCTGCGATATGGTAGCTAGCACAGCTAAGACGTGGAATATTTGATGCGAATTGAACCAAATATCGAATTTTCCTGGTCTCAGAGACTCTGGGGCGCGGGTCTGAGTATCTCAAAAGCAGCACAAGCCCATGACATGTATCCTGGGCCAGGGACTTGTCCGCCCGTTTCCCACTCCACCCCACCCTGCAAGGGTCAGATAGGAGGGGCAAACGAGGGAAAGATCCCCATGATGTGAATTGATAGTTAGAAAGAGTCTAAATCAGGCGAGCAAGAAGGGAGAGGAGGAATAAGAGGCTCACCACATAGAATATGACTCCAATGATGTGCAACAGGCCTTCAAGGAGGTAGTACGGAAGACCGCCGTGTTCCATCATGTCCTCGAGGCCATAGAGCAAGATGGCATGCATCAGGGGTGCAAGTGAAGACAACCCGGTGCAGATAAATGTCCACGCACGGAAAGTCCGGTACTCCTCACCTTCAAACTTCGGGTGGAATAATATCATGCATGTCAAGGAGCTGAACACAAATGCCTGAAGGGTTTCGTATTAGCCGGGTGCGCTCGCCATAAAGTGCAGAAGAGCTTACAGTCGCCCAGTAAAAAGCCCATAATGCCGTATCGCTATAAAACACCACATAAGTGCCGGAGATGATGTCACCGAAGATCAGCCCAGCAATTCCCATATAGTCTGCACGCAGACATGCCTTGGCGACCTTCTCAGAATGGCACATGAACGTGTGGAACAAGGTCGAGCAGCCCATACACATTATGGCGGTTAGTAAGAAAAGCGCGAAGACGGCTTTATCTACTACCGGAGCTTCGGGGTAGAGAGTCTCAAAGTGCCGGAAAACAAAAACCTCAGCAGCGGCAAAGCCAATGGCTGGAATGAGATGTGTATAGATGTTGACGGTCTCATTATGAAGGTAGAACCAGCTGTAAAAACAACGAGCGATCGAATTGCATGGTACTCGGTAGCCGGTCAAGATGTAATTGCTCTCTCCCAGCCAATGCGGCACCTCCTTGTTGGAGAGTGTGATGGCGCAGTGCAATTGATTCTTCCTCGGTAGAAGAGGCGGAGTTTCATCCAGATCAACTCGAGGAGGATGTGCAGCGACGAAACCGCGTGAACGGAGGGCGGGCAATACCGTCATCTTCCTCCGGCCGGCGGGTAGTGTAATGCTAGGTCAATTGGTGTGTATAAGGATAGCTCTAAACAATATAGTTAGTAGTAGGAGGCTCAACTCCAGGAACGAGAGGATTAAACTGGAGAAAAGCCTGGGAGAGATATCAGGGCTTCTCGGATAGAGAGATAAGACGAGGAAAAGAGAGAGCGGAGGCTTATATATTTATCCAGCTCCTTGAGCCGACGATATATAAGAAGCCGAGCAGGGGTCCCGCCTTCCTGCATGCATGGCCAGGCAGGAAAAGAAGGCAAAGCAGGATATATAGCAACGAAAGGAGCGGATAGCATCGCATCTACCGCAGCTATATATCGAAGGGAGGCTGTACAAAAGGCGCGCCGGCGCTCCAGTGCTTGTGGGAGAGCGCAGCTGCAGAAGGATTGAGGAAAAAGTCCCACTAGGCGCTGGCAAGGATAGCAGAGCTGCAGCTTTTAGCCCGTGGTTTGATGCCCGAAGCTTGTTGGCTGCGGCCAGCGGTTTCCAGCCGGCCAGATCGTCCGCAAGAGCATCTTAATCGAGCTGGAGAGAGACGGGTTATTGGTAGCTGGCGATGTTGATTTTCGGTGAAGTTGAAGTTGAAGCTGAAGCTGAGGACGCGAAGTTGCACAGTCATGTGATGTTTAACACGAGGTCCAAGGGGGTCGAAAGATCAGACGAAAAGAAGATGAACGGACAAAAAAAGAAGACTCTATTGATATCGAATCGAGTGTCTAAACCCCTGGCATTGTATCGTTGCTCATTATATTCTTAAACATCCCAAGAAAATTATCATTAACCGGTTTCCTGTCCCTAACTTTTATCTACCCCTTAACCAAGAGCGTCCAATTCCACGGCTTTCCGAGGGAAGATGCGCTTGTACAAACTGATTCCAATAGAGTCCTGCGGGTTGATCTTTGCATCGAACGTGGCCTTGAAGTAGCCATGGGTTCCCAGGCTCTCCTTGATGTAGCCGGTGCGCCCACGTCGGGTCCAGAGCTGAAGGGCTTTGAACCATGCAATGTCCTCTGCGTTGAAGAACATGTAGCGGACGGTGACCAGCTTCTTGTGGATCTTGTATGGGTGGCCGGTGAGGATGACTCGTTTGGCTACCACACGAGCGTGGTCTGGGGCCATGGATGTCCCTGTTCCGATGAGCTCTAAGGCACCGGGCTTGGTGTTAGCTTCGTCGCTTCCGTCAAGGACTTCTGGGTCAGCCACAGATGTGCGTCTGAAGATGAGTACGGGGATGGAGCCCCAGGATATAGGTCCGATGAAGGTAGCCACTGCATTGCGGCCAGGGTGGATGAATCTATCGAATTTGTGCACGTTGTTGGGTGTTGTTCCGGCAGAAGAGAAGATGGGTTTGACCAGCAGCCGACGAGGACCGCATTGGAAGATCAGTTCCTCCTTTGACTTTATAGGTGATTCCACTGTTGAGTTCAGTGTCACATTAACGTTGACAACTGCATGCTTGTGCTCATGACGCAGTAACGAGAAGAGAGAAATCGGGGATGGGTTGCGTTGCTGCAGGCTCAAGGGAACGGCACGGAGGTGTACGTTCACTTTGGTTCCAGGCTTTGCACCGCCAACGAGAGCCTCACGTATACACTGGTTGCGTGCTCCCTTGTAGTCTGGAACCTGTAATAGGCGGCGCCAGTCCTCTGGCTCATGCGCCCTGTCCTCCTCGGTCTCCCACTTGCTGGTTTTGAGACTCCTCAGCCCGCGATACCGCGCCAGACGCTCTCTCGCTAGTGTGTTGGGATGAAGTTCGATTTCGTCTGGGAATTCAAGGTCCTCCTGAGCCTCACTCTTCTTGCTGGCTCGGTACTCCTCTATCTGTTTGGCTTCTTCCTCTGGGGAAGGATCTAGGAACATCTCGGATTGTGGGTATTCGGTACCGCCACCTTCAGTCATTACATCTCTGTTATCAGGGAAAACACCATCCTCAGGCCGGCCTTCTTCCATGTCCATCATTTCCTCGTCATCGTCGTGCTCTTCGTCCATAAGATCAGACCCCGAATCTGAAAAGTCATCGAGATACCAAGCGGACTGGTATTTTGATGTACCACGGGGTATTCTCTTGGGTATCTCATATGCTGTTGGTTCGTCTTCGTCTGAAAAGTAATGGTGATCGTCAAGCAAGACACCTTTTTTCTCCTGTTCAAGCATTGAAGGGGTATCGTCTGTCATGATTACTTCTTCCGGAGCTACAATGGTGAGATCCTCGGCATCTTCAGTCGGTTCATCCACAACTTCTTCATTCACGGTATCATCAATAGTCATTGCATCGTCCTTCTTGCGCGACGGGAGCGGTACCTTGGTGATTGATGATATCTGGAAATCTCCCCATGTCGGAATGTGTACTAGTCGGTCTGCCTTGAGACCCTTCCCTCGAACAACACCTGTAACCACAACATCACCAGTTTCCTCTGTCGAGGATGCAGGCCATTCCACATTTTCGATCAACATCCAACTCCGGTCATCTCTCCAGTGTATGCCCTTGGGAGTTGCAGTGCAAAGGCCTCGAATGACGTTCGAACAATCCTGTCTAGAGTCGAGAGAGTGGACCTTATCAAGGCTGGGAAAGTACCGTGTTAGCGAAGATTTTAGCGAAGTGACAACTTGTGTTCTCTTTTTCGGGGTTGGTATTTTCTCAAGTCCCTAGTAGTATAAGTGTTAGTCCTCTGGCCCAAGTAGCTAGAATGAATATCACATACCTGCACAAGTGACATGATATTGGAGATACCCTGACCTTCTACTGCTTTGAGAAGAACCTGGGCCGTTTCGTCCAAAGCTTCCTCATCAGAGGAAACGACAAAGACGACGAAATCCGCTAGCCGACACACATCCAATGCGCTGATCAGGTCCCTCGTAGCAGGAATATATGTAATACTCTGCTTGAACCTGTCAATGCGCACTTGGCATATGCCACTGTAACTCTCGCTATCAGGCACATCAACGCTCTTGTTGAGCTGTAGCACTGCAGCATCCAAGTCAACCCCCTCTGAAACCGGTATAACCGCCACATGTCTAGGTGCTCCATGCTGGCCGGAGAATATACTGACGGCCTCGGACTTGGCCTTAGACTTCAGTCTCTTCTTCTGCTCGGCCTGGTTTCGTCTCTGCATCTTCGACATGAGCTGCTGGTGGGGAGTCTTGCGGCTGCCCCTCTCGATCTCGATTTTTCCTAATTGACTGTTAGCTGCTATATACGCTGCATGTCTATGCCGTACACACCTTTAGAGAGATCCTTGAGAGCACCCTTGGTCATATGCTTGGACTTGAAGACCTTGTTCGCTTTCTTCGTCGTATTCCGGTGGTGGTGCTGCTCGGTTGGCACCGCCATGGGAGCCATCTTGCCTGGCCCTGAGCCCTTGAATCGGAATGGTAGCGAGTCCAGCTTGGGCAGTCAACTGCAGAGCCAAATATATTGAGTCTATCACCGTCTTCCCTTCCCTTCTTCTTGCCTTTTATTCTTCGCTTCTTCGTCTTTTTCTTTGTCGTCGCAAAAAAATATCAAAACACAAAAAATAATTTCTGTGTAAAAGATAAGGTCACGTGTGATCTTATCTTTCTGTGGGCGAAATCTTGGCATTTTTATTTTTTATTTTTCTTAATTTTTGAATGTTTGAAAGCTCGAAAGAAATAAAAAGACGAAGAAAATATTCGGATAGCTTCTGCTGTTATATATCAAAGCCGTCGGCTGAGTTGCTGCTGGAGCTGCGGTAGCCATGGCTATGGAGGTTGCAAAAACGCAAAAAGACGTCGTGAAACGGTCAAAAGAGGATGTTGTAGCAGACCGCGAAGCCAGGAAACAGCTCGCCGAAGCGCAAAAGACATATGGACGGGGCAAACAAGTCGCAGTGAAGTCTGTCAGAGACAAGAAACTGCGGAGTAACCTGAAGAATCTCGAGGCCAAATACAAGAATGCGATTCTCCAAGCCAAGGACTCAGAGTTGCTGCTGGAGAACGAGGCAGGATACATTGAAGCTGAGGGGGAGCTTGAACGGACATACAAAGTACGGCAGGGCGATATAAAAGAGAATGTCGGCATTGAAGTTGCGAAGAACGGATTCGAGTTGAAGCTAGAAGACCTGGGCCCGTATAAGGCGGATTACACACGCAATGGGCGGATGCTTCTGTTGGCTGGGAGAAAGGGTCACGTCGCTACGATGGACTGGAGAGAAGGCAAGCTAGGATGCGAGTTACAGCTTGGAGAAACTGTGAGGGATGCGAGGTGGCTACATAACGACCAGTTCTTTGCGGTTGCGCAAAAGAAATACGTTTATATATACGATCATGCTGGCGTTGAGATACATTGTCTGAACAAGCATGTTGAGCCAACACATCTTGAATTCCTACCATATCACTTCCTACTCGCTAGTACGGTACGTTTAACTGTTATTTATGTGGTATATGCATGTCCCTGGGCTAATGTTAATGGATGTATAGGGGATAAGCGGATTTTTGAAATACACAGACACCTCGACCGGTCAATTGGTTGCTGAGATACCAACTCGAAAGGGAAATCCGACCTCCCTATGCCAGAACCCTCATAATGCCATCCTACATGTTGGACATCAGAATGGTACCGTTAGTCTGTGGTCTCCAAACTCGCAGACCGCATTGGTCAAAGCCCTAGTTCACCGTGGTCCGGTCCGGTCACTCGCCGTGGATAGACAGGGTCGATACATGGTATCAACGGGACAAGACCAGAAAATGGCTGTATGGGATATCCGCATGTTTAAAGAGGTACATTCATATTCTGTACATCAGCCTGGATCGACGGTGGCTATAAGTGATCGGGGTCTAACAGGCATTGGCTGGGGCACACAAGTGAGTGTATGGAAGGGCCTATTCCAAGCTGCTCGGGAAGATCAGGAGAAGGTCAAGATTCCATATATGGCATGGGGAGGCGAGGGACAGCGTGTCGAAGGCATTCGATGGTGTCCATATGAGGATGTGCTCGGTATAGCGCATGATAAAGGTTTCTCAAGCATGATCGTACCCGGTGCCGGCGAACCTAACTTCGACGCAATGGAAGCCAATCCTTATGAAAACACTAAGCAGCGACAAGAAGCCGAGGTCAAGGCTTTGTTAACCAAGTTACAGCCCGAGATGATCTCGCTCAATCCTGATTTTGTGGGCAATCTTGACTTGACTAGTGAAAAGGCTCGACAGGAAGCCAGAGACCTAGATAAGAAGAAGGAAGATATTGCTGATAAGCTAAAGAATCGTGGCCGAGGACGAAACAGTGCATTGAGGAAGTATCTTCGGAAACGAGGAGGGAAGAATATCATTGATGAGAACAGGCTTAAGGTCGAGGCTATGAGAAAGGAACAGAACGAGAGATTAAAGGAGAAGCGCCGCAGGGAGAGAGAGGCACTGGGGCCGGCACTGGAGAGGTTCGTGAAGAAGTAGTAGATATTACGCTTTTTCTCTTCTTCTTCTTCTTCTTCTTCTTCCTCCTTGTCTGCTTGTTCCTTTTGAAAAGATAATACCCATTGAGTTAACGATGCTTGTACATTTGTGATATTGCCTGCATGATTGAACGGCGTTGCATGGCTATAGAACGGCTATTTGAATAAATACCATTCATGAACATCCTTCAAAGCCAGCCAAACGGCTGCGTTCGACAGATATCGGATCCGTCCCTTACTCATCTACAGAGCCGGAGTTCTTCGGAGCACCGTTCTTCCATCTCTCCAAGCTCACGTCGTAAGCTCCGCTGCTCTTCCAGGCGCTCAATATCAAATTGACGATATGTTCAACGCCTTTACCGTGTTTCACAACAGCAAAGACGGTAGGGCCGCCTTCTCTCATCTTTGCGGCGTCTCTCTCCATAACGCCGAGGTCTGCACCCACAGCCTCTGCGAGATCAATCTTGTTGACGACCAGCAGATCACTGCCTGTGATGCCTGGTCCACCCTTACGAGGCACCTTGTCACCACCGGCAACATCAATGACATAGATAATGAAATCAGCAAGTTCACGAGAGTAGTTTGCGGCAAGATTGTCTCCGCCGGACTCGATGAGGAGGAGATCAGTCTTGAACTTGCGCTGGAGTTGCTGAAGAGCAAGCAGGTTTGCGCTTATGTCTTCACGGACAGCTGCATGGGGACATCCTCCTGTCTCGATAGCACGGATACGGGGTGGAGAGAGTGCTTTGTTGCGAGTAAGGAATTCCGCATCCTCTCTATAGTTGACAAGTAGTTGCATAGTTAGCATCCTATCTCAGCCCATTCGGTTCTATCATGACAACAGCCTACCGGGTGAAGATATCGTTCGTGACAGCTGCAATGTTATATTCGTCACGCAAGGCCATGCACAGAGCCAGCATCAATGCTGTCTTCCCAGATCCTACCGGCCTGAATGTAAATATGTACCGTCAGTCACGATGTCTACTCAATTGATCCAACATGATCTCGTATCGTATCTTCTCCATCCCCGCCATCCAAGCTTTGCCAATGCAAGCTTAGTTCGCCAACTAGCAGGGGAGACACGATGGACATCTTGTTGAAGAGGAGAAAATAAAAGAGTGAACGAACCCGCCAATTCCAATAGTGAAGGCTCTGTCGTTCCAGTCGCGGTTCTCTACCAGTGGCTGCTCACGGCTGATGTACGACCCCGGCCCGTCGAGGATCTCGTGAGTATGACCATGGTTCGTCGCATCGTGCGAATGGTCGTGCGAGTGCGACATGGCAGATATTCTTCTTGTTATTTTCTAAGGTAAGGCGTTGATTGCAGCCGGCTGTCCGTCCGTCCGTCCGTACCTTGCTGTCGTTGTATGGAGAGGGGTTGATGTGGATGAGGAAAGTTGGCAGTTGTGTTGACGGCTCTGTGTATCAAGCCGGGAGCCGCAACTGCCGCGGCTAAGCCCCGAGATAATAGCGCTCATCCCGGCTAATTTGTCGATGTTGATCAGGAAGTGAAGAGACAGGGATGATGGCTGTTGGGAACAGGAAGAGTCCAAAAAATAAGAATTATATTAGAACAAAGATCTGAATGTATTATCATCACCGTCGCCTGGCCGTCTACTCCAAAAAAAGGGGATCAAAAAAGGGGGACGTAAAGGCAAGCAAGAAGGCAAGCAACCAAGCAGGCGAGCATATCATGCATCCATCACACGACGCGACCACGGCATATCCAAAACAGCAGAAAAGACACAAAGTCCAAGAAGGCCGAGCAAGCAGGAGATATAGCAGTTTAAACAAAAGCAGAGCAAAAGACGCAAAAACGATGACGCCAAAACACCTTCTGTTGGAAAACAGAATAGGGCAAGATAGAGTAGGTAAGACACATGTAAGGGCAGAGGATGGGAAGGTGATGTAGAGGAGAGGATTCATGAACCAGTCGACTAAATAGTTGTAAAATGACGAACGAAGTGCCCCCAGCAGAAGAACGATGAGCAGATAGATGAACAGTAGGCGCCAGACCGAGGGTTGCGAAGGAATAAACAGCGGAACGGAGAAGAGTGGATGGCTGAGATGTTCAGACTGTATGAACAGAAATGACAATAGTTTCACAGGTCTCTTTGTGATAAGAGACAATGCCGGCGCATAGGCAGAGGAAAGGGGTAAATGTTGAGATGGGCATAGATGTACGGCATAGCATAGCATGGTATGGCAAGCTCACGGGTTTATCATCCGGTCGGTGGAAGCTTTATATAGTTGTTTGGCTATTCGGTGGTTATAAGTCCGGCTCATGGTCGACCACTATCAACTAGTTCCTTTCTGCCTCTTACCACCGACTCTCGGGCTGGCTTTCACCTTGTTGGCGTTCCCCTGTGTAGCTCCGTTGACGTCCATGGAAGATGAATTATCATCTCCTTCTGTCTTTACAGTACTTGCTCGACGGCGTTTATTATTCACGTTAGGGCTGGTATTGGCACTGGTACCCTGACTGCCGCTGGTGTTGGTGCCTTGCTGACTCTGCTGGGCTGCCATGGCTACGGGACCTGCAACAGGGTTTTGGGCTGGACTGGGCGTATGAGTTGGCCCACCTATGTGAGGAGATCCCTGGACGCCGGGGATACCCAAGTGGCCAACGGCAGGAGAGGCGAACTGGTTATTAACACCGTTGACACCTGGGGTGCGTTGGCCGGGTGGCATAGAGTTAATGCCGAGAGCTTGATTTTGCTGAGGGAATGTGGTGACGAGTTGGTGGAGGGCGTCTGGAGGGGAGAGGTGAGGGTGTTGTAGGGAGTATGGAAGAGTGTTTGCATTTGAGATATGATTTCAGCGACCTACAAACTAAAGTCAGCTTTCGTTTCCTGCTTGAAAGGCACGGAGGGAACCGACCTCTAAGAAGCTCATGACTGCTACAGGCACGCCGTCGTCTGTGACCATGGAGTCCGGTATGGCCACAGAGGGCGTAGCGGAAAGTTTCTGCCGTTTGGTCATGGGTTTGGCCATTCTCGGACTTTGCTTCTGCTCTGGGGACTGTGGAGGTTGCAATTGGTGACGAGGTATGTATTCGGTATGGCCGCCAGTGCCAATGTCTAGAAGTTCTATCTTGCCCGTCGGGCCATATTGAGCTACCAGAGTTCCGGTAGAAACGAGCTGGTTGTCCGTTAGTCGAAGAATTCAACAAAAGGGGAGGGAGACGTGTAGTAAACAGACCTGGCATCCGTTTTCAAACCAGTATATAAAAGAGGTCTTTTGACTTTCTACGATCTGGCCGCCTGTTGGGAGGTCTTTCTCCGCCACGTTTTCAACTATCATCTGGATCTGTTTTATTCCGCTGGTGAACTGTGTCCAGTAGTACCGAGCCAGAGCAGGCGTCGATATTTCAAACTGTTTGGTTCCACGTTGAGCGTTGAAAACAACCAGACGTAGAACTCCGCTGGGAGCATAGAACTGTTCTACAAAGTTCTGCCAATATGGCAATCCCGGTGCAGGATTGCGGTTCTAAAAAGAAAGAAACAAAAGGAATATCAATTAGTACGGTTCAAACGGGGTGAGATAAGAAGACATGAGAGTCTTACGGAATAGCCACTGAGATTCTCGGCAAAGGAGAAGAGTCTGAATATGGACGAGCCCTTCATGGGATTTGGCATGCGCTGTGGCATCATCATCTGCTGCATTGCAGCCTGCTGCTGGGCCATTCGCATCTGCCCCTCTGGACCGGCCAGCTGCTGTGGTGGGCCTACATGTTGGCCTGGGGTAGGCTGTGGAGTGGGTCCCTGCTGCGGTTGCTGCTGCTGCTGTTGAGGGCCGGCCTGAGAGGTTGGTGGTATCCCCGGTTGCTGCGAAGGAGCACTCGTTCCCGGAGGTTGTTGGTGTTGTGGCTGCGGATGAGGAGTACCGGCTTGAGAATCATGCATTGCTTGGGCCTGGGTCGTCCTTTGCTGTGCGTTCTGCTGTTGAGCCTGGGCTTGCGCTTGAGCTTGAGCTTGGGCTTGGGCTTGTGCCTGAGCCTGGGCCTGGGCCTGGGCCTGGGCTTGAGCAGCAGCGTTGTTCTGGTGAGCCATCTGCATGGCAAAGAGGTGCTGCTGTTGCTGGTGCAGATTTTGGGCCTGGGGATGGTGATTTTGAGCCTGGAGCTGCTGTTGGATGTGAGGAGGAAGGCCGCCCGGATGCATGACTGGGTTACCGGCCTGGGCGACGGCCATGTGGGCAGAAGTGACCGCCTGGGTCCCGTTAGGCATGGAGGCAGGGATTCCAGCATGCTGGGGCTGCGGTTGCGGTTGTGGTTGCGGCTGGCCGGCTTGCTGTTGTTGCTGCTGTTGCTGGGCCTGCTGTTGTTGCTGGGCCTGTTGAGCCTGTTGCTGCTGCTGCTGAGCTTGCTGTACTCTTTGCTGCTGCTGTTGGTGTAGGAACATCTGCCGTTGGCGCATAAACTGTTGTTGTTGCTGGAGGTGGTGCTGCTGCAGGAGTTGTGGGTTATTTGCAACTAAAGCATGATTGTTAGTTCACACAAACCTGGAGACACAATACAATACATTATACAAAATTCGTGATAATCAATGCACAGGTAGGAAGGTTTCAGCAGACACGTACAATTCTGGGCCAGATGAGGGGACTGGAACATCTGGTGAGAGTGAGCGGGACCAAGGTGAGAGAGAGCATGAGCGTTGGGCCCTGGTCCTCCCGGTCCCGAAACGGGCTGCATGCCGGCGGCCATTGGGCCCGGCTGCGAGGCCTGGGGAGCTCCCGGCGCAGAAACACCGGCATGGACCTGCTGCATCATGGCTCCGCCGGGCGCCTGAGCAGCGAGATGCGCGGCAGCCGGGTGCTGGCCGGGAGCCATTGGGTGGTTCTGCACCATGCCTGGATGGTGCGCCATGCCGACTTGGGGAGCAGGGAACGGCTGCGCCATCATCATTTCCGATTGAGCACGACGCCTGGGAGAGCGAGCAGAAGTGGACGAGCAGCCGGGGAACACGCGACAGAGGCAGACTCTGCTGATATCCGGGGCGTATCGACGCGATAATACGGCCGGACTGATCCCCACGGCACCCTAACAGGCCGTATATACTTCCGGAGCAACAGATGACCCCCACGGCGAGCCAAAAAGAGCGAAACAGCCAGCACAGACGGGGCTCCAGCGACCGACGACAGACACCCTCGACGGTCTTCGGCCACAGCCAGACGAGCGCAAGGAGGAGCGGCGGGCAGAGAGGCGCTCTGGCGGAGGGCTGAAGGGGCAGGTTTCCAGCAGGCAGGCTGGGGGCGGGTAAAACGAGAGGTCGTATCAGGAGCACGGCGGCGACGAGGAGGTCCGCCTGCACACCATCAGGTCGAGAGCAGCGCCGAGTAGGTCAGCCCGTGGCTCTCGTCGTCTCGTCGTCTCTTCTTCGTCGTCTCTTCTTCTCGCTCGGCTGCGTCTTTCGTCGTCGCTTCGTCGTCGTCTTGTCGTCTTCGTCTTTCTTCTTCTTCTTCTTCTTCTTCTTCTTCCTCGACTTCAAAACTTCGAAAGAGGCAAAAACGACGTTAAGGACGACGCTAGCCGCTTTGGGACAGGGTCACGTGGGACGCTTCTTTTTCCTTCGCTTAAAAAGCAGAAAATTTTCTTTTCTTTTCTTCATCAACAACAACAACGAAAGACGACGACGACGAGGACGAAGTTGGGGACGACGATGAGGATGGTCGATGGTCATGTCGAGGTGAGTGAGATCGGCGTCTGCTGGTTCCGTGATGACACAAATCTCTTTCTTCTTTACCTTCTCTGAGTCGCCCTTGAAGAGACACGCGGATCTTCCCTCTCCGGTTGATCTGTTGCTTGCCAGTATATCTGTCTGACTGGAACCTGTTCTCGCTGCTGCTGCTACTGCATCTCGCTGGATGGCCCTTACTGACCATCTAATAGTTTCTATGAAGCTCGCCGTCACCGCATCAACCCTTGGAAGCTGTCAGTAAAGGTAGCTTGTACGGTAAGCTATCTCATACCCTGCAATTGCCCACACACACACACATACACCACAACTCTTTATGATGAAATTTTTTCCTACATTCGCAGTTTCCACGCTAGCTGTCGCATGAACCTATTAAGTCGACGTGTCGTTGAGCGCTTTTTCTTCCTTGGATGTCTGATTTACTCTATACAACTTGTCCATGCTTGTTTTCTACTTGATCAGCTTGCTGTTCCTCGCTGACTGTTACAGATTAGGTCCTCCATCCATTACCGTATATAGATAGTGATAGCTAGTGAATGAACACTTTTCTACAAGCTCTATTCTCTTGTATTCAATTCAGCTTCTTCTCTTTCTCTTTCTTCACGTTAAGCTGTAAAATTTTTCTGATGTAGTTGATTACGTAAACTTTACATAAGTGGTATTCGGAAAAACTAATATCCGCATATCAGATCAAACTCGATGCAGAGAAAGAAGAAAAGAAGAAAAGAAGAAAGAAACGACAGCGAGCTCAGCGCCGATGAGTCCTCGAATATCTACTCGAAACACTCCAGCCCAGTGGCAGCAGTGCTAGATCTGCCCTGGATGCTCGCCCAAATGCAATGCGCCCTGCGCTCGGTGCGTTACGGGCCCCCCAGAGCCGCCCGTTCGCTCGCCGCCAGCTCTAGACACCGTCGACATGCCCGGCTCCTGCGCCCCTTTCATACCTCGAGTGTCTACAGGGAGGCTCCAGAGGGTCCGCATAACCCGGTTGACACCCCCGTGAGCAGCAGCAGGCCAATTGAGGGCGGGACGTCGGTGCCGGAGACGAAAAATGCTGTGGCGCCGGAAGCGAATAATGAGAAGGAGCCCAAGGAGCCTGGCCTCCAGGCAAAGAAGGACAAAGGTAGAGGATACAGTCCGTACGGATCAGGCGCTCGACGGGCGATGAGGAACCGAAAGATGGAAGATAAGCCAGCTAAGCCGGTTGCTGTCAGGTTGCCAGCTTGGTTCCATCAGCGGAACATGAAGCTGTCCGATCAGTCTGCGCAGGAGTCACAGTTACTACCCCTGGACGTGCAGATTGCCCAGAAGAACGTACAAGAGAACGCCGAGGATGGCGACCAGCTTCGTGAGGGCCACGGAGGTGACGATGGTAGTGCTGGAAAGCCAGAGGACGGTCCACCGTCTAACCCGGACTCTCGGTATACCCTCAGCCCAGAGGTATGGCAGGAGCTTAGAGCAGCTGTACAGGCCGGTCTAACCTTGCCTGCTGCTCGATATGCTCATGACCCAGCCTCCGCGAAGCCCCATCTTGTCCTACAGTACCCCGGTGAAGGCGGGATTCTCTTTCTCGATGCCGTAGTCAAGAGTCTGGCTACAGACCTGAATACCAGCGTCGTCACACTGAATGCACAAGATATTGCCGAGCTATATGGCCAGCAGCGAGAGGAGAATGATCAACTCTCTAGCTCCATGATGCTCCTACTTGGCTATGACGTCTACAGGCCGGGTCAACGGCAAACACAGAAAGAAATAGAGGAAGAAGCAGAGGAGAGAGAGGAAGAGGAGGATATGGAAGATGAAGATTCGGACCGCTGGTCTGCCCAGTCTGCTGCTGTCCCTGTTACCAAGATCAGCGCTGATATCTCAGGCTTGGTAAACCCGTCTATACTGCAGTCTCTCTTTGGCGGCAAGGGCTCATTTGGAGTCGCCAAGGTCGTTCTCCCCAGCGGTGAACGCAAGGAGGGCATGGACTCAGATGAAGATGTCCGATGTCTGCGACTGATCAATGAGCTACTGGACGTACCTCTGGGAAAGCGTGTACAGACTGAGCCGGCCAAGGAAGAGTCATCTCCTACACCCGAACCTACCGAACCCGTTGAATCTCCCGATAATACCCCTGTTGCTACTACCACAACGACAACTACCACCACACCTACTACCACAACTCCGCCATCCCAACAACCTTCATCACCCGCGTCAAAAAAACCAACACTCATTTTGCAAATCCAAGACTACAAAGACATACTCAACACTCGGGGAGGATCCTTCTTTCTCTCGTTATTGCACAAAACCGTTATGCGAAGACGGCGTAATGGCGACCAGATCGTCATCGTCGGAACCGTATCTGAGCCGGAATCTGACAAGGGCCACGAGAAAGCCTTCCCAAGGTTGACTCCAAGAGACTACGACCAGCGTGCCTCAACTATCGTTGTGCCTCCAGCAATATCGTCAAAGGCCGCTGAAGAAGTATTCGCCAAAGACGCAAAGAAACGTATCTTCGACATCAACATCCGACACCTAAAAGTCATGTTGAAAACCAGGCTGAGAAAATCCGAATCTGCCCAGAGCCTTCTCAACGACCAGCCGTGGGATCTTGACGAAGAACTTATTCGAACTTCGGGTCTTGATACAGGGTATTGGCCGTTTAGCCTTGTCCACCGCATCTCCACGCTTACCCTTGGCTGTATAAAACCAGACGAAAGTCTAACACTAGCGCATATCACCAAGGGAATTGAGCTGGTAGGCAAAAGTGACCAGGTTAAGTGTGACTGGCTAGGTGAGAGACAGAATAAAGCGAAACCATCGAAGCCGTCTACCCACAAGGACAGACGGAATAAGCTTCGGCCGAAGTGCAATCCCCACGAGGAGAAGCTACTTAATGGCGTGGTCGATGCAGAGACTATAAACACCACTTTTGCAGACGTCCACGTCCCCCCTGAGACCAAGGAGGCTCTCAAGACACTTACTTCCCTTTCTCTCATTCGACCGGAGGCATTCACGTACGGTGTCCTCGCAACCGACAAGATACCCGGTTTACTGCTCTACGGCCCTCCAGGCACGGGTAAGACAATGCTCGCCAAAGCCGTTGCTCGCGAGAGCGGTGCTACCGTTCTTGAAATCAGCGGATCAGACGTCTACGACATGTACGTTGGAGAAGGCGAGAAGAATGTCCGCGCCATCTTCACCCTAGCCAAAAAACTCACACCCTGCGTTGTCTTCATCGACGAAGCAGATGCTATATTCTGCTCTCGAACAGGTGCAAGTAACCGCACCTCCCATCGTGAACTCATCAACCAGTTCCTCCGCGAATGGGACGGCATGAACAGTCTCTCCGCCTTCATTATGATAGCTACAAACCGACCGTTTGATCTGGACGATGCTGTCCTTCGTCGTCTACCCCGCCGTTTACTCGTTGACCTACCCACCGAAACAGACCGTCTAGCCATTCTCAAGATCCATCTTAAAGACGAACGTCTCGCTCCATGCGTAGACCTAGCTGACATTGCCGAGAAGACGCCATTCTACTCTGGCTCCGACTTGAAGAACCTTTCAGTCGCCGCTGCACTGGCTTGTGTCCGAGAAGAGAACGACATCGCTGCACAGCACAAGGGAGATGAACCGTACAGGTATCCGGAACACCGCACGCTACGCAAAGAACACTTTGAAAAGGCAATGGAAGAGATTAGCGCATCGATCAGTGAAGACATGTCCTCCTTGACCGCCATCAGGAAGTTTGATGAGAAATACGGTGATCGCAAGGGACGGCGGAAGAAGGCTCACGGGCTAGGCTTCTCTTCTCCCAACGCTGCTGATGCACCGGGCGCCGAGACTGGCCGTGTTCGAAATTAGTTCCGGCTTGATATGTTTGGTACTCCTGTATACTATTCCATTTTTACTACTTCTATTCTTCACCGTTTGTTCGTTTATGGCCGTTGGGGGAAAATATAGACATGTACTATCATCTTATGAACCGTTAGAAAAATAAATTGTTTTCTATGTCCATTCGACAAAATACCAAAACAGACCTATACATTCATACATATATTCAAGTGCCCCCTTACCCTAAGGTCCTATCATCTGAAAGTGTACAAAGAATCGACCAGAGAGCAACAAGAGGGATGGTATTGCACAGAACCACAGCATGAACTCCATCCGTGGCTTCCCATCCTTCTCTAACTCCAGGATAATAACCCCCATTTTCATGTTTCTGGAAATCCTCCTACAGTGACCGAATAGAATGATACTCGTTCCTCCAACACCTGTCAATAATCTCCCAGTACACCAGGGTTTCGGTAGTAGGAACCTGGTCTGGCCGAGAGAAACGGTTCTCCTCGAAAAAATCATAGTGGAACACTCTCCAGGCAGAAATAGAGTAGGTCAAACTAGCTATTCCGGATAAGTCTCCTTTCGCGTAAGGGTCATCTGCAAAGATCTTCTCCATATTTATATCGAGATGGAAGATCTCTCTGTTGGCAAAGTCAATGGTTTTAACACAGCCACCGTGTATAAGAATATTGTTTGGCTTAATATTCCGATAATTACTTTGTTTAAATCAGTATGATAGAAGCCTTCTATTGTAGACCGAATCCAATAACCAACTAATCGATTGAATCTACAAACGAGTAGCCAGTGAAATATTAAATTCTTGGGCCGCAATTCTCTTATTTAATTATCGATACAAATATTACAGAAACCGAATAAATCCTCTTGGAAGAGCCATTGAAATAAGCTAACATATACTTGACAGATACGGTGTAGTTAACCGAATAATCTGGTATGAAGTCTACATCATAGAAAATTAAGCTATGCGGGCCGCACTTTCGGTGGACCACACTTTAACTTTAACTAAATGGCCACTTTTGAGACGTTGCATTTGTATTTCAGCGGAACTACCTAGTAGGGCTCGAAGAGGTTGATGTAAAGTACATTGAACAGCTAACTATCTGAGAAGTTTCTATGCACAGAGTGATGTTGCTAGGAGTAACCTAGAGGGACGGCTGCAATGGCAGTTTAGCGGCCAGCACCTGAAGATGCATGTATGTAAGTGACCCCGGCAAACCATCCTGCCATAGATTCAACCCAGTAATCCAATGTCGCCCCCTCACTAGCAGGACTGTGTCTCCAAGAGCTGATAATTTCGCTTCAAACTTACGACGCAGGTTATGGCGTCCTTGGCGGTGCACTACGTCGCAGAGGGACCGGAGGATTACCCGTGCAATGTGGTCGTGGAACGGGGTGGACTTCTCTATCGTACGCAACGCCTCACTCCAGTGGTAGAATGCGTCGTTCCATTCAGATCTAACATGGGAGATTTTTGCCAACAAAATCGAAACATGTAGTTCCTCCCTGTTAGAAAGATCAGCCTGCGACTGGACTTCTTGGCATATACCCTCTACTTCTGAAAAGCGTCCCTGAGCGAAAATTGACTCCGCTAGGATAAGATGTAAGAGTGGCTCAATTGCATTGTTTGCTTCAGCTTCCTTCATCGCCTCGCCTCTTAGCTGGCTTTCGGCAAATTTAAAGTCGTCGAGCTCTATCAGGGTACTGCCGATATTGCAAAATAGATCGGGATCGGTCTGTTGTGAAGTGGAGGCTCTTTTGGACACCAGTGATCCATTTTGATCTTTGGAGGTTTGACCATGACTCGTATAATCCTCCTCGATAACGGAGAAATTCGCCCAGGAGGAGGTGTTTTCGAAAGACACGAATTGACTCGATTGGAATAAGGAAGTACGCCCGTTTCTTTCCAGTCCTTCAACAAACCTATGGCCATGTCCAGTTCATCG